AGGTAAGCTGCACCACACATCATTGATCACATGATGTAGCACATGCACAACATTTGAGTGGCAATGCCCATCAACTTTGGGGAGGCCTGGCTCCCTCAAATATTTTAAGGGGGGGCAAAGGCACCTCAGCCCACAGGAGTTGACTCCTATGTTCATCATCTAATATGCAGAATTGGGCTGTGAATTCATTGCAGCGCCTTCGCATACCTTCTAAGGATAAGTTCAAAACTGTGCTTGAACACAGGGAAGCTGTTGCTAAAAGCCTCTTTTGCACAGTATCCTATCCATTGTGAAAATGGTGATTTGGAGTTTTAGGGCATTTGAATACAGTTGCTGTTTTTCTATCGGATTCAGTCACATACTGGCAAATTCAGGATGCCTAATTACAGTAGGGTGGGAAGTCTTATGCTGAAAACCTGCTTCCCCAAAAGATTGGACTATTTGCAAAAAGGGAAGCAGTGGAAAGTGTGGCGTAACAGTTGCTTGACACAATGTCATTTAACCTCTCCACAAACAAATCAGGATGAATCCCCAATAAGCTGATCATCTAGAAGCACCGTTAGTTGCAGGGAGTGAGTGCACTAACTGGCTAGGACCACTTCTGTGCATGTTGCATTCTGTGTTACAACCCAAATAAACTCACTAATCCTCTGTTCTACCTGCCTAAAAGTCAACACTGAGATTGCTGTTTTACATACACATTTCCAAGACAACATCCTAGAGAGTTGGCCAGATGTGGCAGTATGTCAGTAGACTGTGGCAGTATGTCTTTCCCTGCCTCACCTCATACCCCACTCCAGCAACCTACCATGGAACTTTGTTTGCAGTGGCTACATTCAAGGGACGCAGGACCAGTTCTCAGATGATGAGTTCCTAGTGGCATTTTCCATTCCAGTATTCCATATTTTGAAACTACCACCATTACCCAGGCTTAAAATGGAAATCCTCATGGGGAAAAGAAAACAAAATCACAAGTTTTCTTCTCCTCTAATTTCTTTTTAACAGGATATTGTGTCAAAGATGCTTCACGTGGACCCCCATCAGCGCTTGACAGCAGCCCTGGTTCTAAGGCACCCGTGGATAGTAAACGGGGAATATCTATCCCAGAATCAGCTCAGCCGACAGGATGTTCACCTGGTAAAGGTAAGTCCAAATGAAGCTGCTTTGTATTCTTGCATACAGAAAAGGAGAGTGATAGCCCTAGAGCAGTGTGGTCCAACATATGGCCCTCAACACCTTTTTGGGGTGGCCCTTGGCAACATTTGACGCCTCCCAGCCTTTAGGCTGCCTTCCCAAAGCTGGGTAAGCGAGGGACTATGCTTTGGGAAGGAGGCATGAGGCTCTGACAAGGACCTAGATTCCTCCTGCCTCCTTCCCAAATCTTAGTCCCCATCTGTCAGTTAGTATAAAGGACTGGTAGAAGAGGAGTTGCACATACGCATGTATAGCTACATTTTTTTTCTGGGTGGGACTGGAAAGATCTGGTGGAAAGAGAAACCTTTTGAAATCCTCATTCTTCACCTATGTGTAGGCACGCACACATGAACCAACAAACATGTACTCCTTCTCCAATATGCACTTTTGTTTCATATGAACATAAGCAACCATGTGCATGATAATCCACAGTGTGATATATAAGTAATGACTCAGCTGAGTCCCACAGTCAAAACTAGCCTTAGCGGTTGAAGAATATAGGCTCCTGCTTCAGAAAGTAAGGAAGCAGTAATTGGGAGAAGCTCCCTTTGCTATAATGTCTTGATGCAGATACCCCATCTTCTTTAAATTGGGGGTGGGGAGTGGGACTAAAGAGTGAAAGCAGGCATTGTTCTTAAATCCGCATGGTCTCAATTTTTATTTTGCAGGGAGCAATGGCAGCTACCTACTTTGCTTTAAACCGAACACCTCAGGCACCAAGGCTGGAACCTGTATTGTCCTCCAACCTGGCTCAGCGGAGGGGGATGAAAAGACTGACCTCAACGAGGTTGTAGTGGTCCCAAAGAATGCCTGGTTTAAAAAGGGAAAACATGCGCCGCATGTTGCTCAGAGAGGCTGATCTGTATTGCTAATTTTGCAGGACTTTGGACTATTGGCACATAAATTGCTAAAATTAGCAGAACTCCAGCATAAGGCAAAGATATCCTTTGCTTTCCGATTCCTTTTGTTGCTTTTGTTTTTTAAGTTAATGCCAAGATCCTGAGTTAGCAGGTACTCAAAGATGTCATGTGCCAATTTTTCAACTGCTGTACTGCTTCTTATTTAAGTGCATACTGCTAAGATCCTATTCTCATTTTCTCCAAATGTTATTTTTGGGATCTTTTAGATGCTCTGTAAGACCACTTTTTGTAAGCAATTTTCAGTAGAGAAACAAGTCGCTTTGGTTTTAGGGGTCAATTCTACCAGCATTTGTGTCATGGTGAATTGTCGCAGCTAGCAATTGATCCTGCTACCCATTATCAGCTGCAGCAGAGTTCATCTCCAAAGAGCTGAATGTGGAAGGAAGAGGCATGCGATGCTGTGAAATCAATGGCCTACTAAGAACGGTATTTAACATGAAGAAAGAAGAGCTGGCTGAATAGTGCTTGCTGTACTTCTCAAAAAGCACCCTTCATGTGTTTGGTCTGTACAGCAAATAATGCATGGGGGAGGGGAGAGATTGTGGTTGCACCCACTGATGCTGATAGCCACACATTCAAGGACCTCATTTGCTCTGGACATCCATTCTTATATTAATTAATTAATTAATTAATCAACTATCTATGCTTGGATAAACTGAGGGTATGGATCATGGATACAGGACCTTATGGCACCATAGGCCTATATGTGGAGGCTCTGTGCAAATAGAACTTTGAGTGTGTGGAGGTTTTGGTGTGGCAGTAGGCATGACCTAGTCTCCCTCTGTGTGGATGAATGAATGAATGCAAGAATAGTGCTTTCTAAGTATGCTATGCTGTGTTACAAACTCTCCTACTTTTATCATGGAGATGGTGATCTTTTGTTTGCCTGTTCCACTTAAAATAATGGCTCATAATGCCACACGATTAGCTACATGACAAAATAACCTTACAAGCAGAAGCGAAAGAAACTGTCAGTGGAGAAATTTCAGTGAGAAAAAAATCTACAATATTTTTCTAACATCAGTGGAAACAGGCTTAACTGTGATGTTGGACTAACATTCCCTGACTGTATTGGGTTGTGTTGTGCATAAAGTGATTGACAAGAATGGACACGTTCCACCTCCCACTGACATCAGTGGCAAGTGCCATGTTGGTCAATTACTCTGGATTGCACTCATTGGCCACAACCCAAAACAGACTTTAAGCATGTTTAAGCCCTTTGAAATATTGGGTTTAGCAGCTTTATGATTCTGAGTTGTATTGCGGCCATTATTTTAAGCACTTTACTTGACTTGCATTTTTATAATGGATTTTGCCACCTTTTAAAACTCTGCAGGAAAAGCCAGCATGCTACATTGTCTCTCGTTTCCTCTTATGGGGGGGGGGAGGAACGTGAAGACATAATATTGTATCCTATAAAGGTAAATGTAAAGGTACCCCTAACCGTTAGGTCCAGCCGCGGATGACTCTGGGGTTGCGTGCTCATCTTGCTCTATAGGCCGAGGGAGCTGCCGTTTGTCTGCAGACAGCTTCCAGGTCATATGGCCAGCATGACTAAGCCGCTTCCGGTGAACCAGAGCAGCACACGGAAACGCCGTCCTATAGATTACATCTATTTTGTTGAGTGGTGAAGCCGTACCAATACTAAACACAGCTTGGGAGATTGGTGTCAATTGTGCCTGCAGATGCAAGAGAACAGATTTGTTGCATTAGCTACTGTAATGTGCTCCTTAGGGTCTGTTTCTGTGTGACAAAACGTCATGTAATTTATTTTATTCTATTTTGTCCTTAATTTTTAAATTATATTTCATGTTTCATTTCTATGTGCTGCGCACACAGGACGGCAACAGAGAAGCTGTTCTTGAAGTGTGACTTTTAGAATAAAACAATGCTGTGAAACTCCATAAAATGAACGTTTTGACTCAGGCTTGACAAGCGATAGGTGTATTGTAGATTTTTGAAATCTTGAACATGTGGACCTGTTTTTCTGTTGTGTTCACTTTTGCCCTTGCTTGCTCCTTTAAATAGAAGAGCCCAGTGCACCCAAAATCATCAAGAGCCCTGGCTATTTCCTAACAATCAGAGTGCAATTTCACTACTTCTTGGACTAACTGATATCATAACCCTACTCAACCAAGGGTATATTAGTCCAGTCCATAAGTGACTGCTGACTGTGTGTAAATATTGCCCTTTCTATCCATAGATACCACAGGAGATGTTGCATCCCACTTGTAGAGTCTGCATGGTGATGATTCACATCTATGGTGATAATGGCAGTAGGAGTATAAGTACTGTACAGTCATACCTCGGAAGTTGAATGGAATCCATTCCGGAAGTCCATTCGACTTCCAAAACATTTGGAAACCAAGGCACAGCTTCCGATTGTACCTTGGGATCCAAGGTACAACTGTAATGTGCATTATATGCAATGCACACATTTAGAAATAACTGAAATTGCATGTTGCTCCTTCACAGAAACATGGTGCTTGGGTGCTTTTTCCCAGTGGAATATATTATGTGCCACAGATTAATTTTGTAATACCTTGTACTCTCTCATCCCATTGGATTTAGAGAAGCATTGCATCTGATGTGCTTTTTCAGTCATTTCCAAATCTGTGTTTCATCTAATGCACTTCACTGGTACTCCAGTTGCCAGAAAAGGACAATAGCTTAATGGAAGAGCACATGCTTTGCATGCAAAAAGATGCCGGGTTCCTTCCCTGTCATTACCAGGTAGGTCTGGAAAGGGCCCCTGTCTTTAACCCTGGAGAGCCACTGCCAGTCAATATTGACTTAGATGGACCCAGTCAGTGAGCTGATCCAGTATAAGGCAGCGTCCTATTTTCCAACTGCCATTGCTACCATATATCTGAATTAAGTTTCTCATGCAGGATAGCTCAGCCAGTAAAGCATAACATTCTTAATCTCAGGGTTGTGGGTTTGAGCCCCACGTTGGGCAAAAGATTCCTGCATTGCAGGGGGTTGGACTAGATGGCCCTCATGGTCTCTTCCAACTATACAATTCTGTGTTTCTAAGTATGTCTATGTTTCACCTTGGAAAATGCCCTTGTAAACCCATGTGTGTGTGTATGAAGTGAGAATTGCATAGAACTGCTTGCGTCATTGCGTAACACCATGAGGCCACTTGCTATTTGGGGTGACTGAATCCCTCTGTTCTCAGGTGCTCAAACACACTGAAAAGTCTCCTAACGTTACAATTGTTTCAAGCACACATATGGAGCTGTGGGTTTTGTCTTTGATTAATGCAGTTTGCTTCTTCCTCAGAATATAGACACACTGCAAATTCAGGCCTTTTCCTAATGAGAATGAAACAACCATTGGCTTTCACTTGTCTTGCATATGTGCTGTTCAGGTGCAAATAATTGCTTGGCTTTGTAAAGATCACTGGTTGGGGCTAATGCAGGCCAAAACACCCAGAGACAGTGGTGTACTAGTCATCTGGAACCTGTGCAGAGACACCATCAGTATATTAATTCTCAGCAGTACTCCTAGTGCCACAGGGTTTCCAAGACCATGATTCACCTGGTTTAATAATAGACTCCCCAGCACCTTCTAGTTGCTAGTTGTTTGTATAGTGCAGCTGAAATAACCACAGAATCCGCAGCCTGCACCTCATGAGAGGGCAAACATACACACCACTCTGGGAACAGTGTCAAAGAAAGTAAGACTAAGAGGAATGGTTGAGCCTTGTTTTGACAAAACCCTACACAGAAGAACTGTCATATCAGGAAGGCTGCCTTTTTGGTTCCCTCTCTAAAAGGCTGTTTGAAACCAAATGTTTGGTTTGCTCCCATGCTCTCTAATGCTGTTCATGAAATCATGAAAACAAACTGGTGGGAACATAGATCCAGTTCTTCAGAACATCTTCCCCTGAGGGTTTTGAAGAGCTGGTCAGGGATGAAAGGGTGCGTCATGATTCAGAGAAATACTTTACCCAGGAAGACTAAAAAGCTGAAATCACTAAAGCCACTATAGTAGCTGTAGCAGGTGATCCAGAGGTTCTGCATGTTAGGCACATTACCTTTGCACTCTCCTGTTAAATAGACTTGTGCAATGCCTTAAAGATTGAACCCATCAAACAGGTGCAAAACCTGATCTGCAGGAAACAACTGGACATTTTATGAGTCTAAGGAACCTAAGTGAGGAACCTTTTTTGTCAGAGGCCACATTTCCTCAGGGGAAATCTGTTGGGGACAATGTGCCAGGGGTGGGTAGGGGCAGAACCAAAAGTGAGCAGGGCATCCCATTTCTCTCTATCTTTGCCACCACCTTTTCCATTTTCCTCTTCCTTGCCCCACACATGAAGTTATGGAGCTGTAAACGGTTCATTTTGTGGTTATGGAATAGCTTTTCTAGATAGCGGTGCAGTATTTTATTTACCAACTCCACCTTCATGTTTGTGAACTGTTTGGTTTGAAATGTCCATGCTTCAACGTTTCATGTTTGAAAGGGGCTGCAGTGTACAGACATTTATTATATGTACCAGAGTAACTTTTTTAAAAACAAACTTGGTTTTATGAAGTGTAATATTTTTTATAGCACAATGATCATTTGGGACTTTGTACCTTGTTAGACACAATTGCATTTAGGGACGCTTCTTAATCCTGTTTTATGTGTGCTGTGTCTACTGTTGCTGCTTCTACAGCTGCCGGCTTCAGCTGCTGGGTGAATGGTGTGAAGTTGTCCGAACTGGTCTTCAGAAGTCCACATGTCTATGTTGAAGGATGCTGGCAGAAAAAGTTAACTGTGGGTTCAAATGGGCAAGAGTTTACTGTGACAGGCTCCTGGGAAGGAACCTCAGTATTGGCCTTCATCTGTACATCTCTATTTATAATGAAATAAAAATAAAACCTATTGTACCTTAGTTGTTGATCTGACTCTTTGTTAAATTGTAAGCACTGGTCATGTTTAGTGATTTGTACTGAAGTCCTTCAAGTATACTCGTTCATTTTTTTCTCATTCAGTCACATTTCCTTTCACTTTGAGTCACTCACTCTTTAGTAGCCCTAGGCCAATAGTGAATATCTCCATGCAAAGATCTGATGTGGACGCAGATGCATAACCAGGTACCAGTGCACATAATGGATGTCTCGCTAGAAGCACATCTCCATCTGGAACCACAAGTTACATGTAAAACACACAACTACAGAAAGGCAGACAGTAGATGATAGAGTATCAGACTATCTCATAATGTAAAATATTGACACATTTGAATCTCATGATCTTTGTGTTACAGAATGTACAACATTTGGATATAGGTATTTAAAACAAAAGAGCCCCTATTCACCAAGCCCACCAGTCATATCTACAGCATGCACTTAAAGCACATGACTGCCCGCAAATAATTCAGGAAACTGTAGTTCTGTTAAGGGTAAACTATGGTTCCCATAATTCTTTGGGGGACATTGTGAATGTTCAAGTAGTAAAGGTAAAGGTAAAGGGACCCCTGACCATTAGGTCCAGTCGTGACCAACTCTGGAGTTGTGGCGTGCATCTTGCTTTACTGGCCGAGGGAGCTGGTGTACAGCTTCTGGGTCATGTGGCCAGCATGACTAAGCCGCTTCTGGCGAACCAGAGCACTGCACGGAAACGCCGTTTACCTTCCCGCAGGAGCGGTACCTATTTATCTACTTCCACTTTGATGTGCTTTCGAACTGCTAGGTTGGCAGGAGCTGGGACCGAGCAACGGGAGCTCACCCCGTCACGGGGATTCGAACCGCCGACCTTCTGATCAGCAAGTCCTAGGCTCTGTAGTTTAAACCACAGCGCCACCCGCGTCCCTCAAGTAGTATAAATGTGCTTTAAATGTATGGGGCAATATTCAATGGAATAATTGTGCTAGTGCAAAAATTACTGGTGCAATGGGACTTCCTTCCTCTCTTCCTGCTGTGTGTGCCCCACACCGTCCCCAAATTTGCTCCATATATGGAGATGTGAAGGTAAAAACTGACCCAATTCTGACCCAGGCCTAGGCAAACTCGGCCCTCCAAATGTTTTGGGACTACAACTCCCTTCATCCCTGACCACTGGTCCTGTTAGCTAGGGATGGTGGGACTTGTAGTCCCAAAACATCTGGAGGGCCGAGTTTGCCTATGCCTGCTCTGTCCATTCTGAAAAATCAGAGTGGGTGAATCCTCTACCGTGCTGAGATCTGGGGACTGCAGGAAACTTCAAAACCTAGAAACTGTTCAGAATAAAGTTCTTAGGACCATTCTGAGAACACGTTTCTTAGAACCAAGTCTCCCAGAGCCATAGAAGCCAAGCTCAGTTCCTCTCTCATTGACTCCAATAATATAGGAAGATTTCTCCGCCTGGTACACTTTTCCTTTCCCCTCTCCTCCTGAGCTGGGGATGGTTTGGGTGCTGTTTTGGTCCTGTCCTGATGTAGCTGTTTGGTGTGTTTGAATTGCATAGTGGGAGGTTAGTATACCATGTCTGTATACTTCTCCCCATGCCACTCATGCCTCACCTATGACCAGGCCAGTGCAGAGCTTCTCTGAGGCCCAAGGTGGGAGACTTTTTAGAATAGTTATAAACTCAAAGCAAAAAGCAGCCAGTCTCTGGTGGGGCCCCCAGCCTGCTTAGCCCTCCAAGGCCTGGGGAAAGTGTACCCAGCTGCCCCCTCTTCCTGTGCACAGGCCTGCCTATGACTTCTATAGTACTCCATTTTCAGGGGTCTGCAGGGAGAACTTTACCAGGGAAGCATTAGCATAATGTGCGCAGGCACTTCTGCAGCAGTGGTTTCAGCAGCAGATAGAGCCTCCACTTCAGAAGACTTCAAGAACTAGTGAATATAGGATTGCACTGTCTATGGTGGAAGGATTTTACGGCTGACAGAAGCCCTGGATTGGTTCACAGCCTTCTGAAAAACTTGGCAGTTCACACTGTACTTGAGCAGCTGACACTTTCCCCTTGATCCCAGTTATTTTGGAAAGGACATTAGTGTTTACAGTGTTCAGGTCAGTCCTCCATCCAGCATACTCACTGTTTAATAATCGACCACTTATCGACCTAAATGGCCTTTTGTGTGTGTTTGTCGAGGAATTGGATCAAAGGTGATGATAATGAACAAATTAGGTGAAGGGTTATTTGTCTCTTTCACTCATATAGTCAAAGAAATTGCCCCTGTGGAGCTTGGGTATATTGAGCCCCAAATGGCATTTTGTGTGGAGGTGTTCTGATTCTTCTTTTAAAAGCCCCTTTTAGCAACAAGAAGCATTCAGAACTTCTCTTGAGGAGGAAGAGCTGCAGGATATATAGAGAGATGAAGCAAGCTTAAACTAGTTCATAAAGAGTGTTGTTTATATCCATAGGTAGCAGGGAAACAGGCATTTCCGTTATCTCTTGCTTCTAACCAAAGATAACATCAACCATCCAACTTGTTTGCCTGCTTTAGAAGAGGCTAAAAGTCATGTTAAAAGGCAGCATTCCCTGGGTTAAAAATAATCTTTTCTAGATAAAGACTCTCCTTGCACTTTTGAAATTGAAAGCTGCTGAGAGCCATCCAGTAGCTGTTTTAAATATACAGTAGGTAATATTCACTGTTAGTCATACTCAGAATAGACCCATTGTCCATTTATTTCAGTGGGTCTACTCTTGAGTATGACCTAGCTAGATATTTGTCAATGTGTTTTGATTTAAATGTGGAAAACCAGCAGTTCACTTCTACTTTTAAAGAACTGCAGGGGGGGATCCTGGCAACTAAAAAGAGGGGATCTAAAATAATTTATAACATTTGTACCCCACTCTTCAGCCAAACAGAATCTCAGAGTAGCTTACTTAGAATCAATTAAATAACACAGCCCCTGCCCTCAGACTTACAATCTATCCCCCCCCCCAGTTATAAAGATGACATGTTTATCTACTGTACTTAAATTGAGTACCTATCTGTGTGTGTGTCTAATGAATTGAGACATAAACTAATGACAGCATAACTAAAACACTTCTGGCACAACAGAACACCGTGACGGAAACTAGAGCACACGGAAACGCCGTTTAGCTTCCCGCCACAGCAGTACCTATTTATCTACTTGCACTGACATGCTTTCAAACTGCTAGGTTGGCAGGAGCTGGGACAGAGCAACAGGAGCTTACTCCGTTGTGGGGATTTGAACCACTGACCTTGTGATTGGCAAGCCCAAGAGGCTCAGTGGTTTAGACCATAGGGGCAGCCGTCCCTTATAAGTAAGTACTCCGTGCTCTGGTCCATGGGGTCACGAAGAGTCGGACACGACTAAACGACTAAACAACAACCACCTAACTTCTCATATATATAAAGGACTAATCTGAACTGGTGGTGCATAACTGAAAAACAGACCTTAGGGTTATGGTGTATAGCTCAACAAAAGTGACCACAGTGAGTGCCAGTGGTGCAAATGGGGTAAAAAATGAGATATCAATAAAAATAAAGATAATTATAAAAATAATATCCAACGCACCGGAGCACACTGTACAAAAAGTAGTAGGGAGTGTTGTACTCCTGATCCTAAACTCCATTCTAAAAACAGTCTTATTAAACCCTGGCTGAGAATGCAGTGTCTTCACCCTTTGACAACACTTTTCAGCCTGCCTTGCCCTTGAAATAAGAGGAGGGGACCGCTCCCTTCACAGCTGATGGCCTCAATCCCAGGCACATCCGCCATAGTGAAAAGAAGAATAAGAAACAAACCCGCTCTGTGGCCTCATCAGCTCCTGCCATTCTTCTTGCCCTTGACAGGCCAACTGAAAGCCATGGTGGGAGGGGGGGATGAACAGCACGCCGTGCCATCGCCCCTCGCCAATAGGAAGCAAGCAGACTCTCGCGCGCAACCAATAGAGGCTCAGAGAAGCCCTGCCCACCATGCCGCATCGCCCGGCTAGGGGGCGGGAGGTGAAAGGCCAATTTGGCTTTAAATGTTGTGGCATTCAGTTCCCGCACCGCCCCCCCCCCCGCCATGGCCTCCGGCACTTCTAAGCAAGGGGCCCCTCCCCGCGCTTTACGGCACCTCGTTGTAAAGTTAATGAGGAGAAGGGGCGGCGGCGCCGTTTGCGCCAATGGGCAGCCGGGTTGTGATGAAAACGGAGGCGTTACCGTAAAGCAGAAGCCGGTCGTGAAGAGGCGTCTCGCCCTCCGCGCCTGAGGAGCTTGTCATTGGAAGCGGCAGAGGCGACGACGCGGGTGGCTCTTCTCCTCCTTCTCTCCGTCGCTCCTTCGCCTCCGCCATGGCGGCGCTGGCCCGCAAGGCCGCGGACTACCTGCGCAGCAAGGACTTCAGGGACTACCTCATGAGGTGGGCGAGAGGCGGAAGCCGGTCTTTCTCCCCGCGGCCGAGCCGACCTTCGCGGGGCCTTCAGGGCGCTGCTCACCCGCTGCTTGGAAGGGGAAGGAGCTGCGGGCGCGTCTCGCGTTTGGTGGGGTGGATTCACACAGCCTCTGTCTCCGCATCAAAGGGGAAACACGGGCGGGAGGGCTTGGAGTCACGGCTGCGAGTCCGTGTGTGCTTGGCTCGGGAGAAATAGAGCTCGTTCTCTTTTGCTTTCTGTGTCGTGTCTGCTACCTGGTCTCCTGTCAGGATTTCCGTTGAGTTGCCGGGCGCTCCCATCTCTGGGTGGTCGTGGTGTGGTTCAAAATGGGCATCTCTTGATCCGCAAACGGGCGAAATCGGGCCTCCCTACACCCAGGGTGACCCTTGAGGCTCGGGTGGCATTCGGTGTCCTTGGGAACGGGGCCTGCGCGGGGAGTTTGCCGGCTCGCGGTGGAAGCATCCTGCCCGCCCGTTCAGGTGATTGAGCTGCTGCTGTTGCACCTGCATCCGATGCGTCTATATAGGAAGCTAACTGTCAGCTAGGCTGCTGTAAGGAAGGGGCTTCCTTCTCGTAAATATTCCGGGGGTGGGGGTGGGGAACGGGCCCTGCAGTTTCAGCCTCAGTGTTGTAGAAATGACAACTGCACCTGCTGAATACAGTAATACAGTAATGCTAGTAAACCCGAAGATGGGAACCTTTTTGACCAGGTGGACCAGATCTTTTATATAGATATATATTCCCCACACAGACTTTGAAAGAGGCAGGTCTCATCCACCTGCCAGTCATCAGATAGCATAATGATGTTTGGTGGGACAACCCATCTGTCAATCACCTATCAGATGGTGGGCTGACCTGCTCAGTCTTGCTTTCTCAGGAGAAGCAGCTGTGCCTCTACCTGCCTCACACCTGATGTCCACATAGGTTGTCAGCTTTGGGGAAGGTGGGTGTGGTTTAAGGAAGACAGCCTTATGGGCCAAATGGGGAGATCTGGAGACGATTTGTCCTGTGTCTGAAGATCCTCCTCTGCTGTATATGCTTATCTGGGATTAAGTTCTACTGAACATACTGAGACATCCATGGCTGTAGTGGTAATCTTACTCATCTCTAGTTGCCATTTATCCCTTTTTAAGGAGAGGCCCTGTATTCTGCACCCACCTGTTCTCAATCTACTCCACAGAATAGGATGCAGGCTACTGCTTTGGGACCCTTTGGGTACCTCAACATGCAGAAGAAGGGGATTGAGCAAGTTTGAGTAATGAAGAAAACCTGCAGTGCTGTAATGACTGGTGGGAAGACACAAAATATTACATGGAGCGAATTGGATTTAAGATCAGAAATTATGTTTAGGATTAACCATGTTCTAAAGTGACATTGATTTGTTCCATGCAAGTGAAATAGGCTTAATTGTGGGTGGGGTGCTTTGTTGCTAAATGCTAATGTTAAATATTGAGTTCTGTTAACTATGATACAATTGCTAACTATGATACACTACGTGTATAAACATGATGTGATTGCAGAAGAGCTTTATGCGCATTTCCATGATGACCCCAATCTGTTTTTACTAATGCTGTGCTTATATTGCACAAGATAGAAAGAGCTTGCACAATATACAGATCTTTCCCAGTCATTTGACATTGCTGCTTAAGACAGGGGTGTAAGAAATCAAGAAGACAAAGAATCTGTTTAATTTTAAAAGATGATGATGTTTTCCTTAAGTTAGGACAACCACTCCAATTCACATGCTAGTACTTTAATTTAATGAATTTTTATGCCTCCATTCAAAATATACTAGAACTAGCTTTATCATTCCTATCAGTACTTTATTTAATTATACATTTTAATGCCAGCATTCAGAATAGACGCTCTTCTCACAACTTTTTACTGTCTTTTACCACCTTTTACCAGCTCTGTCTGGTTCACCTACCATAGCCATTCCAACAACAATATGGTTTTAATTGTATGGTTTATATAGTGTCATTGTAAAGTGCTTGGACATTTTTAATGAATAGTGGTGTATAACTACTTTGATAAATAAAAAATAAACCTTAAAAAACCAATATACTAATGATAATAGCAGGAGGAAAACATCTAGGTTAGGTTATTCTATTTCTATCAGCCCATGTAAGAGATTGCAAAGAATAAAAACTTATACACACACACACACACACTATATATATGTGTGTGTGTGTGTGTGTGTGTGTGTGTACACACATATATAGTGTGTGTGTATCTATGGGGTTTTTGGTGCAACACTATCCAATTTTTAAATCTTGGAGCTTCTAAATTTATATATATATTTCAAAGTCTGCTGTACAAACTGTGGTTACCTAGTAGTAAATGAGTATTTAACTTTCAAACGAAGGTTGTCTGCACTACAGGTTACCTCATTTCAGTCCATTGAATTATTGGGTTGCATCTATGCTTTTGCAAACAATTCTCTCCTGTTCCTTACTCTCCATTTTTATTCCTGTAGTTGGGGCTGACTTTGATCTGAGTTGGGTTTGCTTCCCTCTCCCCCACCCCCAGATTTTTAGTTACCCTTCAAATCTCACAGTAGCAATCTGTAATTTTACATTTTTGCCATACAGAAAGTTTAATTGTAGATAACGTATAATTAAATCTCCATGACTGTGCCAGCCCAGCTTTACAAATAGGCCCATAAAAGTAATTACAAATACAGCCCACAATTACTTTTGCTAGTAATTGTGTATATGATTCACAAGAAGATGGCAACCAGTTTTTGTAAGGCTTCCCTATCTGATCACTGAACTCCAGTTCTTTCTTTTCATGGGAGATTACGGTAGGTTAGTGACTACTTACAAGTCTGTTCTAGCAGCAACAATGGTTAAATTGTTTTATAAAACCAGCAACAACAGATAACACTTTTATAAAACCAAGCTGAAAAGAAGTGTGCCTACATATGAACATTAACTTCTAGCGGAAGTGAAAAAAGTAACAGGATATGCAAGACAGGCATCAAACATAAACCAAAGGGAGCCATATGATGACAAGAGTTAAGGAATTAGCATGGAGCTTCTTTTTTGTCTTTGTACACATCTGTTTATAAACGATAGAGAGGAAATTCTGGTGTAGATATGCCCATACTGATTTCCTTACTGAAGCAATCTACTTCCAGTGTATCTTCTCAGTTTAAACTTTGGAAGAACAAGCAGGTTACAAAGGACTTTTGGGAGTATGTCTTGAAATGCTTGCAATACTACATTTCTGCTCAGCTAATTTCTGTATTCCCCAGGCTTTCAGGTGGTAATGTTTGATAAGAGACATATTATTGCTCCATAAACTGTTGCCAAGCCCATCCTGGTCATGCTGTTGAGTGCCTATGGTGATCAAATTGATTTTAGTGCTGAAAAGGTGGTGTTGATTTAAAGTGTACTCATTAAATGTTTTTTAAAAGTCAGAGCCTCTTGAGAGAATGGGCAAGATGACTATAGAACAATGAACTGTCCTTTGCCTTGTTGAGCTATGCAAGATTTACTTCATAAACAAGAACCTAGAATCTTTAGTCATTGGAATTGTTTGGGTTCCCTTCTCACATAACCCAAATAGGAGATAGTGAGATGATTCTTTCAATATGTCCAGCTTATTTAGATGTTCTTGCAGCTGCAAGTGATCTCATGGACAGTGGATTCCATGTGACCGGCAGGATATGTAAAGGCCACCTTATTTGCAGCTCTTTTGCAATCCTTATCTGAAATAATATGCATTTTTAAAGGAGAAAGCAGATGATGATCCCTGAGAAAGAAGAAAGGAGATATTTTGATATTGGGAATTTTTTAAACATTCAGGCACGTGTAAAGTTTAGGCAAACTAAGATCCTAGATAATGAAGACCTTCTCATAGGGGCAGTTAGGCTCATCATTCTGGGGTAAAGTAAATGAAGTATGTTGACTTGCAAGAACACAAGGTCGGGGGAATGACAGAATGAAGACATTAAATCGGTGATTAATGGGTCATGCATGGGATGCTGAGAGAGAAACTGTTGCGTGGAATAATGAAGCCTTTTAATTATTCGCAGATACAGGCATAATGGAATATAGTAGCCTGAATTAGGAGTGTGCAAGTTAACTACAATCCCATGGCACCTGCTTGGCCAGCCAACTTTATCATTTAAAAGATTTGGCTTTCATTAAAACAAGTGGAGACCTGCAATAACTCAATGTGCATGGAAGGGACTGTGCAGAAGGAGGGAGGAGGGTGCCTGTCCTTCCCTGTGCTTTCTTCTTCTCATATACGTTCTCCAAATCTGTGAGGTGGCTCTTTTGATGTGACTGGCAGAGGATCCAAGTGGATTCTACCACCATGAAACTTTCAAAAGAGAGAGTGGCATAGTGACCAAAGATACCTAACCTGGGAAAAGGAGGAATATAATTTTTGTACCATCCAAGTAATATTCAAAGTATGCCTCCCTAGTTCTGACGTGTTTATATAGGCCTGCATTCTGAATGCATGTGTGGCTGTCCCATTTTTCTGTTTTAGTTTGAAAGTTAATTTTTCAGGTGTGAAGCTTGGGGCAGTGCTGCATATGCTGCAGCTCCGTCTAACCTGGTAGCCCATGGCTCTTAAGATAGGCATTCAGCAATTCTTTCAGTCTTCACACTGTGCCCTTATTTAACACAAGACTCTGCGATTTTTTACGGTCCTTTTTCTTTCTCTTCTGTTGCCCTACCTTAAAGCTAAATGGTTATGCTAGAGGAAGACAACTCACAGTCATATTTTTACTACTCTTTCCCCCTTTGCAGGTCAGGAGAGAAGCATTTATTTTGAAAATGGGGGCACCATGTCCAGAACCATTGTTAAAATAACAAGATACTGTTACTACATCCCATTCATGCATATAATACCTCTAAATAAACTTATTGTCTCTATTCATAAAGTTGGATATCTCAAATAATGCAATAACCTTTAGAAAATGTCATGTTGAATATATTTTGTAGATAAAATTAGTTATGGCTCCTTATTTCCAAAGACATGAGAATATAAAACACATTTTAGTGATTTGTTGCTAAATGAGCACACTAAAGTACTTTGACTTTTTTGTGAAGAACTATATGTGGCATCTCTCGTATACATACTGAATTTTATTTCATGAAAGCTAATAACTATTTATTTTCTCTTTCATGTACCAATTAAATGATGAAACATTATGGCTTCTCATAACACAGTACGGTAAGGCACCGTCTCTGCTTTCTTTCTGCCAATTGTAATTGTGCTGTTCTTGCTTAGTTATGAACAAGCCTGCACAGTTGATGTGCTGTTCCTCTCTGTAGATGGGTTAGATAAAATATTATTTCTTCTGCTCCATTAGTATCACGCCCACATTCAAATAGCTACCCTGAGATCTCAATAAACTTATCATTTGATACTAGTGTAGACAGAATTGTTGTTCAGCCATTTTCTTCTGAAGATATAACCTGCTTCTTGAAATTGTATATGACATTTGGTGTGTCTGCCTCCCACTGCCAAAAAAGGAGAGGGGTGCATTTAGTACAAGTACTTCATTTTAAAGGATGAATGCTATTCATTGATTGTCAGTATTGTTCAGCTATGACTCTTTCCAGTACATATAGCAACTGCTTAATAATGCAACAAGTAGCTGCAGCTAGCTGAAGGGGTCGCTGCACTCTGAAGTATGTTCAAGGCAATTGTGCTGTTGTGCCTCTCCTCTGATGGCTGCAAAATTAGTTTGTGACTCCCCCAACAAAATAGCAGTGTGTGGGAGCATTTGTTATTTCAGGAAACTATTGAACTGATGATCTTTGTAGCCAGCAATACTATACAATTAAACTCCATATTGAAGCAAAAAGGGTCCCTGAGCCTTTGGTAATTCTCCTCCCCCCCCAAAAAAAAATCAGGCTTTATTAGTAATTATTAGTAAATCCAAGTGAGTGCCAAATTAATCCAACTCTCATGCAGCTTTTAAAGATGGTGCTTTCTTACACAGAAAATTCTTGTTGCTTACGTCTTACATTAGCAATGCTAATTCAGCTGGTTTCCCAGTAAATATGGGTATTTGATAATTCCTGAATATCCTATTAAGTAGTCTTAATATATATGTATGTTCAAATAAATACATTTCCCCTTAAAAAACACCTTAGTGACAGGAATCATGATGTGAATTTTGAAGCTTTTTGAGAAGCCTGAAAGTATACAGTACACTTCTTCTTTCTATTCTAAACTTTGGGAATCCACTAGACTTGAGAAATGACTTTTAGGTAAAAAAAATCTAATTACATAGAATGCTTGCTTTCTCTTAATTGGACTGTCAGTGTAAGGTTATTTCACACATACTTCTGTTGTATGTATGCTATGCTAAACATTTTATTTGACTTAATACACTGGGAGAGGACAGACACTTTAACCAACACATTCTTAGTGTGTAAGAAATAAGATGGCTCCTGTTCAGCAATACATCATGAAATTCTGTTTTAAAAAATATGAAGAAGCAGGGGGTAAAGCATCTTTTCCTCTTATTATCTCCATTATAGCACTTCTGGGGGCCAGTAGCCAACTGGGGACTCCCTATTGCTGCTATTAATGATATGAAGAAATCACCAGAGATCATCAGTGGCCGAATGACCTTTGGTAAGTAGTAAAATGTTTAATCTAGGGATGAAACTAATTCTTAAAGTGTCAGCAAACTTGCTTAGATGTGTAACCTGCATTTATTGCTATTTCTTGAAGAGCTACATTTAATAGTATTTATTGAACAGTTCCACACCTAGCAATGCTGAATAGCAAACTACCGATCAAAGAGAATAATTTAACTGAGATTGTGCAGGCCTAAGGAATCTCTTTGATTCCTAGCTGATTTTCCAAACTACTATATCTGACAGGAGTTGGATTCTTGCAGTCATTTAAAGAACTTGGAGGGGCTGCTAGTTGACATAGATATAGTCCTGCTGAAAGAGGCTGTGAGGCTTATAAATATGTGACAGCATCCGTGGGTTTGCCTTTCACTATTTGCACATGGCAGCAACTCTGAGCACAGACACTGTGTAACTATTTTGTGTATTTCTTGGGAACGACTAAATTAAACAACAATGTAGATATTCTGCAGCCTTCAAAAGACAAAAAGCAGTTAATATTTAACTGCTTCAACAAGGGGGTTCCATATTACAATGCTCATAGCTTTTTTTAAATGCCAAAAAGACACTTTCTTTCAGATGATGAGTAGGTGCAACAAACCCAAAACACTTAAATGCCTGGCAATGCTGAATAACAAACTACTGATCAAAGGGAAGAACTGAATTGAGGTTGCGCAGGCCTATGGCATCTCTTTGATTCGTAGCTCATTTTCCGAACTACTGTATGTGACAGGAGTGGGATACTTGCAATCATTTAAAGAACTTGGTTAGTCCCAAGAGAAATGGAGCCAAAATAGACCCACTGAGAAAAAGAGGGAGATAATCACAGTATGCTGAGGGGAACCCTGAGGTTTGTAGAAGTACAATTTTTAGGACGTATAGGCAGCAAAAAAATCCCCCCAAACAGCCCAATGATTACTTAGCATTTTCAGTAGCAAAAGCATCTGCTCCAGTAGTAATTGTAAGATGATGAAATACATATATCTAATTGTCAGTGTGAACAGAGGTTCACTTGGAATGTAATTGAAATAGTAATTGCAGAAATGGAGGGAACTGCCTAGTCAGAGTTCCAGAATACTCTAAAGTCTTGTTAATTTTACTTTTACAGCCCTCTGCTGTTACTCGTTGACTTTCATGCGGTTTGCATATAAGGTGCAGCCAAGGAACTGGTTGCTGTTTGCTTGTCACTTTACCAATGAAGGCGCACAACTTATCCAAGGAGGACGATTAATTAAATTCAAGTGAGTACACTTTTAAAAAATTGCTGTAACAATTAATGAGATAAACTAAGCAGTTTTTTTAATCTCATACTTTTTTTCTTCATAAGCCTTGTTGGATGAAGACTTTTCCTTGAATCAACTTTTTATTTTTATTTTTTCTTTTCTTCACAGCCTGGAAAAGAAGAACTGAGTGCCTGTTTAACAGGGGGAAATGGAAAAGGTGCTCCACAGATTACAATCAATGAATGTTTTTGCCATCCACAGTTGCTGTGTCCAATATTTTTGCATCACCATTTCATTAAAATTCATGGAAACGTTCAATGTCATCCCATCCCTGAATTTTGTAGCCTGCCTTACCACCCAGCAGTTTGAAACATTGCATCAAACATCTTGCCTTACAAATACTGCATTTTTATATTTATTTATTTATGAAATTGTTCAGCATACACACATAACAACTTTTCAAGAGGATAAGAATTGTTCACAAGCTGCAACAAACAGGCTCTGAACCAAATTGTGCATTTTGATTTTAAGAATTTAACAATGGGTATTTGGCAGCCTGGCACACATGTACTCAAGAATGGTGGTTCTGTCTCCTTAAGTGCATTGTAGTTGCCATAAAATAGAGCTTGTGTTCAGAAGCACCCATTCCTGACTGTTTTTATAATTAAATTGTATTATCAGGCTCTCCTATCAGCAGTACGATGTTGACTGAAAAAGAGTAGTTGCTGACTGACTGCTGACTGATTTGAATGTTGTATCTGTGCTCTTCCATATATTTGGGTCTTCACCCCCACCCCCAATAAATAAACTGAAGGGGGAAAACAGTTTATGGGCTGATTCAGACAAAATCTGAGAGTGGCACAGGCTACATGTAGGTGGAAAGTAGAATTTTTATAGGATTATCTGTCCTGCCTCAGACCTGCTAGACATCCACACTGCAGAAGTAATGTTTGCATGGAGCCTGAATTGCAAATTCCAGCATTTTTGGTCTGAAACGTGGGATAATTTCGTGGGTCTTATGTAGGTTGACAACCATATTGTTTGGACCTATGTACCAGAGGAGTTTCACATGTGGATTGTTTGTAAATGTTACATCCAGTGCTTGGATATCCTGTTGTCTGTGGTCAGGTTTGCCTAGTGAACAAAATTTGTGTACTTCTACATCTCTATTGTATGTAGACTGCACCCCTAAGAGCTGAAGTGTCCCACTTGTTGCAAGTATGCTGAATGTTGTGGATAGTCAAGTTGTGTCTGTGTCCTAATTCCATTTTAATTGTCCCATGAAGCTATTACTAGAAACTTTTAAATGTTATTTAATACAAAACTTAACTGCAGACTTAAATGAAGGCTTTTAGAGTGTTGAAGGATACTCCAGTCTACCAGAATTATAAATTTCAGCACAATGTTCTAGTTACTTCCTCCTATAGCACTTATGACTTTTATCAACAATTGTAAAGTACCATGTACTGAGGACATTGAATAGTTTTTTTAGTTCAACAACTTTGGAGGCAGTAAACTTTCTCAGCAGGTGAAGGAGTTACAATATGAAATTAATTAAACTAATGGCAATAAACTGTTTTGAGAAAATTTTGTACTAACGGTTTTTCAGCTATGTTAATAAAAATGGTACTGTACTTGCATTATTGGATTGAACAAAACAAGCTACCATTTATGAAAAATCTATGAAGGGTGGAACTTCTTGTGTGTGAGGTCCATTTCTGTTGTAAAGACTTCCAAGCTAATATTAATACATACGTTGGTAAAAGCATACAGGTAGTTTCTCTTCTTTTCTACTGACTTGCTAATATGGAAGTGGGCTGTATTGATCTATAGATTGGTGTAAGGATATATGGAATCCATGGGAAGAAGGTGCAAAAACAGTCCTTTGACCACTGATAGTGCTAAAGTTGTGATTTTCTACATTTTAGTAGCTACTTCTTTTGTAACTGGGAAGAACAGATCCCTAAATACAAATGAATAGCAGATTATTCAAATTATTTTCATGGATTAGGATTTGAGATTCCTTAAGTGATATAGCTCCCGAAAACCTTACATTGTTGCTACTTCCATATTTTCCTTTTTTAAAAAAAGCAAAATAAATGCCAATGCAGCATTATCAACTGATGCTCAGCACTTGGCTATGTAAATTTAGACCTTGTCTCACAAAATTATAGACTCTGGAATGTTGGAAACTGGCCCCCTCGGGAAAGGCTGACTCCTCTTCCCAGGCTCTGGGGCCTGTTGCCGGTGATCTACCCTGGCTGGTTTTCGGTCAGACCAGGGAGGTCTTCAATAAGCGACACCTCCCTCTTGAGAGATGCACACTCCCTTCCCCCTTGCATGACAGCAGGAGAAAGAAAACAGTCTGAAAAGTAGCCTATTCCATTCTACTTTATTTCAGAGACTGTACACTGTACAAAGACATAACTTCTCTCTCAGAAGCCTCCATACAACTGACTGACTCCCCCTTTGCAGGAACAACAGAAAGGTCTCAAGTTACACTGAGAACACAACTCTGAGAAGAGCTTCGAACATCTGGTCTCACGCTCAGACCCATCAGACACATCATGTGATGTAAACAATGAGCTATGAGTTTGCAGCTGCTGAGCACTCATATTACAACATCCTCCCCCATATGAGTCGAAGTGAGCTGCGAAAACAAAAGCAGCATCTAGAGAAAAAAACAGTTGTTATACACATAACAATCTCCTGTTTCAGTTCCACCTTCAGAACTATCTGCCACTGGTTCCACCAATGTAAACCTCTGGTTGCCTGTTTTCCAAGGAATTAGAGCTTCTGCTCTACCTTGGCTAGGGAGAATTGTGTTGCCATTGAATTGGGTCTAACCATGCAGACATCGTGCTAGTTCTATGAAATAATACTTGCACTTTCTACAACTATAGAGGAGTCAATGCACTGAAAAGAATTATGTGGGATAATAGCATTTGTTGGTGGTACCTGTTGAAATGATATGGTCCCTGCAAGGAAGCCAAAGATTATCAAGGAATGAGGCAAGGTTGCGTGGGCAGGGAGCTCCATGACTTATGCATAGACCCACCCCTCTGTTTCATCCCAAGTAATTGCATCTTCAGGGGCAGCGATGTGGCGAAACGGGAATGTACTGCATGTATGGCAAGCTTGGGCTGCCCAGACTACAAGACTCCCCTCTGCCTCACTCACGTGGCCCAAAGGAAAGGAGAGCGATACGTTTGGCACCAGCTTGGCTGCAAGAGTTGTCAGAAGATGTATAAGGCATCATCCAGCCGTCTTAGGGCTGCATTCCAGATTTGTGTATGGTTTACTCCTTAGCTCATTCTTCTCCCAAAGATGTCCTGCAAGGCAGTGGAGGTTTAGGATCAGAGTTTTCCTTCCCCTAGTTGAGCTCCCTTTATATGTATAGGCCAGTCATCCTTAAGATTACACATAGGCTGTGTGTACCTCTGCCTAGGCAGATCTCATCAATCCTTTATCCTCTGAATTAGCTCTGCTTATCCTAGACTGCCCCTTTTAGCTGCATTATTTCCAGTATATATATGAGACTACTGAAATGTGGGTGCTGACCAGCTGACCCAATTATTGGATTTAAAATTATTACTATTATTATTTTGAGACAGCAGAAAATCCAACTATTTTTTTTTGCAATGATTCAAATAGCAGGATGATGTCAGAAGAGGGTGAACAAGAAAAAGTGCAACTGAAATTTCTGGGAAGAATGTTTATTAATGATGGCGGTTTTTGTAATGCCCATTTGCCTCACTTATTCTTACTAAGAATGACTGCATCCCATGAAACTAATGTTTTATCATTCATATGGTACCCTTTCCCAATACACTCAAGGCAGTTCTTCAGTTTAAAATGTAAAAATTGAAAATAGAAGGTAAAAATAGCCTTAATACGGTCATAGAGCAATACATGGGTTGTGAGGCGTTGCACAATTCTTACATGTGGTTAGAACACACAAACCTAGGCGGCTTCTGATTTAGCCATTGGTTTACATATATATATATCGCAATTTGTTTTATCTCTGCCATTTGTCACTGGCGGTTTTACGTTCTATTTTGTGGAATTTTGTTTACTTGTGCCAGCGCTCCTAACACTAAAAATAAATGCAGCTCATTGATAACAGAAGGAACACTCAGCGAACGACACGCCTGTAACTGAAAGTGATGGATCGGTTCGATTAGAGAAGAATTGGTGGGCGAAATCTGAAGATCGCTGGAAGAAAAGTCACGTGGATACGAGGACGGGAACAAAACGGGTAAGAGACAATGCAAAAAAAACCCAACCAAACAAAAACCAAGCTGACTTCGGGTTCTCCATTGAATGTAAGTGGGAGGGGAAACAATGCCCCGCACATGGCGGCCTTCGAAGAGAAACCGGAAACGAGCCCTGCTGCGTATGACAAGCAAAACGAGAAGGGGGCGTGGCCAACGGGTATTTTGATTGCTATTCGGCGAGGAGAAGGAGAGGGCGGGACTACTGATATCGGCGGGGTGGGGTGGGGGGATTTGGAGCCATGACGGTTGGCTGAACCCAACTCAAAGGTGTTTCCGGTTTTTCCTCTACGGCCAGCTTCCGGTTTAGCTTTCCCTCAGGAGGCGGTTGCGGCAGAGGAGCTGACAAGGCGAGAGCCCCGCGACGAAGAGCAGGCGGAGCGTGTGGGCGCTTCTCGGCGACGGGGGTCGGCGGCGCTGAGGGGCGGCAATGGAGAAACTCCGGCGGGTGTTGAGCGGGCAGGACGACGAGGAGCAGGGGCTGACGTCGCAGGTACGGGGAAGGGCTTCGCCTCCCTTCTGGCCGGGCTCCTGCGCCGTTTCCTCGGGACGAGCGCCAAGACTCGTGATGCGCCGGGTCTGCGCCCATTTACTCGGGAGCAGGCGCTGGCACCGGAGGGAAGGCGGGTCGCGCCTCCCCCCGCTGCCCTCGCGGCCACTCGCTCTTCCTTCTGTCCCCCAGCCGAGGGAGGCGACATCTTTCGCTTTCCTTCGGCCTTATTAAGGGAACGGAAACTAGTGGCGAGAAGTTGTTTATTATCGGAGGACGGCGGGGGAGGAATCCTGAAAGCATCTATAAAAGGGGCAAAGAAGAGGGGATTAGTGAAACCTCTGGCGGGCCTCCGTTGTTGTTGTTTAGTCATTTAGTCGTGTCCGACTCTTCGTGACCCCATGGACCAGAGCACGCCAGGCACTTCTGTCTTCCACTGCCTCCTGCAGTTTGGTCAAACTCATGTTTGTAGCTTCGAGAACACTGTCCAACCATCTCGTCTTCTGTCGTCCCCTTCTCCTTGTGCCCTCCATCTTTCCCAACATCAGGGTCTTTTCCAGGGAGTCTTCTCTTCTCATGAGGTGGCCAAAGTACTGGAGCCTCAGCTTCACGATCTGTCCTTCCAGTGAGCACTCAGGGCTGATTTCCTTAAGAATGGATATGTTTGATCTTCTTGCAGTCCATGGGACTCTCAAGAGTCTCCTCCAGCACCATAATTCAAAAGCATCAATTCTTCGGCAATCAGCCTTCTTTATGGTCCAGCTCTCACTTCCATACATCACTAGCGGGGCCTCCGTAGACTGTGGTTATTTGTGGGTGCCCTCAGCTCCTTCTTCCCTCTGGGATCTGCAGATGATTTGAGGAAGGGACCAGGCTCTGGATTTGACAGCATCTCCTCCTCTAGTTTCTCCCCCCAAATCTTCTGCAGGAGCCAGAGGACCAAGGAGAGTTTTTGCAATCTGTGTTGATCTTGGGGAAGAGGTTTTTGCGCTTCTCGCATTGGGGAAGGTGGGTCATTCAGATCAGAGGCAAGAGCATTTGTATTGTATACAGAAGGATTTAGGTTCCCAGTCTGGCTTCCTCGGGAAGGACATGGAAATATTTATATCTGAAACGCCTAACTGGTTAGATTCTGATGCAGCCTGAGGCGTTGTTAGGAGAGGAAGAGGTGAAGTTGGAATGTGAGCATGAAAGGCAAGAATTTGTCACTGCTGCTTTATTTTGCGGTGGTGCCTAATGAATATGAGTATCTGCTGCAAAAGGCTAATGGGCACAGATACATCTGTCATCTCTTGCCCTTTTACTTACTAAAGAATAGTTTGGTCTGACCCCTTAGCTCAGATTGAGCAGTTGTGAAATGGAGTGGTGGTTTGCTAATTGTGGAGTGTGTTTAGTAAATAGTTCACTCAGCTTCACCTATGAGCAACCACAAAACAAATGATCGCATCTGTTTAACAGAGGCCTTGGAAAATGAAACATATTGGCCCCCTCAAGGTTAACTATCTATCTACTAACTGCAAATATAGATTATATTTCCTATCTGTTTTCAAGTTAATCTGGTCTGGCTTTAAAGCTCAGTAGAAAGACTTTTCTCCAAAAGTGGTTTTGTTCACTTCTACATGTGGGCAGCTGCGACACTGCATGATGGGTTATTTTGAGAATTCACCAGTTATATAACATCTTTCTTAAAAGTAAAAATGTATATGATATTCTGAAAATTCTACACATTTAGCTACTCATGAGGCGTTTCAGTTTTGAATAAATTTCCCTAATGTAGATTTAATTAGCTTCAGAAACGTATGGAACATACATGGACACACTACTGGGACAGGGTAATTATACTGAATAAAGCGGTGAGTAAGCCATACATAGTTGTGTCAAGGCTAAACACCATAAATATGGATCACACATGTTCCTGGGATATTCAAAGTTTACAAAGTTTCTCTCAAAATGAGGAAACCCTAAACTCTGATAAGGAATGTCAGAGTTGTTTGCTATCTCACTTTTGGGTGCTGCTGTTGAATGTTTGTATTTCTTTTCCTTGCTGCCTATATATGGATAAAGATTTCGATAGGAAAAGGTAAGTTATACATTGTTGCATTTTGAAAGCTTAAATTTGTTTTGGTCATGGGAAAAGACATTTCAATAGAGTAGGAAGTCAGCACAATGGCCTAAGAAAGTAATATATGGTCCATGATAATAGCTGTATGAATTAAAGGTGGGGACAGACAAGAACAGCTGCAGATACGACTATCTCCTTAAGCATGAGGCAAGGGCAGGGAGGGAGGGAGGTGGAAGAGAGACATTCAGGAGGTCTTCCATTTTCCCTCTGCAGGCTTATCTTTGTAATTGTCTGTGGCCTTGATTCTTTTAGGTGGATTAAAAAATAACAAGGCTTTTTATTTTAAAAAAATAATTATAAACAGCTTGGCCAAAATTAAACCAGGATATAATCGTGTTAAATCTACAAATTTTAACAGATCATAATGTTAAAAGTTGCATCTCAATATAAAGAATTAGCAGGGAGTGCTCAGAGCTGCCCTCTTGCCAAGTTTGGCAACAATACCAATGCTAAAAAATGGGTTAAGTCACACCAAAGTCATGTTTTGGTTCTCCATCTTGATTCAAGATGGTGGCCAGTATCCAAACGTCAGTGAAGAGTGCTGCCCACACCTCGGGGACCCTTGTTCCAAGTTTGGAGATGATATCTTGAGATGCATCCAAACTTATAGAGAACAAATGGACAAACCCCTTTCCAAAATATATAGTAGATGAAGTATGGGAGAATTTATTTTTAGATCAAAAATAAGTATGGCATGCCAAGTCCTATAAGTGGTGATAAGGGTTTGATGTGAGATGGGATGGGAGCAGGAACTAGAAATTGGCTTGGACTCCTTGGCTCCAGGAGATGCCACCTTATATCACTTGGAGGATCATACATTATGTCCATCAGATTAATTTTGTTTACTCATACTTTTACGACTTCTATCTGCTTATGCTGTGTTACTTGCTCTCAAAGCAAACAAGAACATTTTCATTTCACATGAACATAAACTGCTCTGCCCAGTTCAGTTCCTGCCCTTGTTTTTGGCAGGTTTTGAGCCCTTAATTGGCTCTACACTGGCAGAACACCTGTGTAAAATACGTGCTCGGCAATGAGCAAAAGTTTTGAGTTTCCTTTTTAGGGTGGAGGCATGGGAGCAAGACATGAGAGTCTTCCAATAAAAAGGTAGGGAAGGAGTAAGCAGCAATAGGGGAAATGTCCTTCCTAGGTGATGTCTCTTACATAGCTGTAAATTAACATGCTTTGGTGGACAATCAGTACTCTTAAGAGGGTGCTGGAGTTTTCAGGTCTTTCAACCATTGAAGGGAATGCTGTGCAGAAGTGTTTGAAAATAAAGACCTGTTCATGTGCTAGACCTTGTTGTGAAGAGGGCAACCTCACCTGGCCATGCCCTCAATATTGTGCCCCTTGTTGGGGATCCCAGTTGCATACATGTGTAAAGGTCAGACAGAGGGGTAGGCCTGGGTGGGTGTAGGAGATTGGTTCACAGTATTCGCCATTGTGCATTCCAATTTCAAAGACAGCAAACTCCATTAAGGAAAGATGTTCAGTTGCTGATATCCTCAACTTTTTGTATTGAATCTCCAAAATTTGCATGCTATCTACAGTGGGTTTGAGGGAGGAGTAAGAACAATGTATTTTGCCCTAAACATATTGGAGAAAAAGCCAGATCCTGAAATGGTGGTGGTGTTCTCTGTTCAAAGTTCTTGAGTTGGGGAGGTGAAGAGACAGCCTGTTCTGGACTGGGTTGCACTCCTCCGAAAGGTAGCTTGGTGCTCTTGAACACAATACTGTCTCTGGAGGTTCAGGTTTACAGAATCATAGAATTGTAGAGTTGGAAGGGTCCCTGAGGATCATATAGTCAAACCCCCTGCAGTGCAGAATTATGCAGCCAGCCCATACACAGATTGAACTTGCAACCTTGGCATTATCACCACTACATTCTAACCCAGGCATAGGCAAAGTCGGCCCTCCAGATGTTTTGGGACTACAACTCCCATCATCCCTAGCTAACAGGACTCAGTGGTCAGGGATGATGGGAGTTGTAGTCCCAAAACATCTGTAGGGCCGACTTTGCCTATGCCTGCTCTAACCAACTGAGTGATCCAGGCTGAAGTACACAAACTCTAGTGGTGAGTTGTTAAAGTTTCGAGATTACTTACCTCACACAGAGCTCTTCCACTTGGTCAAAAAAGAACCCTACCTGTGGAGACAAGGCTTTTGGCTCAAAGACATAGTCTGTACATGCTCTCTGCTATTCAGCAATTATGTGACTAGAAAACCGTTAGTTAAGAAACCTGTTTATGTGAATTGGTCTAAGATATAGTATTGTTAGAAGCTAATTTCTTTCTTTCTTTCTTCACCCACAGGTGCTTGATTCTTCAACTCTTAGTTTTAGTACTCGAGTCAAATGGTTTGCTATCTGCTTTGCAAGTGGCATTGTGTGTTCCATTCTTGTAAGTAAAAACTTTGTAGAACATATGAAAAGCAACCTGGTTTCTTGGATCTCTGCTTATACTTCTTTTTATTTTCTGTTCTTGAACAAAAGATGCGTAAAACTTCCTTGGGCAAGCAATAGTAAATCTTGATGGTCAGAAAGTGGTATAGCTCTCATGGCACTGTCTTGATTTCATTCTGAAATGAGATTGTATAATAGACTTCACCTCAAAATCCCCTTGTCCCTTTAATGCTGTTATAGCAGTACAGTATATGCATTTGAGACTAGCCACCTAGTCTCAAATGCATATACATGAAATTTCTACGTGCAGGGAGGTTTTTTTAAATATATGTGAGAAAGCCATTCAAACATGGCGCTCCTTGTAAGGGTTGTGCATGACAGGGTATATATATGTTCATATACTGCTGTTCACTTGCATTTATTAATCACATTTACCTGTAAACATGAGCTCAGACCAATTTCAGATCTAACTCTTAAAATCAGTTGAGCAGTGACGGTGACAATTAAAATTATATTTAATTCATTTATATGCCACTTATATGCCAAAATGTCTTTACAATTAATAAAAATATCAGCATGAATATTTAAAAATATTCAACCATTTTTCATAAGCTGTCAGGGAAAGCCTTCAGAACTTAAAGCAAGCATAGAACGGAAACTATAGAAGGAGATGGCCGTTCCCTGTCAGAGATCTGCCAGATACAGTCTGGGTGTTCACACAGAAAAAGGGCTGCTTCACATCGTGGCTGTTCTCTATTTTGTAAACGAGGGCAAGCAGGACAAGGTTTCATTCTTGGATCATAAAGAATGGGGAGGCATTTATCTCACGGCCTGAAATTAAACAAGACTAGCCACATCATTTTTACCATTCTGAATGTAAGGTCCCTTGTAAGATCTAGGTTTCCTGGTGGCCTTATATTGAGAGACAACATGTACTGGGAAGTATTGTTGATTTGAAATATTATTTCAAATAATTCGTTTCTTACAGTCAGGAAGATGTGATTTACTGAAATGGCTTAAATTTGGGCTTCTGCCTTTTTAGTTGTACTTTGTAAGAAGAGTAATTGTATAAATTGGTAGATAAACTGATTGACTCATACATGCATTTCTATTAATTCCAGATATTTAAGTCTGTCACAGTTAAACACTTAGAGGCAGTTAATTAACATCAGTATATCTAGTTGCCAGCAGAGGGTAATATTAGAATGTGCTAGATGTTTGCTGCTGTGTTGATTTTGCGTTAGTATAATATTTAATACCTTACCACTCTGACATCACCACGCTTCTAAAGTTCGCAACTGGGCTTATTTTGTATAGGGGACAGCAATGCTTTGGCTCCCAGGCGCTGGCACAAAACTCTTCGCAGTGTTCTATACCTTAGGAAATATTGCTGCATTAGCCAGGTATGGACAGATTTATTTATTTAAAAGTTTTAATGAGATGTGTAATTTTAAACTTCATTTGGAGAGAACTGCAAACCGAGAAAAACATTGTATATGGTACTTTTAAAAGAAAGGACATAATAAAAATTGAATCTCTTTGTAAAATGAAAACTGCCTTCCTGTGTTGCTGTCTGTTTATGTGTATTTGATGTGAGACCTTAAAAAAAAAAAGAGGATGCATCTTATCAGAAAATACTGATATTTCACAAAAGAAACTGGGGCACACCTGCCTATCTGAGTAGATGACTAGTATGCACACCACCCTTGTAAATAACCCCACAAAAATTACTAGCTTGCCAAATAAGTTGCTAGTTTGCAGGGGACTGGTAGCCTAAGGATCTAGACCTCTGCCCTCCTTCCAGCAGATGGCTCCATTTCTATGCTTTTACTAAGGAAGTTTCCCTCTTATAGGAGCCATGGGACAAAGGGCTCCATCCCCTCCTCACCAACCCCCCCACTCACCAGCATGCAGTTCCTTGTTGCGTGTGGCTACCAGGCAATCATTTACATGCAAAACTGATTACATACACATTTTTCCATGTACTTACATCTTCTTCAAGATTAAGTTGTTTGCTCCACCACCAATTTTGTCTGTCAAGAACTTCAATTCTGAAGTTTTGCGCTGCAAAAAGTCTACTCCTGTTCTTTCTCTGCTTTGTCCCAGTAAAACATGGGGGGGTGTCTCTTTCCAGTATCCTTGGGAAAGATCATTAAATCCATCTGGATATTCTAGGAGTAATTAATCACAGGGCTACTTGCTGGTATTGCAGACATACTTCTTAAAAATTAGACAACATCCTTATGCTTTAAAGCAATGTTTTTATCTATAACACTGTACCCTTTTTTTTTGGTCTGCTAATATGACTTGCATCCGAACTTTTGGCAGTTTTTTAGAACTGGGTTAAAACTTGTAACTCTGTAATGCTCGAGTAATTTAAAACTGTGGTGATTTTAAGGAACAAGTAGAGTGCCAGTGCCACAAGGAGGCAGCTGCTTCATGAAATTCACAAACTAGCTGGATTGCAAGGTCTTCCTATATTCTCAATGTAAATCAGTTCTCTCATTATGCTTTCAACACTAATAGAGGGGTATGGGATTTAAACTATAAACATTGCCGTTCAACAAACACACATGCTTCTTTGGTTCAGTTAATGGCAGGCATGCTTATTGTTTAATTTCTTGCAAACCAGTACTTGCTTCTTGATGGGCCCTGTGAAACAACTGAAAAAGATGTTTGAACCAACAAGATTAATTGTGACAATTGTTATGCTGGTAAGCTACATCTTTTCTGTATTTGAAAATAATGAAGCGTAATGTTGAGTTTCCCTGAGGGTATTCTGGCAGAGTCGGTATTTAAATTAGAACTTCATAACGTCACTGAGATGTTCCCTCCCTCCCCCCCAAAATTGTGTTATGTATAACATATCTGTTTTTAGGAGGAGTCAGAAAATGATATGATACAAGCAGACAATTGAAGATTGTGTTCAATTTTATCAAACTAATTTTGTCAGCAGAATAGGTAATTCAGGTTAGGTTATGACTGTGTTGTGAGCTTACATAATGCTTCGGTGGTATCTTTTGATTTTAAAATGAGAAAATGGAGGGAATGGGTACATAGTGCTTCTGGAAAGATACTAAATAAAACATTGAAACTGCCAAGAATGCACTAACTTTGGTAGATTTTCTACATTCCAGAGTTTTAGTGGGAGAATATTGCATAATTATGTATTGCTTAAGTATATACTGATATGATTCTCCTTTTCTCCAGTTGTGTTTTATCTGTACCCTATGTGCTGTGTTCTGGGTAAGTAATATTGTCTTCATGCCAACCTTTCTGGGTGTATTGGCACATTTGGAATTTTGAAAGTGCACCACCTCCTCTGTTTGTTCTTCTTCACCCTCCCTTGGTTTATTCCCCTCGCAACAAAAAGTGTAGTACACACACTTTGTGTTTCCAAGGGGTTTGGGTAAAAGTTTGATCTAGTGGAGTTAAAACGAACCTCATGAATTTGCATGGGTTCTCCAAAATCCTATCAAATTAAGCTTATATTGGTAGACTACACAATAAAAATTGCAAATCTGATATTTGCCAGCACCACGGAAACATTGATCCAATGCAGAAAAAACTTCATAATTTTAATTGGATGACAACGAAACTACCAATGAAAGACATAAAGCTTTTGTAGACACACAGGGAAAAAAGGAAATTTCTCAAGAGCACCATTACATCCAGGGGTGCCATACTGGTGACCTCTTACCAGATTTAATGTGTCATCAGCATAAATTAGTTTAATGTTGAAATCTGGGTCTGTAGGCTTTGCTGTGTCTAACTGAAGTTTGAAAGGTCCTTGGATTTAGGGCTTGTGTAACCAGGCACCTGCAAATTCAGCCCTCCATATGTTGTGAGACTACAATTCCCATCATCCCTGACCACTGGTCCTGTTAGCTAGGGATGATGGGAGTTGTAGTCCCAAAACAGCTGGAGAGCCGAGTTTGGGGATGCCTGCTCTGACTCTCCAGACATGTCAGACTATGATTCCCATCACACCTAACCATTGTCCATGCTTGGTGGGGATAATGGGAGTTGGAGTCCAACAATATCCAGAAAACCGTATGTCTCCCACTGCTGCTCTTAGTGTTTTTACTACTGATGTAATCCTGGCCACGTAGTGTTTACTTTCATTTTTTAATAAAAACATCTAGTTAACATAAAATTTTATATGGGGTAAGCCAGTCTAGTGAAAATATTTGCATATTTAATACTGCACTCCTATATAAGCTTGCTTGGGAATAAGTCCCATTGGCTGTGGCAAAAGTTAAAGGTAAAGGTACCCCTGCCCGTACGGGCCAGTCGTGTCCGACTCTAGGGTTGTGCGCCCATCTCACTTAAGAGGCCGGGGGCCAGTGCTGTCTGGAGACACTTCCGGGTCACGTGGCCAGCATGACGAAGCTGCTCTGGCGAGCCAGCACCAGCGCAGCACACGGAAACGCCGTTTACCTTCCCGCTATAAAGCGGTACCTGTTTATCTACTTGCACTTAGGTGTGCTTTCGAACTGCTAGGTGGGCAGGAGCTGGGACCGAACGACGGGAGCTCACCCTGCCGCGGGGATTCGAACCACCGACCATGCGATCGGCAAGCCCTAGGCACTGAGGTTTTACCCACAGCGCCACCCGTGTCCCTACTTGCCAAAAGTTAATTCCTAATAAATATGCATACTTTGGGTTATGCCCTCTAATGGAAGTGTATAGCAATGCATTTTGTTCAAGTGTTTTAATCAGGGTTAATTTGCCATTGGAGCTTCTTGAGACTCATTTTAAATTTATTGATTTTAAAAACAGTGTCAACAAGCTCACCATATGTTCCTTATCTCTTTCTCTCTAGTGGGGCAAGAAAGGGCTAGCTCTGCTCTTCTGCATTCTGCAGTTCTTGGCAATGACCTGGTAAGTCATTATAAACATTTTTAACACTACTGTCATATAAAACTCAGCATGTAAGTACGGTATGTTATCTTGCAAGCTGTGCAATGTGATATTGCTGTCTTGATCCGTAGCCTTTTAAAAAAGTATCTCCTCTGCTTCAGAACTTACTGCAGGTATATAAAAAAAAGCAGAATTGATTTATCTCCCACCTGTTGCTTGGATTTTGAGGTCTGAGTAGGGCTATAGGAATAAATATGTATGTGTGCATATTAGTAGTTTTTTAACTGTGTTCTTGTGAGCTTTGAGATTTCTGTGAAAGTTACCAGAAGCTCCCCAATGAGATCAGGAATAATGAAAGCAAAAGCAGGGAAGTCCATTTTTTTGTAGGCATATACCATTGGAGGTCATCCAGTATTAGATGGGGGGAAATAGATTCCAAATTGTTTTTTCTGTAAGAGTTTTCTAAATTTAAATTTATTAAACTGCATGTAGGGGCAAAGATAGTGTCCTATTTTATTATAGCCTTGTTTAGTACTAGCCTGGTAGCCATGGGCAGCAAGGTATTTCATGCAGGTGAATGAGTGCATTAGTGCAAGGAGGACACTGTGTTCCATCCTACCTCCATCAGACCCTAGCAAGCTAGTCACTTGTGCTTATTTTCAAGGCTGTTTTTGCTTCCTCTTGGACTACTTCGGTTCTGTGGCACTTGCATAAGGCCAGCTTGTGTACCATCTTGCAGGAGGCCGTGTAATTTGCTTGCAACAAAATCTGAAATGGAGAGTGGATTCAGGAATGCCTTGGCAGTACACCTAGTTCTTTCAAAAGCCCTCTTATTCTAAACTTACGTATAATCTGAATAGGTAATCTAAAGGACTTATTGCAACAGGTTGACATTGTAGAAGGTGGAGTAAAGCAGGAAGAGTGAGCTAATGTTAACTTTTCCTCTTTCTCTTTCAGGTATAGTCTGTCGTATATCCCTTATGCACGGTGAGTCAGCTTGCTCTTTTGCCCTGCAAAAATAAGAGCCTGTATAGTTATCTTGCAGCTTTTAAAAACTGTTCTTGTGAGAAACTATTCTTCAGATTTTTTTTCTATGTAATCGTATCTAGCACATCTTACATCACTAAATATTTTACAATTGCTATCAAAAAGCAAATTTCCTGTTACACTCAACTTAACCTTGTACTGTGCATCTTCTAACGAAGTTGAGCTTCTAATATTCCCTTCCTTAAAGGGCAGAGGATTGTTTTGAAAGCAACACACTAGTTCTTGTGATGCCTAGTTGACAACCTGCCACCAAAGAACAGCTAATTGTGTGCGCTCTGTCTTGATACATGCTTACTTGAAAGTAAGTTCTGTTAAATTCAGTGGCGTTTATTCCTATGAAAGCATATTGCTCATCATGATATACTGCTCAAAATAAAACAGGGACAGTTTCATGTAAGAATGTATTTACTGAAAGCATATTGAGGAAGATGATTCCTTTCTCAGACCATCAGTAACTAAGTAGCCTGGTTCACACAACATGGTAAGTCAAACTATAACTTGCTGGGACCATGTGAACTCCTGGAGAAATGCTCACAGGTGTTTTATCTCCTCCCTGGTCCTTTTTAGCTTTGCATTGAACTAAGCTAAAGTTTGGCTTAGCATGCTGTCCAAAACTAGATTTGTGGTTAAGGCATTTCTTTAATGACCACGAGATGTAGTCAGGGTTTGATTGTGTCATACAAACCAGATTTGTATCTGATTTCCTGGAGTTCATTTGGTAACTAGATGTTGTTATCACAATTGTTGTGAGTGTTATGATAATACATGTGGTTGATAAAATTAACATGCAGTATAGGCATACAAAACATGGTGAAATTATCTTTTTTTCTTTTCTTTTAAAGGGATGCAGTGATAAAATGTTTCACGTCCTGCCTAGGTTAAAGTGAACTGAGAAGAAATCTGCAATATTTTTGGAAGCCAACTACATTTCTCCCAAGTTTACTTGGATTTTTTCAGCGCCTGAAATGGTGAAATCCACCTTCCACAATAGATTAAATTGTGTTAGCAAAATAATCTTTTAAAACACACAACACTGGCACATCAGGAAACCTTTAAATATTTGTTCTTAAAATATTTGGTAATGTCGGAGTCTTAAAACTGTTGCATCAGGTTTAGCTAACATAGTTTAATCTCAAAACTAGATCAAAGTAGTCTTTGGATTTCAGGTAAAAGGCATGTAAATACTTTTGTCTAAAATTTGCTATTTACCGTACCATTTGTGCATTATTGTTACATGCTTTTCCCAAAGAATTTTAAAATTATTGTAAAATGAAGTATTTGCCAAATTTATAGCTAATGGGGCTTTTTTTGAAAAGTTAAAGTATGTGTTAGCCTGGAAAGACTGTAAATGTGTAAGGCTGTTTTAAATGCTTGAACTTCTTGTTAAGCTTATATTTTAAATGCCAACTTTTTGTACTGTGATACATAAAATACACTTGACTAAAAGTAATATATTAAATCATTGACTACAAAATAAATATACTTTAAAAATATGCACTCTTGAATTGAAGATCTACCTGTTTTGTAGAATAATTTCACTTGGATATTACTGGGTTGGTTCACATCCCATGCCAAACCATTATATAGTAGATCCTTGGGCTCATGCATTCCCTTCACACATTCAGTTACGTACTTCCTGTTTACTTCTTCTTCTTCTTTGGTGATCACTCGTAGCTGGGTAAGATTGTCTTCCATTAACATGGTCTTAACAGTGAGTACGCTGTAGTTTGCAGGGGACTGAATGTGTAACATGTTATGGAAGTGGAGAACACAGTTGATAGATGAAGGATATAGACAGATGCACACGGAGGGTATATAAACATTGCTGCAAATGTGTATTGTGTACTGCTTAAAGTCAGGAAACGTAAGTCATATGTAGGATTTATTTGAATAAAGTATTAAAGATGGATTGTGGTGTATCTTAGTAATGCTAAATAAAGTGACAATTTCCAGCATTAACATGCAACATTAAAAACTACTTTAAGAGCTAATAAAAGCTTTAGAATTCAAGAAAAACACCATCTTTGATGTTTAGACACCATGTAATTTTGGCATCGTGCAAATTGCCAAGGGGAAGAAAGGGTTCTACACCCAATTTTGCTAGGTTGGCTATTTATACAAGCCTTGTATAGTGGGGTGAAAAGTTAAATAGCATTCATGTTTTTACTTGCTAAATAAAAAAACCTCTCCCAAGTAGAGGAGGGGATAGATAATACTTATAGTTCAGTGTAAGGTGGCTTTAAAAATGGATGTCATAGATGTGTGGAAGGGTGTGAGTACATAGTGTTTTGTTCAGCTTCTTTGCATATCATGTTAGTGTATTGGGGGCCCTGTGTGGGTATGCTACTGGTTTGCTAATTCCATGTACAAATGGGATGAGATCTGGGTTACAAGTCAAGCTTTATGTTAAGCTGTTGCTGCTTTCTCCCCCAAAGTCTACTGAACCTTAAAACTATGGAGACTGTGCCTGCAATCCCTTTTGGATCAACTCAACCTCTGATATAGCCTAACATTTATTCTGCGCGCAATAGACCAGACGGGGCATAACGGGGAGAGACGATATATATGGGTGTGTTTTAAGGAGAGCCAAACTACAGGCGCGCAAAGTCGTGTTCTTGGAGGCGCAAGACGGGCCTCGGCTGCCTGATGCCGCCCCCCCGTCGGCGCTCGCGGGACTTTCCGCCTGATAGGGGGCGGCTGCCCGCCCGTCCGTTCGCAGCCACGGCGCCCGGCTCGCTGGCCGGCCTCCGCCGAAGCCCTCGCCTCTTCTCCCCCCGCCCGACCCTCTCGGCTCCTCCTCTCGCCTCCAACCAGCCGCGACCGCCGCGTGTCTCATTCATCCGCAGTGCCAGAGAGCGACGTTCGCCGCGCGGCCGGGCTCGTTCGCGGAAGCTGCCTGCAAGCCCCGGCTGAGGGCGAGAGGCTGGCCGCCGCCTCCTTCTCTGAGGCGAAGATGTCGAGCTGAACTACAACACACAGGAGGAGGAGGAGGAGGAGGGAAGGGGCTCCCGCCGGCGGCCGCGCCATGTCCCTGCCTCCTATCGCGCCACCACCTGCTGCCGCCCCCCGACTCCAGCTCCGGAATGCGCAGCAGCCGAGCCCGGGCGCTCCCAAAAAGGCGCCGGTGCCCCCCCTCGCGCCAGCCAAGCCCCCTCGGAAAGGTCGCGGCGGCGGGGCCCCTGCGGAGCGCCCTGGCGGCGGCGCCTTCTCGAGCTCTTGGCCCAGCGCTTCTCTCCCGAGGCAGCTGCCGCGCAACAGAGGCGCCCCGCCGCTGGCCGCCAGGAACCCGCCCGCCGCAGCCGCCCCGGCCGCGGGGGCGCCTCCGTCTCCGGCGTCGCGAGGCCGCTCGGTGGCGGGGCCGCCGGGCCCGGGCGCGCGCTCCTGCGAGAGCCTTTGCGCGGCGGGGCGCGGGGAGGCCGCGCTGCGCTTCTCGCTCAGCCTGCCTCCCGAGGCGATCCGGGTGCTGCAGCGCCGGAGCATGGAGAAGCAGCAGCAACAGCAGCGGCGGCCGCGCGGGAGGACGCCCCGCTCCGCCTCCCCGGACGCCGCGAAGCGCCCCCTGGCTGGGTGCTCGGCCGGCGGCGGCGGCGGGGACTTGCGCGCCCTGCTGCAGGTGTCGCTGCTCAACGAGCGCCACCGCTACGACGACGTGGAGTACGAGGAGGAGGCCGACGGCGAAGGGGCGGCCGGCGTCCCCGGAGCGTGCGCGGCCGACGAAGGGCTGGTGCGCAAGTGCACCGAGTGGCTCCGCGGCGTCGAGAGCGCCGCCGCCCGCGACCGCGCCGACAAGCTGGACACGCTGCCGCACTTGGGCACCCTGTGAGCGGCCGGCCAGGGGCTCCCTCTCCCGGGCCCTCGGCCAAGAAGCAGGCAGACCCGAGCCCGCCGTCTTCTTCCTCAGGGTGGTGTCGTAGTTGGTTCTTCGTCACCAAAGGTCGCCTTCCCACATCACCTGTTGTTGACTGTGAACGGATTTCCTCCTCTGTCGGCAGAAAGCTCTTCCACCGGCCTGGCCAGTGACTGTGTGTGTGTGTGTGTGTGTGTGTGTGTTTTCTGAAAAATAACATAACACGTTGCGTTCGGCTGAGCTTCCAAGATCAACCACGCCTCTGTCTGTTATAAGAATTGCTTTCATCTCGACCCTTTTTCAATGGATTACGGCAGCTCAGACGAACAATTCATCTCTGTGCACATAGTGCGTGGAAGGAAATGTGCTTAATCGCCCCCTACACCCTTTTGAGCATGAGAGGTGCCTCTGTCTTGGGCACCCTGCGCTAGGAATCTGTTCCACATTTGTTTGGGGCTGTTGTTGCTCAAAATCTTAATCGAAAAAGACAGTTTTTATGATGATCTTATGGAAAACCAATCCTTTGTGTTGTTTTTGGCTGGAATAATAGAGACAATAGCTTTAAAGTGATGGGGAACGAAGTTCAGCCTCTCCGTGTATAGATTTTACTGTGGCCAAATGTAAATGTTGAATTTTTTCATGGTTGTGTTTAACTTATTATGGTAACATAGCAATGTGTTTTTATTTTTGTAGCCTGTGAAAAGAACCGAGTGCACAGAGACAGCTGAATATTTTTTTGTCACACTTTATAAAAGCATAATTCGCAGCCTGAGGTCCAGGAGAAGGTAAGGAATCTTGTTAGTTTCTCCACTTTTTCCTCCCTGTTCCTGAGACTGCGAAGTTTAGGAAAGAGCTTTTGTGCTACATGACTAAGTGCAGGTGACTCCAAAGAAAGAGGCTGTGTACAGTACAAAAACTTGGCACAAACTTCAGTACTAACAAACTTTTTTAAAAAGTACATTGTAAATGAATAGCACAGTGATTTTGTAAATTTGTAATATTTCTATTTATTTGAATAAACAGTTAAAATTGGTGAGGAAGCATATTTTGCCTGTTTATTCTGCTACTCCACAGTTATGGGGTGGGACGGGAAATAAAGGCTATACTGTTGAACAATCCTGTATTTTTAAGTGCTGTTATTTCAATGGGTGAGATTTAAGCATATAAAACTCTCTCAGTTGAAATGGATAGGGCTGCAAATTGCTTTGCTTTGAGTGAATTTTTCAAAAGAATTGCTGTTCTATAAAATAAATCCAGCAGATTGGTAATCTCACACTGGAATGAAAACTAGGTCTTTGAGATCATTGTGCATAAAGGAGCCAGGGAGGCAAGATAAAAAGCAACGGCTCTGCAGCAAAATTGAGTTTTCTAGGAACTCATAAGTGAGAGCTGCATATTTAGCGCTTCCGTATTTGTGTTGTGTACCTGTCTTTTAAGAGAACTGATAGAAACAAACATCTATTTTGACCCTAAAGGATAAACAAACCCTCTTTTCTTGCTAATCGTTAACAAACTTTCATATGGAGCAAAACAATAGCACAGAGTTATAAACAAGATAGTAGTCAACACTAGTCCCAGGCAGAGTACATACACCCATTGAAGTTAATAGGCTTAGGTTTAGTAGGGAGAATTCATATCTGCTAAGGCAATTGTTCCATCAGGGCAAGCATTTCCCCCTTCTCCCACCATGTACTTTTCTGGGGGTTCTCCCTATTTCTCCTTGCAAGGGGCTCATGGGGAGGAGAGCCCCCGTGTGCAAGCAGAAGTCTCTACATAGGGCTTCCATGGAAGGGACTTGTTAGTTGAATCTTTCCCTTAATGTCAGTGGATCTACTGTGAGTAGGGCTTTGTTGAAATTCAGGGTAAGTTTTACTCAAAGCAGACCCATTGAAATTAATGAACACCGATTCTATGATTCTACTTGAGTTAGGTCCGTTCATTTCAATAGGTCTGCTCTTTGTTGAATTCTACCCAGAGTCCCTCAGCTGGAGTTGGTGCATAAAGATTACCCAAATAAAGGCAGCAACCAGCATTCTGAGAGTGGGGGAGGCCTGAACATGTTTTTTTTCTCCTGACATGATTCAGCGTCTAACTAAATACATCTTTGTGGCTTTAGTTTTGTGTGCTGGTTTTATGCTTATTTTAAAATACAAAGAACACATTCATTGGAAGGTTTTTAAATGCAACGGGCAATGAATTTCTCCAGAACATTGATGCCAGCCGCAAGTGAAATGCTTTAGACCAGGGGTCATTTCATACATTATCTGAACAGCATGGGAGCTGCTTGAATGTGGCAGAATCCCACGCTGCTCTCAGCACTTAGAACGGAAACAGCAACTGATGGGGATTCTCTCTGCTTCCCCTGCCAGCCTTGTCCAGCCCATAATGTTCTTTCTAACAGATGTTACCAGGGTAGTATGGGCCTAAGCAGGCAGTAGCTGCCATGTGACTCAGGTGGCACATGGAACCACTGTCTTATGAATCACATCTATAGCTTGGAGAGACAGAGAGAAAATGAGAATTATTTGGCAGTGTCTCCCTGATAGGCAGTTTGGGATGGAATGGTGTGCGGGCAGAAATCGCTGTAATGTCCGGGGAAATCTGGACTTACGGCAACCAATGTCAGAAGCCTAGATTTTTGTGCATTTCCTTAAAACTAGCTCCAAAACTTAAAAAAAAAAAGCTCAACAACTGTCGGATTTTCACTTTTTGAAATATGGTAACTCTAGAGTTATGCTCCAAGTCTCATCAAAGGTAGCTGCTTCAGTATGGGATTATCAGCAGCCAGCCAGAGTAAGCAGAACTGTTCACATTTCCCAGCCCCATATATATGGAGCATTTGGCCCCCCAGATGTTGCTGAACTACAACTTCCAGCAAGCATGGTCAAGGATGATGGGAGTTGTAGTTTACCAACATCTGGAGGGCCAAAGTTTCCCCACATCTGCCCTATAATGAGCTCTGAAGTCTTAAGGAGAGGGAAGAGACATCAGAGCTGTGATTCTGAGAAATCCTAATACTGCTTTTTTCCTTCTACCTCATTTCGTTCTTGCATAGTGTGCTATGATGTATAGTAGGTGACCTGTGGCCTTCTAGATGTCATTGGACTCCAACTCCCATCATCCCTGGCAATTGGCCATGCTGACTGGGGCTTCTTTCATTATTTCTTTTGTTCTGTGACTTCTAGGTCCAGGGTTGTTTTTTTTGTCCTGCCCCACTTTCTCACAGTTTACTGCTGCATTGGAAGAAATGCCAATCCGCAGAAACCCCAATTGACGCTTGCTTCAATTCGGTAGTAAACAGAGGGTTTTCCAGGGAAAGTGGCAGGACAAAAGAAAGACTTCCCAGACCTGTGCCTAGAAATCATGGCATAAATGGAAGCACAAATGAGCCCTGAATCTCCTGCCCCTTTCCTTCTTTTTAAACTTCTTAAACTTCTTTTTAAAAAGTGGCTTTTCAGACAGCAGCTGCCTGTCAACTTGTATGTGCAAATTAGCATGTACAGTATTTGTGTCATGGGCCTATGTCCTGAGTCCTTTCAAGTACCCATCAACACCCCTGCTGCGTACATTTGCACATCTGGGCTGGCTTTTCTCTGGATGACTAGCATCCAATGGTGATTTGCATTTTTATATAACCTCACACCATGTCTTTCAATAGTCAGAGTGTCAACAAGTGATGAGTGTTTGTATTAAGTATTGTTGATCCATGTATGTACTGTTAAAATTATTTATATATCAGTTTGTGGTTTTTATATATTTGAGCCATTAAAAATTGTATTTTCAGGCTTTGTGTGTTAAAATTATATCTTATGTAAATACTTTTTTTTCACTTAGGCAGAAATCCTGCACATACTTATTGGAGTTTATGGTAAATCTAAGTAAGCAATCATAGGATCAGTGGTGGACTTTGGTAATGTTTGGTAATACAGCGCCCTGAGTGAGGCCAGAATTTGCCTGCTCCCACCCCATGGATCTTCTCAATTACAGATCTTCCTAATATTGTGCCCCCTCAACTCCTGGGGGCTGACAGAAAAGGGATGCAGAAGTCATTTATGTGCTGGGCACAGAGAAGAGGGTTCCTCTGCTTTAGCAACCTGCTTGGTTGCACAGTGGGAGACTAGAGGGCCAACCCACTTTCTTGCCTGCATAAAATTATTGGGTCATCTATGCTCACAGGCTAGTGTTTAAATTAGGATTGGAGAACCTTTAATTTTTCAGATGCAGCTGGACTACAACTCCCATCATCCCTGACCATTTACCATGTTGGCTGGGACTGTTAGGATTCAGAGTCCAGCAGCATCCAGGGAATCTAAGTAGCCTTACTTGCAAGCAAGTTCCATTAACATCAATAAGATTAATTCCAAATAAAGTTGTTTCATATTATGCGGAAGTGAATTGAAATATACCCACCTGATGTGTTTAGGAGACAAGGCATTTATTTGCCAACAAAAATTATTCAAATCTCATGAAAATATTGTGCAGTTAGCTTTCAGAACCAGGATCAAAAAGTTCTAAAATAATATTAAGTAGGTAGATGGACCCTTTTGCTCAGATCCCTACCAACGGATATCAGCATCAGAACAGAGGTGGTCGTTTTTGGAGAAATGCTCTTACAATACAGTATTGTTCTTCTATGCAACTTTATTTTTGGGATCTCAAAGCTAGCTTTCACTTTTTATTTACTTCGGTTGGAATATTTGTTGCATTCCATCAGACACAATGGGATGCTGTGATTTGTTCCCTTTGGAGCGCCGTGGAAGCACGTCCATAACAAGGGCAACCATCTTGCAGCAAGATGCCTTTCTTGCAGACATGCTTTCTTGTACTTGTTGCCAGATTTGCTCTTTGTACACAGTGCAGAACTAGCTGTGTTTCCACTCTGAACTTCCTAAAAAACTCACCCATCATCACTCTACTTTTCAAAGCGCCTGGTTGCAGCTGGCCTAAATGTCGGTTAATGCCTACGATACATAGGTATGTTACCCTAGCCAGTTCCACTGTGCCTGGCTGCGAAAGAAGAGCCTTTGTTCACAAATGAAACTTCTTCATCTTTCTGTCTCGGACCGGCCAAGAGAACCTGCGGCTCCCCATTTGTTGAACTATAACTCCCATCAGTCCCAGCCAGCACGGTCCGTAGTCAGGGATGATGGGACTTGTAGTCCTCGGGAAGCCCCCTCACATTAGCCGCCCCGAGTTTAACGCATTCCAGTGGCGGCATGAATATTCATGGTGGGATATCTCGCCTTTTCTTTACCAGCGCCCCGTTTCACGGCGAAGCACTACTGTGGGAGAAGTGAGCGCGGGAAAGAGGCAGGGTCGGCGTCCGGCGCTGAGGGCGCGCTTCTCGCCGGCGAGGGCGGTGCCGAAAGCGGACGCCGCTGCGAAGCCCGGCGCGCCTCTGCCTGGCGGGGCTCCGGGGAGAGCCTGGAAGCCGCGTCCCGCGCTTGTCGCCTCGCGCGGTAAGTTGGCGCGGGGCGGGAGGGTCTCCTGCCAGAGGCCTCTGCGGGCGGAGCGAGAGTCTCTCTGGTCCTGGGACTCGGGCAATTGGAGGGTTCCCTTGCCCCCGAGAAATGAAGCCCCTTGCCCCCTTCCTGCCCGCCGTGTGGAGCGGTACAAGCCCTGGGAGGAGCAGTGGGATGGGGGGGGGGGCGCTGAAAGGCAGAGGGCGCTGCCTTTGGAAAGCTGGTCCCACTGGGTCCAGTTAAAACTACATTTTGAATAAATGTGCGATTGTGCTTTGATTTTCACCGGGTGGTTGCCTGCCTTAGTGGGTCGTGCAAGCCGCTGTTCTGCATAGCGTGGCCCGAAAAAGTTTTGGAACCGGTAATCTGGTCGGGGTACTAACTTGAATAAAATATTTGGGGGGCAAGTAAGCTCCTCCCTGCATAATCGATCACATGACAGGGTACACCCCACCCCCTATTTGAACTGTCCATCAATCTGGGGCAGAGGGTGCAGCCCAATCAAATATTATATTGGGGGGCTGAAGGGGTCTGGCCAGTTGAAGGTCCGGGAACTACAGACCTCAGTCCTTTATTTCAGGGATTAGGCAGAGCTCAGGCTTGGGGGATCTACTTGGTAGGTTTACTACAACTCCAAGATTCACCAATGAGAGCCTGGTGCCAAAAATACACACTTTACATTAAAGAAAGTTGAGCCCAGGAATTTGAAGCAGAACTGAAATGAGATCACAGTTCGTCCGCACAGAAACCTCCTCTTAGTTACCCCCAAAGGATTATTCATTGCAGCGGTATAATTTAGAGTGGGAGGGGAGTTGCTTTGTTGCTGTTCTTGTTAAACAATCGGGAGCCAGACATTCTTGCTGATCTGCTGCACATCACCCAGAGAGTTACCATGAGGTCCAGATGATCTAGCTCCTGCCCACCCCATGCCTCTTTCAACACAAGGCTGCCTGAACAGCCAGCCTGGATAAGGCACTCAAGTTCACTGAGCTGATGTGAAATCTTCTTTTTTCTCACAAAGGGAATGATTGTCCTTCTCCTTGCTGTGGGAGGGGAAGGGCTGTAGCTCCAGGCTAGAGCATGTGCTTTGCCTGTAAAAGATTCCAGGTTCAGTTCTCACTATCCTAGTAGCCCTGGAGAGACTTGTGTCTGAAATGGTGGGGAGCCGAGGCGAAATAGAAAAGGCAGCCTCTTGTACCCTCTCGGGATGTTGGGGGAAAATAGTATTTCCTGTTGCAAGAATTTTGAACTACAAACCTTCCAATATTTCATAGAAGAAAATCAGGACACCCTTAGGTGATTAAAATATCCCTGTTCTCAAACCAAGGATTGATGCCTGAGGATCCAATTGCCACTCTCACCCTGCAGTGTTACACATTGGTGAATGCCTGATTTACATGGTCGTTGTTTATTCTGTGGTAGCCTTTATCCTTCGCTGACTTCTGAGACAGGAAAGGGAATATAACACATTTCTAAAATCTGTTACATTCTAAAACTTAAGAATGTTTTTTCCTAAAACTTAAGAATGTTTACCAAAAAGTGTTTAGCAAAATTTGATACATGCAAGCCCCGGTCAGTTTAATGGGGCTCACTGCCTAATGAATGGGTAATAGATTGCAGCCCTGGGTTGTAATACTGTACATACTTACCTGGGAGTAATTCCCCAATGGGCTTACTTTTGAGTAAAGGTAACGGTACCCCTGACAGTTAAGTCCAGTCGCGAACGACTCTGGTGTTGCGGCGCTCATCTCACTTTACAGGCCAAGGGAGCCGGCGTTATTCTGCTTCTACAGACAGTTTTTCTGGGTCAGGTGGCCAGCATGACTAAGCCGCTTCTGGCGAAGCCAGAGCAGCGCATGGAAACAATGTTTACCTTTCCGCCGGAGCGGTACCTATTTATCTACTTGCACTTTTTGGCGTGCTTTCGAACTGCTAGGTTGGCAGGAGCAGGGACCGAGCAACGGGAGCTCCCCCCTTTGCGGGGCCTCAAACCTTCCGATCAGCAAGTCCAAGTGGCGCGGTGGTTTAAATCACAGCGCCACCCGCGTCCCAAGCTACTTTTGAGTAGACATATACAAAACTTCATCTCACAGTGGAACTGACTGAACCTGCATAATGGCAGCAAGTTGTTAATGTTGGTACACATTTTTATGTGGGTAGGCCGTGTGTGTGTGTGTTGAGAAGGGAAGTGTAGGTGCACCCAACTTTGCAGGTACCATTTAAAACAGTTGGGGTACATTTTTCAGCCCAAGGGCCACATTCCCTTTTGGACAACCTTCTGGAGGCCACATGCCAGTGGTGGGTGTACTGTAAATGAATGTACATGCTGCCTTTATGCTGCAGGCCAGCTCCTTCCCATGCCTTTCTCTGTCTTCCATCCATGTAAGCAAGAGTCACAAGCATACATTCCAGCCAGTCAAATACAGTCAAAGAGAGTGTGAAGCAAGGCCAATGAGGGGATTTCCTGGGCTGAAAGTGGGTGTTTGGGTAGGGGGCATGAGGTTCCACACTCTGATTTAAAAGAAGAAAACCAAATGTTCATATATATTCTGTTGGATGGCATATTGCAAGCCTCCTCCCAGCACCACCTGCAGCCATGCTAGTGCCAACCGTATTGCTCTGCTTTCCTTTGGACCACATCTGTGATGATGAGAGGGTGTCTTGTTGTCTGGGCAGCCCAGGACCTCCATACACACTGCCCAGGCTTGCACCATGGGGAGGTCACTTTGGTGCTGCTATCACAGCAGTTTGATTTCACCCCTGGAGGTGCATTCCATTGACTCTCTAGCCAGATGGATGCCAACAAGATATCTCTAGCCAATTCTGAAACACAGCTGTGGGACATTATTGCAGTCAAACCATCAATTCATGTTTTGCTAGATAGGCACATGAAGGGGCTGTGGGTCATATCGTCTCCTAGTGTTCATGCCTTCAGTAGCAACATATGGAACATCATTTCATGAGCTACTTCATAGATGAGCAGCAGTTTGAAGCCTACATTAAAAACCAGCACAATGATTGTGACACAGACTGTCCATGCCATACATTTAAAGCACCTCCCCAAGGTTCCTGAAAATGGTAGTTAACACTTCATGAAGCTACAATTCCCAGTGTTCTTAACAAACTACAGTTCCCAGGAATATTTTTTTGGGGTGCTTTAAAAGTATAGAATGGGCTTACCTCAATAAGTTGGAGGGTAATTCATTGACTAAATGTATTTGAACTAGAACTTCCTTTTGTCAAAATTCTTCTATGTGAAGCATAGCTCTAAGGAGCATTCAATATTTACTTTAAGAAAACCGTAACTGTACAAAGGGGGATGATGAATCAGTGAACTGCTGCGTAATTATTAAACAGCAGAATCCAGAATTACAGTCCTCGGGCAGTTTTACCAGCAGCGATGGCGGAGGCAGCACCCTGTTTGTTTAATCTGGTGCACAAACACTTTGAGGACTGGGTTGCTCAGGTAACTAACCTGTCGCTCAGGTGAACAATATGTTGGTTTGGAACAAAAGCCTTTATACAAATGCCTAATGTTGATTTAAGTGTTCAGCTAGTCCGACCTAATTAGATGTGGCAATATTGTGTTCTCTGCAATGTATAAATTTGTTTACTTTCTTTTCTTTCACAGTACTTCCCTCACAGTAATGCGATATGGCGACCTGCTTGCACCTTTACAAGAAGAGTACACTTCCTCCACTTCTGGATAGGTACCTCCCAGTTAATTCTAGGAATCAGGTAATATTTTAAAAGGTGCCATTGGCCTTGAATGCTTTCAGTGTAGTCATTTTATGTGAACTCTGGAATAAGTTTGTGTCCTTCCTCTCCTCTTTTTAAGAAAGTCCCATGATATAACTAGGATGTGTTTGTCACATGCTCAACTGATGTTCCTCTTCTCCATTACAAATTTTAATTGTAATGGAATTGTTCAGCCCAAATTCACTATGTACAGAAGTTACAAGGCAAACAAGGAAAAACAAAAGCACTACTGAAATGATTTCTCTGATTGGTGGCTTGCTGTAAATAGATACAAATTTAAAACAGATAAGACAGGCCAGGCTGAGGAGAATCCCAGTTAAACAAAAAAGGAATCCTCTCATATCCTCCATCAAGATCTAGGCCTAGGATAGCTTAGGGTTGCCTTTGGACTTGTTGACCATTGAGGCATATTCCCTTTCCTTCCGGTAGTGATAAAGCAGGATTTCAAATCCAAACCCTCCTCCTCCTCCTCCTCCTCCTCCTCCTCCTCCTCCTCCTCCTTCTTCTTTGCATGACTCTGTATCAAAGGGGACTAATTTATGGATAATTTGGGGGGCTTTGGTCATAGCGAACATGGCCATGAGGCCAAAAAAAGTTTGGCTACCTTGATCCTAGTCTGATGAAGAGTTCTGGAGACCACAAAAGCATGCACCCTATTTTGTGATATTTCTGGTTGGTCTGATAAAGGTATTGCCCTAACATGGATTTTGGAGCAGGGGGGGGAATTACTTTATAGCAGCGCTGATAACACTCCCAATGACCCTGTATTAATGAATTACCTTTATTACCATGAAGGTACACAATGCTATTTCAGTGTCTGGGGTGTTGTCAAAGGCACAGATCTGTATGTTAAAACTTTTTTTTAAAAAAAGTCATTTTCTACTCTGAAACATCACTTTTAGAGCCAGAAACACCTTCAAAGCAAGAGGCAAAAAGGACCTGTTACAAGTGCAAAGAGGATGAAAGTGGAATACGTCATACATAATATTGCCATAGTAACAAGGCGATAAATATAGCCATTCATTGCAAAGTGCGGAGGAAGGATGCAAACAGGCCCTATTTATTAACGCTGAAGTTAAATGTAGTTGAGGCACCCCTCCTGAGTATTGCAGAAGCAGAGGTGACTTATAAATCCAATACACCCAGGTTTAAAAAGTGCATCCTTACAGAATCATTGATAGCTGGAGTGGCCCAGTAGACTGGCAGGTCTTTATCTTCCCCACCCACTATGGACAACTTTGGCAGGTGGGCAGGACCACCTGCATGTCAATCATCTGGCATCATAATGTCATCAGATGATTGACACCTTTCAGAAGTTCAAAGGAAATTACTATAGAGCAACCTTCTTTGAAGACTGACTCCTGGTGTGCCTGGCTCCCTTTAGTTGAGAGCTAATGGTCGGTTAGAGGCAACCCCTTTGAAATTTCTTTGGAGCTTAATTTGGCCAACAGACTGGAGGCTCACCATGTCTGAGCTTGGGGCAGGGGCAGGGGGGAAATCAGACATATAAATTACAAATAAGCCCCTTGTTACAGCTTTAAATTCAAGTGGGTGTTTTTTCTGAAAAGTGGAAGAATGCTGGAATAAGGATATAATCATATGGCACACATCTCTGATCCCAGTAGGGTGATGTTATCTTAGGAGCCTGCTCAGAAATGCACCCCATTCACTGGAACAGAGATATTCAAATAGTTGTGAAATGTGCTGGTAAGGGATGATATTTTTCTCCTTTAAGGCACAGTGTCCTGGTTTTGCCTTGAAAAGAGCTGGAAGTTAAAGAGTTGCACGTACAATCCCTAGAACGAATCAGTCTTTCCTCTATCTGTCTATGGTGTCTCTTGGGGCCCAACCACATAACTAGATCCACAATTAGTTCTCCTATATTAAAAGCAGTTAAAAGCAGCTGGACACTGTGGAGTAGAGCCCTTTCCACTGCACTGTTTTCCTAAATCAAATCCCTCAACCCCACTTTTATTTGCCCTGCTGTGGAAGAAACACACATACTGTTTAAACGTTTACCTTTTGCTCTACACGAAAAAAGCAGCTTTTGGAATTAAGCAGTAGATTTGTGACATGGCTGAATGGCCACAGCTGGTACCTTGACTTTTGTGTCAGAGTCTGTTAGCACTTAATGCTGCCCATCCGTAGAAGTCATAGAATTGTAGAGTTGGAAGGGACCAGAAGCGTCATCTAGTCCAACCCCCTGCATTGTAGGAATCTTTTGCCCAACACGGGGATGGAACCCACAATCCTGAGATTAAGAGTCTCATGTTCTACAGTGCTATTGGCGTGACACCATTGAATAAACCGCAACTACTGAATTCTGTATTGGCCTAAAGATATGATACAGAGATGCTGTGTATAGTGTGATGGGGTGAGATGATGAAGCATATGATTCTATTTTAGCTGGGAGCATGAAAAATACATTTTGAGTTGCAGCAGCTACAGCTTGTCTTTTAGAGTCAGGCTCATTGACTGCAGAACATCCCTGGGCTTGGCTTATCAATGTATTCCCTTCATTTTTCTCCTCTCAGTCCAATGTATAGTGGTACCTCGGGTTACATACGCTTCAGGTTACAAACGCTTCAGGTTACAGACTCCGCTAACCCAGAAATAGTGCTTCAGGTTAAGAACTTTGCTTCAGGATGAGAACAGAAATCGTGCTCCGGCGGTGTGGCGGCAGCAGGAGGCCCCATTAGCTAAAGTGGTGCTTCAGGTCAAGAACAGTTTCAGGTTAAGAATGGACCTCCGGAACGAATTAAGTACTTAACCCGAGGTACTACTGTACTGAACTGCAGACCTTTCATAACTACAACTCAGTTTTTCTACCATTGTGGGAAGGTTGAACTTCCTGGCTACTTAAAAATTTCCTCCACCACCCTTTTGATTTTGTTGCCTCTGCAGGGCTGCTCCATCCCTCTGGCCCCTTTTGTAAACTCTGAGGCTTTACACAAGTAGACCTTTCTGGGAATGGCCAGGATTATGCATGTTTGCAGTGTGTCCTTGGTAGCAAAGAATGACGCACAATGTGAGGAGAGTTCTTGCCAATCTGAGCAATGTGCTTATTAAGCAGTATGTTGGTTCTCATCCAGAGACAAAGGTTCCTTCTATAAACAGAGAGGGGAAATCATTTTAAGAACTTTTTAAGTTTGGAAAGGTGTCTTATATACAAGTTACTCTTTACAAGTAATTTTGTTTTACTTATGTCCTTTGAACTTCATTTCTTATTTCTCATTGTGTTCACTCATATTGTTTTCTGACTTATTTGCAATGCATTATTCAGGAGAATGAATATGCTAAAGTTTCTGATACTGACAAGAAATTTTTGCCGTACACGTGCTTTCTTAAAAAAGAAAAAGGAATTGATTTTCTTATTTAAATGTGTTACCCCAAATTCTTAAGTCATATGTTCCTCTTTCATTTATTTTATCTGGGAGCCAGTAGGTGTAAATGATGCTCTTATTCCATTTTTTTTTTAAATGTAGTGTTGATCATATATTTTAGAGAAAGTTCATTTCTGCTCCTCTTTAAAGAAAGCTCAGTTTTGCCAGGGTAACACACACCACCAGATTCAGATTTGACACGCAACTAAAAAAAAAGTTCCTCAGAACACTGAATTTGTAGACAAGTTTGGTCAACTTCTGTCTACCTCAGATATGCACTTGAAACATGACATAGGCTATTAAAGATATAGCTTCACCCATTCTGCATTGCAGGTGACCACAGTTAATCCTGCACAGCACCACGTAGGGGTGATTTAGGGTCATGTATGTGATGTGCAATGGGACGCAGGTGGCGCTGTGGTCTAAACCACAGAGCCTAGGGCATGCCGATCAGAAGGTCGGTGGTTCGAATCCCCACGACGGGGTGAGTTCCCGTTGCTCTGTCCCAGCTCCTGCCAACCTAGCAGTTCGAAAGCACACCAAAAAGTGCAAGTAGATAAATAGGTACCGCTACGGCGGGAAGGTAAACGGTGTTTCCATGTGCTGCTCTGGTTTTGCCAGAAGCGGCTTAGTCATGCTGGCCACATGACCCGGAAAAACTGTCTGTGGACAAACGCCGGCTCCCTCGGCCAGTAAAGCGAGATGAGCGCTGCAACCCCAGAGTCGTTCGCTACTGGACTTAACTGTCAGGGGTCCTTTACCTTTACCTTTATGTGATGTGCAGATTCCAGGAGAACACCAGGTTTATTTATCCTCAAAGCCAGTGGCATTTCTCACACTTATTTACTGAATTTAGCTTGTAACAGTTAATTTGTGCTTTGCTAACAAATGCATTTTATATCCTTTTTAAATGGCATCTAAGTACTTAATTAGTGGTTGGGTTTTCTTGGAGTTGGATTTCCGATCCTGCGTCTTTTGACGGTATTCTGTTTCAGACCGTTTAAAAACACAGACCAGTGGAACTGAATAGGTTTGCCACCTTTTCCTTTGCCTTCAACATCTGCATGGCCAGCAGAAATTCAATTGTTGTGGCTTCTCCTGGTGCGGAGATGGAGTAATGGGAAACTCCAGTAGGACCCTTGTCACTGAATGCAGCTTTGCAAAAAATATCTTGAACCCTTTCTTGTGCGTGTAGGTCACCTCAGCACAAGGCAGCACATAAGTAGTGACCTGTGGCAGCTCTGCTGGTCCATTTTTAGAGTTTTGGTGTACATCAACTTTATGGAGTTGTAAAAAACAACACCACAGTGTTTTCCAAACAGAAAGTGCATCCCCAGGTCAATAGTTTCAGGCCTGCATAATCCAGTGCTATCTACTTCTTGCATGGTTTCAAAATGTTATGTCCAGCATCCTGTTCTCAAGTGGCCAACCAGAACCCCACAGGCAGGATCTGAGCACAGCAGCCCTCTCTCTCCCTGTGGTTTCCAGCAACTGGTATGCAGAAGCATATTGCCTCAGGCTAAACTGCAACAAGCAAATACAAAAGGCTTGTAAAAACCAATAAGTAAAATTACTTAGTCCTCTAGTTACAGTCCTGGCACAAAGGAGGGCTATTAGAGCATGCTTTCCCCTCGCTGGACTGTGATGCTGAATTTCCATTGTTTAAGACTCACCCCACAAGCATCCTGGAGACCCACACAGCCTCCCTTACATATAAGAGAGACCTCAAGCCATGTTTTTATTTTTTAAAATCTGAGTTGCACTTGAAAATATGCTTGCAATGTCTTATGGGGTGGGAGGAAATTTTAGTTACCTTTCAGATGTACATAACATGCTTGTATCATCTGATGCCATGCAAGAGAAAGTGAATATGGTGTTAGGGTGAGAGGCAAATTTAAATGCAATTGCTCGATTTCAATTTTTGTGTACTTTGTTTTTGTCTAGAATGGTCCAAACCTGCAAACGATAGAAACAGACGATAAAAGGAGGCCAAGAAACAACAAGCATGTTTTAAGTGATGAAGATAAAGATGAGCTCATCCAGCGGTCACTGCAAGAAAAGGTAACAGTCCACCATGATAAATGATGTGTTTGATGATTTCTCTACTTGTGAAGGTGCAGCTTAAAATGTGTCCAGAGAAGCTGTTACTACAGGTAGCCCATTTTCTGTATCTTGAATGTAGGATGGAGCCAGTTTCTAAGCTCTGTTTGCTAGCTAGGCATGGACCCCTACGTCATGGCTGATGGGGAAGGACAGAGACTTTTCTACTGTTCTGTGTTGTTATGTCAAACAGAAGCATTTGACTAATATGCAGCCAGCCCATTCAGTATGCAGGTTCTTCAGATGTGGGTAGGACACTTCAGTCATGCTGAGAGATCCTAGTCATATGGGAGGAGCTTGTATTGATTCAGTTTATACTATGCCATTGTTGCCCTTCCAATTTTCTTTTGCAAGAAACTAAAAAAGAATATAATTTTTATTCGTTGTTGAGTCTTTAAATTGGGTGGATGAAGAGGGGAACCTGGTGTCTTCCATACCTTGTTGAACTAAAACCATAGCTGTCCCTTTTTTTAAGGGAACTTCCCTTATTCCGAATAGGATTCCTCGCAAGAAAAGGGAAAAGTTGACAGCTATGACTAAAACTCCCAGGATCCACTCCCAAGCTAGTGGCTAGAAATTATGTGGTGAGTGGCCCTAGCTAAACTGGCATTATTGTTTGAACAACAAAACAAAAAACAACCAAAACCCCTGAAGAAGTGTAGAATCCTAAATAGTTGTAATGAAAAGTGTCCTTCTGGACATTCTCCAAGCCCCTGAGCCGCAAGCAGTTCCTGTTAAGCCCTGCTGAGTGAGTGTTTAAATGACCCAACCAAGCAGACAGAGTAAATTGCATACTCCCTCTCACACCTCCTGAAGAAGCAACCCTTTCAGTGCTGATTCCATGAGACAGAGACATGTGATCAGACCCTGTTCATGTTGGGTCATTTTACATGTTCTCCCAGAAGTGTTGAGCTGGTCAAAAATTGGCAGCTCCCACACTCCTGGGAAAACAATCAAAGAGGGGCATGTAAAAGTAAAAAATGCAGTTTTCCCAAGAACTCACCAAATTGTTTTCAAATCATTAAAATCAATGCCTGCCTGTCGATTGGAGTAAAACTGTTGTAACTTCCATAGTTGTAACTTCTCAGTTGCTCACTGCATTGAAGAGAAATTAAGTGAGAGATTTCTGCTTACCAGATTTCTGCGTCTTAATGCTCAATGGTCCAAAAACTGCTGGAAGGTGAGACAAGTATGCTTTCTGAATAGTTGGGTAGAACTATTTTGCTAATCCCTCGATAAGGGTTATGCAGACCAAAGGAAGTTGATTCAGGGAAGAGATCTGGAATACTCTGCAGAAATACCTTCTTGTGTTGAATTGCTAAATGATTTCATGGTTGTTTGTTCATTCATACATTCAATTCATAACCCATCCTTCCACCAAGGAACTCGGGGTGGAGTACAGTGGTACCTCGCAAGACGAATGCCTCGCAAGACAAAAAACTCACTAGACGAAAGGGTTTTTTGTTTTTTGAGCTGCTTCGCAAGACGATTTTCCCTATGGGCTTGCTTCGCAAGACGGAAGCGTCTTGCAAGTTTGTTTCCTTTTCTTAACACCGTTAATACAGTTGCGACTTGACTTCGAGGAGCAACTCATAGAACGCGGTGTGGTAGCCTTTTTTGAGGTTTTTAAAGACTTTGGTGATTTTTGAAGCTTTTCCAAAACTTTCCCGACACCATGCTTCGCAAGACGAAAAAAATCGCAAGACGACAAAACTCGCAGAACGAATTAATTTCGTCTTGCGAGGCACCACTGTAAATGGTTCTCCCTTTCCCCATTTTATTCTCAAGCACAACTGTAAAGCTGAGAGACCCTGAGTGGCCCAACACCACCTAGTGAACTACAGAAACCTGCTGTTATAGGAACTGTGGTGTCTTCCAGAATCATTCAGAAAAAGTATGATTTTATCTCACAAATAGGCAAAGGAATAAAGCTACACATTGAATGAAATTTGGACTTTTGCATTTAAACACTCAATAGCACCATCTGTTGGAGGCTCACCATAAATACCTAGCATTTATTATTTCCACTAAGAAGTACAAAGTTGTACTTCTTACAACAGAAGTGCTGTTTCAATGGTTAAGGTTGGAATTTAGGGTTGTTAATGTAATATAGAGGCTATAATTTATTGACGCAATGAAAAGACGATACATCAAAAGAAAAAAGAAGAAACGTTTACAAAACACCTTTAAAAACAATGACTCTGACATTGTGCAGTATTGAAGGAATGTCAGTTTTAAGGAGAAGTACATATGCCAGTAATAAATCTTAGCCTGTGTTTCTTTTGCAACAAGCATTCTGTCATCTAGACTTGTATGGAGCAACAAGAGTTATAATAGCAATTTATCACAAGAAAAATGGTGCGACTATTGAAAGGGGTTTTAAAGAAGCCACATAGCTTCTAGTACAAATGCTGTGATGTTTCACAGAATATCCTCTTTGGCATGGAACTACACTTTGGTGGGTGTAAGGTTGCATGGCACAAGAAAAAATATGTATTTGGGAATGCATGGATTAAGGGCAGCATAAAGAGGCTTTATTGCCATATACTAGAGTAAAGGTGTCACATTGATGTAAAGCGTATTTACTCATCCCGATTAAAGTGCAATAGAAAGGTATGACAGTAGGTGGCAGTGAAGAATTGCACTAGAGGAGCGCCCTGTTTGGAGGGGGGAATAATATTTTCTTAGCAGTAGCAGGTTATAGCTTGAGTGCTTGCAAAATGTGATACCTTCCAAGCTGAAGCACTTTCTAGAGGGAAATGACCTGGATCACGCACGGAACTGGTTTGTTGCAGTCTAAATTGATTGCACGAAAAGTGCTTTGGTTAGCTGCTGTACCACCCTGGGAATTCTGTATAAAGGATTTCAAAGCACCTCGTTTCGCAATGCAGAAAACTGCCAAGTGGATCTACTCTTGCAAATTCCCTATTATGATTTTCCTGCAAATTAAACATCTCTTTGGCTTTTTCCATGAGAATCTAAAAATATAATACTGAAAATCTCTTTCATTTCAGCGTTATCTTGAAACCTATGAGAACATGTATAAGCTGAAAAATTTATTGAGTAAACGCTACAGGACATTGTTGAATGAGAAAGTTAGAAAGCAACGAATTCAGATCAAGATGTCTGATCTCAGAGGCCAACAACTTCTTAAAGACAAAACAAAAAAGGTAGGAGATGATATTCTGTAGAAGGAAAAGGAGAAGTTGCCTGGTTGACATTTGCCCAATTGAGAATTTGCATTGACTTTGAGGTCTTATAAATCATGGCCACAGAGAGGAGAAAACTTTTAGAGTTTTCTCTCCCCCCCCCCCATTTGTTTTGTTGATTTTGTGCAGAGTTGTGCAATAAAGTCAACATTTCTTTTTAGAGTTGTCTAAGCTTTTCATGAGCATTCTGTCAGGTCCTGTGCAAAAACGTTTTTGCATGCAGTTCTAGTAAACACTGCAAGCTAGCCTATCAACAGAAAGATTCTTGCTTTGGCCTTTACAAAATGGCAGAATCTGTATGTTTCATCATTAAACTACTTCTCTGAAATACTCCTTTTTTTGATGCACTAAGGCAGCACTCAGCAAACATTTTCAGCAGTCTACTGTCCCTCAGACCTTGTGGGGGGCCGGACTATATTTTGAAATAAATAAATAAATAACAAATTCCTATGCCTCACAAATAACCCAGAGATGCATTTTAAATAAAAGCATACATTCTACTCATGTAAAACATGCTGATTCTCGGGCCGTCCGCTGGCTGGATTTAGAAGGCGATTGGGCCGCATCTGGCCCCTGGGCCTTAGTTTGCCTTTCTAGGCACTAAGGTGTCTTAGATAACTGCAGAAAGTGGGCAACCATATGCATGCATGGATGTCAGATGGTATGTGCCAAGGCAGGGCTGGGGGTGGAATCAAATAACAAGTCAAGAGCATATCCTACTTGAGAGCTTCCCACAAATTTCACAAACCTTCTGGTGCACACAGGGTCTTAAATGTAGCTCATTGGAGCCCATTGTTCACAGTGCAGAGTCGAAATACCCATCCCTGCATGCACATGGGAGAAATTGACTGGGGACCCTAAAATCTGCTGAAGATTTTAATTCTTTTTGATCTTGAAAGCCTTTGCTGTGCCAGCAGTCCTCATTTTAGCCTCGTGAATTTGTTTATTAGACAAGCTAGAGGGTGGCGCTGTGGGTTAAACCACAGAGCCTAGGACTTGCCGATCAGAAGGTTGGTGGTTTGAATCCCCACGATGGGGTGAGCTCCTGTTACTCGGTCCCTGCTCCTGCCAACCTAGCAGTTCGAAAGCACGTCAAAGTGCAAGTAGATAAATAGGTACCGCTCCAGTGGGAAGGTAAGCGGCATTTCCGTGCACTGCTCTGGTTCGCCAGAAGCAGCTTAGTCATGCTGGCCACATGACCCGGAAGCTGTACGCCAGCTCCCTCGGCCAATAAAGCAAGATGAGCACCGCAACCCCAGAGTCGGCCACGCCTGGACCTAATGGTCAGGGGTCCCTTTACCCTTTACTTTTAGTTCCTTCCAAACTTTGTCTGTTCTATGGTGCCCTGTATTTGAAAGAATATTGTTGTTTCTCTCTCAGGCAAGAAGGAAGCAGGCTATCAGCAGTTACTGCAACTGCTTTTGAAATGCTTTCATATGCAACCAAACTGAATGTTTGGCTACCATGCAGCAAACCCAGCTCAACACCCATTAACTCTACTGGCATGACCAGTGGTCAGGAATTATGGCAGTTGTAGTCTAGGAGAGCAACAGGTTCCCCATCTTTGCTATATAGTGCTTCTAGTTTGGTCCCTTAGTGAACTTGCAAAAAAGGGGGGGGGGGCGGACTGGAATCATGCTAACTCAGAGTTTTGTAAACTGCTCTGCTTTGTTTATTCTTCTGTCTGTGCTGACCCACTGGCTTCCTTGGTCTGGTGTGCAGAGTACACAGGAATAATGTGGTCTTTGGAGTACCAGGTGGCGTAAAGGTAGCATGATTGGAATGGTACCTCCAGGACCTGCCAGAAGGAGGATGCTGTGCTGATAAGCCAAAAAAATTGAAATCCCAGTGTTTAATGTTCAAAGGAGGACATGAATTCTGAGAACATAAAGACCAAGCACAAGAACCCGCCATGCAGTTCTTCTATTGAAACTTAACCCTTTTGCCACATATTCACATACAGTACAGTTGTATTATTTTTAGAACCATTAATTATTATTATTATTATTATTATTAATTTAATTATTATTAATTAATATTTTCATCTATGAATCACTTCCCATGAGTGTAACATAGATAAAACAGTTACAAATATAAAAACAGTGAAAACAATTGCACATATAAAAACAATTATAAACAAAAAGTTTATAATTTTATAATATAAAGTTTATAATCATATAAATTCACATCCAAAACAGATTGGTTATACACATGTAGGCTCTGTTCAGACCTCTAAATTGCGGGTGGAGATCATGTGGACCTGCAGAAGTTGCTCAACTCCAACTCCCATCATCCCTGACCCTTGGCTAGATTGGAGTTTTAGTCCAGCAACACCTGCAGTTTCCCAAGTTCCGCATTCCTGCTCTAAAGAAATTCATGTAGGGTAGAGATGGAGTTTGTTGCTGTGATCCCACTGCCACCTTCCCCGTAGGCACCCTGTGCAGCTTGAATGTCTGGGGAAAAGGTTTATGTTGCAAAATGAGCTGGTACTTGAATACGTATGGATTACTTGCAGAAGGCCAAACACAGAATATGTACTTGTTGTTTTCACACTATAGTCACAAGCAAAGAACTTGTAATTTCTGACGCACAACTCAGAGAGGCATTTGTGGAGGAGTTGTGTGTGTTTCTGCTAGCACCAAGCAGTGCAAATAGAACTGTACAAATAGCTTGTGCATCATGTTGCAGAAATGGCAGCACCCCACAAGATAGTAATTCATATGCTTGTTTTATTTGAGATGCTTGCACATTTTTTATCATGTTCTAAGGCAAATTGCTGCATTTCTAAAGATTCCTCTGCAATTTACGGGATTGAGCTTCAAAAAACCCCCCCAAACATTCAGGTCATTAAGAATAAATGCCAATTTTTAAATGATGGTGTTTTCTGGTATGTTCAAGGTTTTAGAGCATTTTATTTATTTTAAAATAAGTTGTTAATTGTGAAGCCTGAGAATCCAAAAATAAAACAAATGAAACTGGTAAACTGAAAACACATTGCGTGCATTGACTAGTTTGGAAGGAATTAAGCACACAGAGAGAAATTGCTTTTTCTGGCTTAACTTTGTATAATATAAGATGTAAATAGTGTCATTTAATGACTGCAATCTTAGATGGACTTCCTTGGTGTTGAGAGTGCCTATTAAGTATAAATTCAAAATGAATTTCTTCAGCAATGCACATTTGGACCTTCCATATACATTGCGGGACTTTGATTTTACTTTTAAAAAAGAAAATAACGATATTGCATTTTATAAGTGCTAAAAAGACACTTTCTTCTATTTCTGTTTACTACTGCCGAGTCGATACATTTCTATTTTTGTGACAACATAAATGGTTATAAAATTAACTTTAGGAAAAACTGTTCCTGTCTGTGCACATTTCTGAAATATTTAAGAATTGAAGCAGGTCAAGCAGAATTGTTCATCAGGTTTTCACCAAGTATTTAAACAGCCATCACAAACCTTGTTACATGTTTTTAAAAATGAGAATTATTATTCACACCAACTACGCACAGTTTTTGTCCAATTAATCATAAGAACACAGGGAAGAAATACATTATATATTCTAAAATAATCTGGAACCACTATGTTGAAAAGGCAAGTCGGTTTTAAGAGGCTAGTTTAGTTACTAAGCAGACCTGTATAAAAATAAAGAGTTGCTTCTTTCATTTGACTCCTCATATGACTCTGAAGAGCAGAGCCTGAGCTTTTTACTGCAAGGTGGGAGGAAGACGCCTTCTGTCTTGGGAAGGCTAATATATCAGGCTGTCTCTACAAACCTATGTTAAAACAGAGACTGTAGGCTTATTAGCATCCTATTAATATGTGCATAAAATGTAGTATGTGTCTCAGCCCAAATACACAGATTGGGAAATCAAAGAGAAATCCTTCACACCTTTTGCTGGCTTCATCCTGAACTTTTATTTATCTTAAAACAACTTCCTTAAGAGAATTTCCTCTTCTAAAGGAAACACTTATCCATATTTAACAGGCAAATTCTGAGTTGAACTATCTTTATAGTTGTGTGATCACCAAGAGACCAGAAACTCCTTTAATTGTTATTTTTAATGTTGACATGAATGGAAAAGTCATTTTGAATGACAGTTTGGACTTTGCTTTCATCTGAAAGGTGAATAATAATTTTAATAACAACTTCAGTAATTGCCCTTTAAAAAAGTTTGCCTTTCTTTAGAAAACATCAGAAATAAAGTATATACCATTTCTGAACAAGATTTCTCTTTAAGAAATAAAACTTCAATAACCTCAGGCAGTGAAAGAAGTCCTGCAGTGAAGAAGAACAGTTCTAATTTAATTTGAATCTGTTTATTACACAATGGGTTGTATCAAACAAATTTCTGCTCCATGTAGACAAACTGAAAAGATCTACGTTGGACATGCCCATAAGCCCTAATGGGTCTACTCTCAGTATGACTAATTTTGGATACAACCCATTAGTATGTTGTGTCAAGCTTTGCAAATTTCCTTTTGTTTTGAAATTGCCTGGTATTACTATTTATAGTAAACGGTGACAACCAGAACACTTACTTCATATGGCTGCATTTTGTACAGATTTCACTCAATGCATTTTTTTATATAGACAAGTTCATGTTAAGAGTGTTAAAGTAAACTTTGCAATAACACTGACCCCTGCAGTGGGGAAACAAAAAACGCCATATTTCTACAAACATGTATTGTGTTTTTGTGTGTGGAACTTGAGATGAGGCTAGTGCTTCAAAGCAGTATCTATCTCTGTGTTGAATTTTCCCTTTGCCCATGGGCGGGGGCAGGGGGGCAGCTGCCCCACCCCAATCAAGTAGATCAATAAAAATACAGTCGTACCTTCGATCCCCAATGCCTTGCGACTCAAATGTTTTGGCTCCCGAATGCCACAAACCTGGAAATGAGTGTTCTGGTTTGCGAACCTTCTTTGGAAGCCAAATGTCCGACACAGCTTTGATTGAGTGCAGGAAGCTCCTGCAGCCTTGCTTTTTTAACGTTTTCAGAAGTCGAATGGACTTCCAGAACAGATTCTGTTCGAGAACCAAGGTCCGACTGTACAGTGGTACCTCAGGTTATATACGCTTCAGGTTACAGATTCCGCTAACCCGGAAATAGTGCTTCAGGTTAAGAACTTTGCTTCAGGATGAGAACAGAAATTGTGCTCCAGCGGCGCGGCGGCAGCAGGAGGCCCCTTTAGCTAAAGTGGTGCTTCGGGTTAAGAACAGTTTCAGGTTAAGAACGGACCTCCGGAACGAATTAAGTACTTAACCCGAGGTACCACTGTACTTAACTAACTGAAGTTCTGCCTCCCTAACTTGAAGGCTACCCCCCCAACATAAATCCTAGCTACACCCATGCCCTGCAAACATCTGGGCACCTTTACACATGCCAAGACAGCTTCTTCCTATGCTTTTCCCAACCCTACCAAAGGCAGTCAATGAGATGTGCATGAGGGAGAATAAACATCGGATGGTAAAATAGTATGGGAGAGTTAGCCAGGAAATGGGAATCTGTAAATGAAAATACAATTCAGGAGTGGTATACTGCCCTATACCTGTAGATCTCAGGGTGGTTCACGAGGGGTACGGTCCATTACTCTGGCAGAGAAAGTAACTCAACAGATTATTAGGGGTTCCAGAAACCTCAACTGTATGTAGATGACTTTTACAGTGCTCTCACATTTTCCAGTCCACCAGAACGCTCTAAAAATCTGTACTTGAGAAAATATTTGGGAAATGCAATGCAGGTCTCACACAACACATTTGGGACTTCAGTGCAGATTGTGATTGAATGGGCAACTTTAGTGGGTTGTGTAGTTTTAGTTTGTTACATTGTTAGTGCCGGATGAAACGAGACAGTGTACTTCCAGGGTAGGGGGAATGTACTAATAGCTCCATTGCAGGTAGCGAGAAAGCAGCAGAGCTCAGCATCAAGATCAACTTGGGAGACTGGGAAAAGTGCTTTTATTGCACCATCGTTCCATCCAGTGCTCTAGATTGCTGCTTTAGCAAGAGAGATGTCAGGTACCTACGAAGGCACTGGTGAGCTAGGTAGGCCTCTCCCCTGTGGACTGATTACACTTGCTGCTTCCACATAAGATGGAGCAGCATTTCCAAAGGAAGGGAATTCTTACAGCCATCCATAAAAACTGCCCTTGTGAGACACAGGGCCTTGTAGTGGTGGCATCTCCCCCTGAGTGAGATTTGGATGGCTTCCTTGAAACTCAGACAGAAACGCATTTATTTCAGTAGAGTATTACGGTGTAATTCTGCTGGGGGGGGGGTTGAAAATAACTTTTGTTGGCTAGTTTGTATTTTTTTAACAACATGATTGTTGTGTATTGTATTTTTCACTGGTGTAAACTGCTCTATAATAGGGATGGGGAACTTGCGGCCCACCAGATTTTTCTGGACTGCAACTCCCATCATCCCTGACCATTGGTCATGCTGGCTGGTACTGGTGGAGTCCCAGAACATTTGGAAGTCCACAGGTTCTTCACCTCTGCTATATAAGCAGAAGAGTGCCATATAAACATATTTTTTATTATTAGTAATAGACAAACAGTGATACAGCTCTTCGCTGACACTTGATATTTCATGCAGAATTATAGGTTTGTGGTTCAAGTGCTCCACCACCTGCCTGCTTAGGCCCAAATGTACTTCTGCTGTTTCATATTTTAAAATATTAATGTAAATTTTCAGTTGTCCACACCCCCAACCTAATTCAGTATTTCTTTCTTTTACATTTTTAGCTCATTTTACAATGTATATAAAACCGATAGAACAATTATAACAACAAGCAAAAAAGACGTAAAACAAAACTATAGTAAAGGCACATAGAATGAGTAGTTGCATATGAGTTAAAATAACAAAGTCTAAGTAAAGACTATCAGTCTTATCAGCTCATGTATCGTTCCAGATTTGCCAAGCTGGTGACAAGGGTTGTATTGAAAATACGTGGTATTTTCGTGGTATGTCATGAAGGAATGCCAAATCATATAAAGTGTCTGGAGGCTCCAGTCCTTGTCAAAATCTCAAATTATGTGTGATTTTCTCCATTATAGCTATATTCCAGAGTAAGTGATATCCAGGTGCCCAGTGTAAGATTTTGGGCTATTTTCCACTGAGTTACAATTACTGTTTGTGCTGCCGAGATCATTTATAAGACCAATTCTTTTGACCAAATATTTACATTGATATAATAAAAAATATTCAATAACATTAATTTTGTACAACAAACAATATTTTCTTTAGCAATATTTATCATTTCTGTCAAAATTAAATTCCAAAAATCTTACACCAGCTGACATTCCTACCATAAATGATACATATTATAATATGTACCAAGCCTATTGCAGCCCCTCTGACAATTAGGTGATATAGAAGAAAACATGTTTGACATTTGCAAAGGAGTGTGATACCATCTGTGTAATAATTTTAATGAGTTTTCCCTAAGAAAACTGTCAACAGATTTAAAGGGTTGTGCTTCACAAATTTTATTCCAGTCCTTGGGAAGAATTTGTGTTCCAGTATCCAGTTCCCATGTCTTTTAAAGGGGTTCCATAGATCCATAAGTTACATTAAGCAATATCGAGTACAATTTAGAAACTATTTCCCCTCTCTCTATCCATTGTGCTTAATAAATTTCCAAATTTGTTAAGGGTCTCAGAGGTTGTGCCTTTACATTTTACTTTATAATAAAACTAAGAATTTGATTAAAATAAATCCAGTGTGTGTTAAGATTTGGCAAAGTTTATTTTATTTACTTAATAGATATAGGTTGATTAATGCTATAGAACTATCATAATGTGTATTAACCTTTGGATTCCCAGTGTTCAAATTGCTTATCTCTCCCTGGCTGGACTGTTATTTCTTTTTGAATGCTGTATATCACAGAGACAGATATACAATCGCCTACAGCAAAGTGTGGACCTTGCAGAATTTTTCAAATAAAACAGAAGGGCTAGCATACAGGCAGCAAAGTTAACAGCATCCTAAAGGCAACAATCAATTTACTATGCTTACTTTGAAATGATACCACTCTATTGTAACAAGAAAGGTAGCACAGCATTGCAACAGATGCGGGAGGTTGCAAAATGGATGGATTGTAAATAAACACAGCCGCTCTACTCATTAGGCATGTTAGCTGTATGTTCTGAGGCTCAATGAGCCAACCAAGGGGGCTCAAAAACACTCTGCAAAACTGCATATTCTACCTCTCAATACTTTTTCCAAATCGTTATTTTGTTGTTTCTCCTTGCTGGAAGAGTTCGGCAATAAAACAGAGCTAGGCTATGATGAAATGACAAGGAAATACAGGCAAATGCTCTTCTCCCTACCATTTGAATTTCAGTAACTTTATTGGTACTATAAAGTTTTAAAGTGCGGAGAAAGTTAGAACAATCAAGTGGTAGTAAAAGGCTGCCCCCCCTTGCCACCCCATAAAGGCTTGCTTTAGCTTTCATAATCCATTTACAGGTCCAGTGCATGAATCAGTTTCTTCGCTTTTTCACAGGGGCCTGCTTCAAAAGGAACTGCTCTTAAGTTTATATTTTTCTCCAGTGTTACCATATTAATGCCTAAATTTTGATTCACTCACATTTATAAGTGCCGGTTCACTTTTTTCCCATTTATAAATAATTAGCACAACAGCAAAAGTCCTATACAAAAATGATGTTATAATGAGAAGAGTTAAAACAATTTAACAATCAACCATTATCAGCCTACCTTTGATCAGTAGATGACGAGCTTGTTAAAATAGTACCTTCCAAAATAGCCTATAGTTGCTAGGAGACAAAACAAGGGATCAGGAACTCTCCAGTTTGAATCTTCGCTGTGCCATGTACCCACTAGTTTGCATTAAGCAGGCCAGACTTTCTCAGTCACAGCCACTTGTCTGCAATATGATCTCAGCCCCTCTTTAAACTTCCATGATTGTTGTCAATGTTAAAACAAGATATGTGTGTGTGAAATGCTACATAAATACTAAGTAGGTGAGATTATTCGTTTGTTTTTATTATATGTTTGTTTGTTTTCTATCTTGCCTTTTTATGTTGTGAACCGCTCAGAGATCTACGTTTGAAGGGCGGTTGGTATACACATTTAATAAACAAATTAACTCTGCATGGTAGTCTGGTATTATTATCCTCTTTTTGCAGTTGTAGATGGGGACGAGGCTGAGAATATAGGGATTTTCTCAGGTTAATCCATGACTTTGTGGACATGGGGCTGTAACTCACTGGGAGCTTGCATGCAAATGGTTCTAGGCTCGGTGCCTGAAATTGCTCATTAAAAGGATCAGGGAAGAGGTGATGGGAAAGGTGTTGTAGATGCTTTGCTTTCAGAACAGATAACACTGGGCTCCATGGGCCAATAGTCCAACTCAGTGGCCTGGTTCAGATGTAACAGAAAATGGTCGTTTCCTCCTTCTTGACTGAGTCAAGGCAAGTTTCAGGCTCACTTGTTTCCTCACACTTCCTTTTTTGTGCACCGAAAACAAATCCAAGTGAACATTTTTAGGACTGAGCCTTCTGCTGAATTTTGATCCAAAAATAATTTTTCTTCCATTCCGGTAAGGTGTTGCCTTTTTGAAAGTACTTTCAATAAAGAAGATGCTTGAAGGGTGGTTTTTTTTAAAAGCAAACATTTTCTTAACAAATATTGCTTTAAATCTACATAACTGTTGTACACGGAAGAAAATGGAGAAGACAAAGGAAGTTCTTGCCTCTGCTTAATTTCTTCTTGCCTCCAAAGTATTTTCCTTTGGGCAGACAGTCATTGTGCCTTCTAATGACACAAACTTGAAGGGAAGTAGAAAAAAAGACTACAAACAGGTTTTATAAGCCTATCAATGGGAATATGTGGCTACAAATTGCTGAGTAAATGGAACAGCCTGCTTCCTAAGCCTGAGTCTGTGAGTCTTATGTCAAAGCATTTGGGGTGGGGCAAAAACACCAGGGGGTGTTAGGGATACCTGCTGAGCCCTAATTGGTGCCCACTGTTGTTAATGGCTTCCTGTGGCTGAATGTTTACTTGTCATTTGTTTTGAGCTTTGTTTCCCAGCTACTAGGGAAAAAATACTGACCAATTTTTTTTTTAATCTTCTTTTGAAAAAGTGTATCTCCAGTCCCAGAGTGCCCTTCTGCAGTTTGTCTCATGATACAAAATACCTGGAGTCCATGCCACACTCAAAAAGTTACCTGGTAAGGTACAGGTCTCAGCTTGCTCTTATTATTGGTTTTAGTGGATGGTTTTAGACTATGTTATAAGGACTAGAAAGTATCCCAAGAAAATTTACTATCTTTTTCTTTGGAATACCCAAGTGTTCTCTTTTACGGGATGTTGGTTCTGTATCTGTCACTGCCAGCCACATGTGGCACAAGTGACTAATCTGAAAGTGAAGTACCCTACAGATCTGGACTTCAACCAGAAAGAAGCACTTCCAAATCTGATTCCTATTAAGTGTCTGAAAGTCGCCTTGGTTAGTTAGTTAGTTTATTATAGTCACACATCCCAAAGCATCCCAAAGCAATTCACGTATCGAGAGGTTTCCAAAAGCAATTTACAATAGTGAAATGTGAAGTGCCTAAACATATTATATAAAACATTACAGCCATAATGTACAAAAAGCGTTCATCCACAGAAAAAGTAATCTAAAACACAACACAATATATCTGCTTGCTCAACACAAGATGAACACCAGTATCACTGAGCACTGAAAGCAATTAAATCCTTTCTGAAATTCATGGGCATTATAGACTTCTGTGTATCCAGACAGCAAGCACAGTATAGCTTAACATTGATTTCAACTTTCCCAGGCCTCTAACCAGAAGAAGGACCACAACTTCCAACTGTTTCCCATTGTTAATATCTGTTCAAGCCTGCCTACTACCCCACGATTGTTTGTTCGCACTAGGAAAATTATAAACTTGAAATTTAAAAATTGGCTACACAGCTGTTGGCAGATATCTGCTTTAAATTACAGCATCAACTAAGGAGTAAACAGTGGGTAAGACTTTGACTTTTATGCAGATCTTCTTGATGATCTGCTGCCCTTATGGAGATTTGTTTTGTTTTGTTTTGTTTGAACTACAAATTGATCTTAAACAGTTACTCACATCTCTTTGTGAAAATGCAATTTATCTTCAGGAACTAGCTCTTAATCTACATATCTTAAAGTACTTTCTCAAATGCAGATTTTCACTTTTGGATACATAATAGGAATACATGTCATAACCATGGAGAAAAATGACTTTCAGTTCTAAAGTAGTGTATGCACTGATACTATATATATTCTTACATATTATCATTACGTGCAATTTTCTCTAATGGTTTGTTTCCCTGTATGCTATGTTCCGTTACTGAGTTGTTTAATTTGATTGTAGGTATATGGCAACTTTAACAGATTCCTTGCCAATTCCAAGAAAGTAGTCCTGTTAGTCTGTAGCAAGAGACCTTTCATTCATTGTTGAAGGCCGTGTGGCCTTCAATTTGAATTAGCCTGACCCTCTATTCCCTTTTCGCTTTTCCTTTTCGATGAAGAAACCCTTCCTGGGACCCTACATTTTAATTCTTCCTTGGTCTCCTTGCTGGCCCTAGTGATCATTTGATGTCTACTGACTGGGGTTTTTGTTTTGTTTTTTTCCAAAATGACCCCTGAATTTTTGAATTGTATTGATATTGATGCTGCATTTTATGTTGTATTTTATGCTGTTTTATGCAGTTTTTAAGTCGCATCTTAATCAATGTTTTATATTTGCTGTCAGCCGCCGTGAGCCCGGTTTTTAAACCAGAAAGGGCGGGGTATAATTTTATTATTGTTGTTGTTGTTGTTTAACTCATTTGCTTCCAACTCACTCAGTAAAGGTAGCTGAAGAGATGTAAAATATATTCACCTTCTGCAGAAAGAAAAAGAAATTTACACTCATGCGAGCAGATGAAGAAAATAAATCCAATTGTCTGTTTTAAAGGGGGAAACGAGTAAAGCTAGTCTGACTGATTATATTGATTTTTAAATTTGTAAATAAAAGTTTCTTTGAACAGATGCAGTTAAAAAAGGATTACATATTGTAACTTCTTTGACTGGAGTTTGTTTTAATATACCAAGACAAACTATAAGCTGTATGCCCAAAACCAATATTTTAAATCAATTTGTATTTGCTTTCACTTAGAAGCCACTTCTGTATTTAGCACACAACATAAAATGCAAATCCTGTTAACTTGACAGGGATCAGATATATCCTGCTAATGTGATGGCCCTTAATCTGCAGGCAAGTAGGCAGCCACAGTGGGACCAGGACACTCTTGTGCCCCTGCCTTTTAGCTAATGGATATGCCATAAACTGCAAAGAAGACTAGAGGGAAACACACAATTCAGCAATATGCTTCTGGTTTCGTTACAAGCCTTGCAAAATCCAATCTAACCAGCAGTTTCTGTCCACCATAAATAGCATATCCAAAAGTATCACAGTTCCCATGATTCAGTATCTGGTTAATTTGAGATGTGATACTTGATAAAATAAACCATGTTAGATTTGGTTTTGGTGCTTGTCCATATGCCTCTCTTATTCTTATTCTTTCTCATTCTCTCCTAAGATTATAGGATTGCAGAATGAATTAACTAAACTTGGAATCTTAAAGAACCAACAAGACAATGAAAACTTTTGGAAACTCATCCAGGCAGGCATTCATGGTTCAAAGCTCAAAGAAAAGCTTCCAGATATAAAAGAAAAAAGCTGAGTATCTTTATAATGTTTTCATTTTAGAACAGCTAAAAATGTCTCATCCCCATAGGTAACAGTGTAGATTTAATGAACTTGGTGGGAAGCAGATTCATTCAGATCAGAGTAGTACCCTCAAGTACACACTTGTATTGAACAACTGCTTTCCCTGATGATGACGTTTTCCTCTGGCAATTCCCCGCCCCCATAAATTTTGTTATTCTAGCTCGGTGGGTTTTTTTTGGGGGGGGTGTTTTTGAGATTGTACAGCCAAAAACACCAGAGTCTAGAACCCCACCTGAGAGGGAGCTCCAGGAGGAAAATTGCGGGCAGGAGAAAAGTGGTCTTCTCCCATCTGCCAGCTCTATCCCAGAAACTGCCCCCTCTAGATTCAACTTTGCAGTGAAGCCCACTCACATCATAAAGAGCTCATAACGGATAAAAAAGCCAAGCCGAGAGGAAGGCAGTGAGAGCAGCGGGCTCTGAGTGGAACAATGCCAAAATCAAAAGAACTTGTGTCTTCAAGCTCATCTGCCAGTGAAGTTGACAAAAAGGTGAAAAGGGAAAAACAAGCAGTGCCTGAAAAGCCTGTGAAGAAACAGAAGTCTGGTGAAAGCTCCAAAGTGCTGCCTCCTCCAAGCAAAGTAGCAACAGAGATGAGAATATGTTTCGGATTGGTAAAATGAGATATGTCAGTGTTCGTGATTTTAAAGGTAAAGTCCTAATTGATATTAGAGAATACTGGATGTATCAAGAAGTGAAATGAAACCTGGCAGAAAAGGTATCTCTCTAAATCCAGAACAGTGGAGCCAGTTGAAGGAACAGATTACTGATATTGATGAAGCAGTAAGAAAACTGTAAAGATGAGCCATGCAGAAACTCCACTCTTATAGGTTTAAGTAGTCTTTTTACATTGGCATTCATTTTCTAAACTATTTGTTTTCCAAGCTATTGTATATCTGGATTGCAAAACAATTTGCAAGATGAGTGCTTTTTTAATGTACATTAAAAGTGTATTCTGAGTGAAGTTGAAAAAAATAAAAAAAATAAAGAGCTCATAACCCACCTACTCTCAGAAGCCAGAAACATCATAGCCAGACACGGGAGAGACCTGTCAGGTATCAAATGGACCAATGGTATCAAATAGTATGAGAAACAGCCTTACTAGAAAAACTAACCGATAAACTGAAACTGACACAGGGACAAATAGAGGAAGATGCCTTCACCCTGGTATGGCTCCCCTTTATCACCCTGGTATCACATACACAGCCCAACAAGACAATGACAAAAAAATCCACCAACAGCATACAAATCAGTGTGGTTAACCTGATCCAAAATCACCCACCCACCCCACTCACACATGAAAACAAAGTTCACTACAGCCAATCACAAACAAACAACCACACCCTAGGCCAACCCCAACCTCTCTCACCACCAAAGGAATACAAGCGAATAGTAAGGAGAACCCGCACAACTGACGCTGACACAAAACCCCACACATACGCTAAGTAGAATAGAAACATTGCCACCTGACCCCACACCCACTCACCATGCCCCCTCCACCTCTTTCCCCTTTTCTTCCTAATGTAATATTAATGTCTCAACAAATGAAACTGATCTATAGAAAATGTAACTTGAAAAAAGAGACATTGCACATATTTTTGTAAACCGAGAAATCTTTAATAAAAATATGTTTAAAACAAAACAAAAACAAAACTTTGCAGTGAAGAAGCAAGAGCAATAGGCATCTGGAAATACAAATTTGCTAGTAATATGTAATACATAATTGAGTTATTAACCACAAAGAGTCAACAACAAATGACGAAAATTTTTTTACTTAAACACTTTGTGCTTTTAATCGACAGTGTTAGCTACAAAGTCTTTGCCTCTGTCAACTTCAGCAAGAACCAGTCCAGTCCAGCCTGTTGATGGCTTTAAAAACAGTAGCAGCCTGAAAAAAGTAAGCAAATACGTGTTTCTGTTTATAACCTTGGATTTCTAAGCACTCTACTTTATGAGGCTTCTAATTATAGTCAGCAGTCTTAACTCAGCTTGATGAGTGGGTGGGAGATTTCTCTGATAAGACGCTTCATGTGATGCTTAAATAGGCCTTAACTTTTCTACGTATCTGAATGAAGCTACATTTTATAGTCCTGTAAAATCTATGGCTTCCTGAACTGTGTTGATATCAGGTTGTGTCCTGTTGCTTTCAGTAAGTCTACTTAAGAAGGATTCAACCTATAATTCACAAGTAACTCCCTCCAGGCTAGAAGATTTCCTTAAAATGACCATAAGTTATTTACTCCTTTGATTCAATATTCTACATTTTTATAAGTAGCTAACTCAACAATTGCTTTCATGGGGTAGGGAGCACAATTGTACACAAAACACCTTTTGTGCAGGGCGCTCTGCTCAGTATTTAACTTCTTAAACTAGTAGTGGTGGGACAACCAGCTTGGAAGCATCTTCCCATCCTTAGATGCCTGTGTGTTTTAAGGAACACCTGTCTACGCAACTTGAAGATTGACAGCATATTAAAGAAAGCCAAACAGAATAAAGGTGGTAGAACATTAGCATATACAGTGGTACCTCGGGTTAAGAACTTAATTTGTTCTGGAGGTCTGTTCTTAACCTGAAACTGTTCTTAACCTGAAGCACCACTTTAGCTGCCGCACCGCCGCTAGAGCACGATTTCTGTTCTCATCCTGAAGCAAAGTTCTTAACCTGAGGTATTATTTCTGGGTTAGCGGAGTCTGTAACCTGAAGCATATGTAACCCGAGGTACCACTGTAATGATCATGTCCTGAAAAAAAGTCATAATCATAAGATACTTTCTGAGAAGAGCAAAATTTTCAAGGTCACCACAAACTGGGATGCTTGATACCATTTCTGGCACCAAAGTTGAATATAAAACATGGCCTTAGAGGAGCTTGGAGACAGTCATGTAGCCCATCAAATGGGCACAATAAACAGGTTGCAATTAGAGGGAGCAGATCCTGTATCTCACTGCTGGAGTTGGTAGCATTACCTCTTTATCCACCCCAACCCTGAATTTCAGCTTCTGGGTTATACGTTCCATTATTCACCCTCCTCCTCCTCCTCCTCAGGGCTGTTAAGTTTTGGAATTTGGAGGGGCATTAGGGTAGGTTTGGAAAAGCAGCACTTACCTCCTTTCCTTCTCCCTCAAGGCCTCAGGGATAGATATATAGTTGGGGAGTGAAAAAGGAGTGAATTGGCAAAGCACTCTCCATTTCCCACCCTTGAAAGGTGCTAATCTGGTAACATAAGAATTCTTGCAGTGAATTGGTTCACATAGCCCAGCATTTTGCTTCTGAAAAGTGGGCCATTGGATACCTTTGAAAGCCCACAATCAGAGCATGAAGTTGATACTGGAGACAGATAGATGATTGTCCCCAGCCCCAGGTGCTGGGAGGCGTATACACTCTGAATATGGAGGTTTCTTTTTAACCATCATTCTCTCTATTTCTGCTGTTCAGGTTGTGGGTGTTATTGCTGATGTAGCAAAAGAACACCACTCAACAAGGAGATACTGGCTGGCTTGGGGAAGCTTGCTGAAGTACAAAAATATTGAGAGGGGAAACTAAGGGAGGAGGGACTCCACAAAGAGCCCAGTGGCCACAGAATGCTGTTATGGGGAGGCAGGGAGGAGGAATTGAGTATTTTGGAGGAAGGCATGGCTGTCTGTCTGGAACAGAAGCACTTCATACTTCAACATTTTCTTGGAGGTCCAACACGCTACGACTAACAGCTGTTGACAAGACTTAATCCTTCATAAATTTGTCTTGCCCTTTAAAGATCTGTCTAAGCTAAATCATCACATCTTCATGTACTGATATCCATAAATTAATTCCATGGCAGACCGGGATCAGTAGTGCTCCTCATTCCTGAGAAACTCCCAACAAACCCCACGACATTATTTAGAATGCAAAGAAAACATTTTACTTTGGGTCTGAAACTGAAATCTGTTTGGGACTTGCCTTAGAAATTCTTTCCTGCAGGTACTTCTGAGTGACTTCTGTAATTGTTTCCCAACGGAGGGAGGATTAGTGGAGATGTCACCAAACCGTTAGGAGGGCCTTGTTAGCCTTTCATCCTACCCCAGTCAAAGGTAGGCCACATGGGCCCCTGTTTGCCTGGCCTAAGACAAATATATATTGGCTGAATCCTTATTACTGTGTGTCTGAGGGAAGCAGGGGAAAGTGTTCGCAGATACGTGAGAAGAAAATAAAATGGAGAAATGGAGACGCACCCTTTATATTGTTGGAATGCCTAAGGGCCTCTTGGAACTGAATTCAAATCTTATTGGAGATTACAGTGTGATAGAAAGAGAGTTAAAAGCAAGAAATAAATAAAGCAAGCTATGTACATCTAGCTTTCAGAAAGGCTTGGTAGAGCTTCTGCTTTGCGCTCAGAAGTTTTCAGATTCAATCCTAGACATCTCCAGGTGGGGCTGACAGAGAACCCCCATCTGAAATCCTGGGGAGCTACTATAAATAACGCTGACCCTAGAGAGACAAATGGTCTTACTCGGTGTAAGGCAGCTTCCTATCTAGCCAAGGTGAGTAAACCAAATGAGGTCAAGTGATTTTGTGAACTGTTCCACCTTTATATTTTCAACAACTGGAATCATAATAATAAAAAATATTTTAATTCACTTTGTTTCTGAAATCGTGGCTTTCTGATATGTGCTGAATTCGGCATCTTGACATTGCTCTTTTTTTTAAAGCATTTATTCTTTACCAATAACTGTAGAGGGAGAAAATAAGCCAAGTGAACATTGCAAATAAAGTGAGGTTTTTTTCATTTAGGAAACAAACCATTCTTTCCCATGTATGCCATACAATATTCAACTTCTAAAGTTGCTCTTTTACTTCTCTTCATTCTACATGTTTTTGAGTTGTTGAGAAATACTTCTTGGCAGGAGTGGGGCGGAATATTCTCACCTGGGAGCCACATTTGCAAATGGAAAAGCAAGAGTTTGCACTAATAAATGACTTGTCTGAACAAGTCATTACAAATCTTCCAGGCTTCTTACTAATTTTGGTAAGTGAATCCCTCCCTCCACCTGCTACTGCCTTATAGCGTACCACAGACTCCTACTAAGGGGGTTAGAAGCTCAGTGACAATGCTAGCAGCTGATTTTGGCAAGTCTTAGCCATTGACTACAGGCTGACTGCTGTTGGAAATGTAATGTTTTATTAAGTGCAGCCTGATTTGACCCAGCAAAGGCTTTCTTATTCTGGGCAAAAGCTTGACATAGAGAGCTCCTAAACCTGTAGAATCTTCTCCACCTACTGCAGTATTTGGTACTGCTTCGCAACAAGCAGTGAAAATATTCACTTACTGGAACCAATGACTTGTAACCAGGTCTCTCTCACCCAAACTGATTCTCCTCAGATCCCTGTTGACCCCAGCCATTTATGCACATTATAGACAAAGGAGGCTGAGGAAATCTTCTCTCCCCAAGTCGTTTTAGGGTTATTTACTGTATGTGTGTATGCCTGTTTTGTCATTTTCCATCTTAATCCAAGTACAGTTAGCTCCTCTTCCTCCTCTCATTCAGAAATACTATTCTTGAGAAATGTGGCCAATATAGCACAAGAAATCTGGTGCAAGTCTGAGCTTAGTTTGCATTTTGGAGTCTATTTTCTATTCTTTCCTATGTGGTTCACCATCCGAGCCTGTGGGACTGGCTTTTAAAAGGTATAGCACTCACTCAAATGTCAACACACTCTTGCCCAGTTTTTGAATTTGGTTTCTGCTACTTGTATGATCAATTTGTAGGTTGTGGTTAGAGTGATGGACCCGGGTTCAAATCCCCACTAGTTATGAACTTCACTGGGTAACTTTGGCTCAATCACTGTCTTTCGGTCTAACAAGATTGTTGTGAAGATAAAATGGGGAGGAGGGGGACCATGCGCACTGCTTTCAGCTCACTGGAGGAAAGGCAGGATGTAAATGTAATAATAATAATAATACTCTGTTCAAGAAGACAGAAAATAATAGGTGTCTATATCTATTATTATATTCAGAGCATCTGTTGTCTTCCATATTGCACTGTCATTTGCTGAAGTGCAAAGTAATTGTTAATTAGATGGTTAAGTAGATCCCAGCTAACCTGTAAAATGAAGTACATTTCAAGTACTAGACCATGTCAGTTGCTCACATATCTAGGTAGCTAACTAGATACACAAAGACACACAAACTGTGGAAGAGTAGTTATACTGAGAAGTTTGAATCAAGTGCCAAAAAGCCATCTAAACAACTTTAATAATAATAAAAAATTTAACTGGTGAAGCGTAGATGGGAACTGGGAGCATCCTTGGTTTTGTCTGCCTTGTGACCTAGGGCCTGAACATTTAGTTGTGAAGGCATCACTAATGATGTGCTAGTTCTCAAGGATGTATCAGAGTGCTGCAGCTAACACCCGATAATATCGCTCACTCCAGTGCTGGCACACTTTGACTGCTTAGTGCAAGAATCCTAACTAAAAGAAAACAAGTGGTCGTCTTCTCATAAGTATCATATCCACACACCTCTAGAAACAAAAACTTTAAAAAGAGCAAGCAGTGCCTTTAGATATTTGGTTTGGTTTTGTGGACTTGCTTTTGTCTTGACCATTGGCATTCTTTTGTAATTTTGAAATGAGGTTTCGTTAGTTTTGAACTCCCCCTTTTATAAAAACCTTTCGCTGTAGATGATGTATAGAGCCATATTCCTTTCTTGCTGGATCAAAGCTGTGAAGTCTTTGTACCCAGTTCTTCATTGTCCTGTTCAGAACAATGGTTCTACTGGAAATGGTGTAGGGGAGCCAAAGACTAGAGTTCATAATCTACTATGCCACTGATTTCTTACCTCCAAATTCGTACATTGTAGATTGTTGTTGTTGTTAATTGTCTACCCTTCATGGTGAAGGCTTCACCCTAAGGTCCCAGCGTGGGTTACAACACTAAAAAACCATAATTAAAAACTGTTTAAAACAACAATTTAAATCCATTCTTGCAACTCTGCTAAAATTCTTGTTTTCTTCAAGGAGACTGATAAGATCTGGTATGAATTTTCTTCAATGTCCTCCTTTTGTTCTTCTCCTGTCTCCCATTACAAATGAGTTCACCTTGTTCCCTTCTGTGTCTTCACTTCCATCTCTTCCTGTGTTATCCTCCCCCCCATGGTTAACTTCTGTCTTCTTATAACTTCTTTTTCATTAAGACATCATCCTTAGAGCTTTCCTGTCCTCTAAATTGCTGCCCCATGGTTTCCTAGCATTGGATCAGCTTTGTATCCTCTCCATGAATGCTTGCCAATATGCCTTTAATTCAGCGTAGCCTATTGAAACTCAACTTAAGAAGTTTTTCCTTGAGTTACTGTATAAATCCTCTCTCCACTTTTCTTGTGCTGTTGATCATTCCGTCATTCCGTGACGTCTTTCCTTCTTGGGCTCCTGTGATTACAGCCACATTCTTACATATTGCTAAACCATGAACTAGTGCTATGTGGACACGCTTTAATGAGCCTGAGCAAAATGTCTGGCTCACATGCTCTCCCTTCCTTTCCACTCATTCGGGCTTCTGCTGAGTTTAATTTCACTTTTAATTAATATAATCTTAGGGTTATGCTGAAACCAGGGATGTTGGTTTAAAATGGTCTCTGGCCAGTTTCATAATAAGCCAGCTTCAAACCACGGGTTATTAAGCTGTATTAGTAAAGTGGCTTTTTAAGCCAGGATCCCTGGTTCAAATGTAACACCAAGCTGAGATTCTTTAAAGGAACTAAACTCATCAGAAGTCCTCCCATGCAGGGTAGAGGAGCATATATGAGCCTAACTTTTCACTTGGGTTCACTGGGTTCATTGGCGTTCATTTACATCGTGCTGAGCTATGCTTTCTGTATAACTGGGTCAGTATCAACTTTCAGTTCTCTAGCTTTTTCTCTAACATTTTCTTCAGCTCTTGCTTCACTTCTTCCTCTCCTTGAAGGAGTCCAAGTATTTCGGCATCTATTCTTCCTGTTGCCCTCTGTTCTGGGAGGTCTATTCTAAATCTGTTTTTTCATCTCATTCTGTGTAAGATAAGGTTAGCGTTAGCTAAAACTAGGCCTCTGTCTCCGTGTCTCCAGCTTTCTCAACATTTTCTCTTGAATGGCTTACCATAATCTCAGTTTGAATTTAGACAAGAATACATCCCTCCTTATACTTTTCCATCACTACTCCAAATATCACCATTCCCGAGTCTTCCAAATAAACACAACTCTGGGCCCCCATTGATGCATCCTCCTTTCTTTTCCTGTCTGTCCTTGTCCAGTGTTGCCATTTCTTCAAAACTTCTAAAACTTTCTTCTTTTTCTTTTGCATCTGTTGCAAAAACAAAACAATTTTTTTTAAATAAAAAAACAAACCCTTCATTCTTCGGCCATCTCTTACCTGAACAGTAACATCTTCATTTTCACATTTATCATATACTGGTGGGTTGTTGTGGTTTTTATTTATTATTAATTCAATTTAAACTACATGCATCACAACATGATGAGCTTGGGTTGTGTGTATAGGTTTTGTGTAACTTCTGCGTTTCTTTTAACTCTTATTTGTAGAATGTGGGGTGGGGAGGTAGAAGGAAGGGATGGAATATGGGATGCGTCTCAAAGAGAAGTTTATTGTTTGTAGAACAACAGTAAAATAGATGGCCAACATGTGGCACACACTCAGGAAGACTAATATCCCATCCTCTCTTTGTTCAGCTGTCTTGTGCTTAAACTAAACAATCTTCTGTAACAAAGATGTTTGCCATGGTTCCTGCATGTGTACAGAATCAGGATACAGCAGTCTTGTGACTTAGGAGTTGTAACAGGAAACCTAGACTTGCGGACTTAATTCGTGAAACATTTCCCAATAAAGCTGTTTTTTGCAAGCCAGGAGAAATTTGTTTAAAAATTCAACTAGTTCCCCTGAGTTACAATTGTGGCATCACAGTTTGGGATGGTATAAGCAAGTCAGGAACAAACTAGCTGCACGTGTCAGCCTTTTTGCAAAATTTGATGCTGCCCTGATTTGCTTATAGCAGTAGTAATAATATCAGTTTGCATGGCATTCTTTAACTGAAAAGAAAACCAATCTGTGATAGTCACACATGCAATAAAATCTCTGTTTTGAAACCTTAATTTTTCTCGCAGTCTTGCTCAGTTTATTCTTTCTGTCTTGCTTATGATCGCTGCCCTGATTTCACGGAAGTGCAAAGAGACCTATCCAATTGGCCTTGCCCCTTTGGTTCGCAATATTCACATATATGCTGCAGCCATGTGGGAGCCACCATGGGAAAGTGACCCCTATGTGAATCATGGATTGTGTGAAGAGGGCTAATACATCTCACCACATATCTCATCCTTCCTCAAGTTCTGTAGGAAACGCTGAAAGAAAATGCACGACTCCCTTTCACTTCCTTTGTTCCTTCTTCCTTCTAATGTTTTCCTAAGGCTCTGGGAAGTTTGGATACTTTACAGTGGTACCTCGGGTTACATACGCTTCAGGTTACAGACTCTGCTAACCCAGAAATATTACCTCGGGTTAAGAACTTTGCTTCAGAGTGAGAACAGAAATCATGCTCCAGTGGCGCAGCAGCAGCAGGAGGCCCCATTAGCTAAAGTGGTGCTTCAGGTTAAGAACAGTTTCAGGTTAAGAACCTCCAGTACGAATTAAGTACTTAACCCGAGGTACCACTGTATTCCCAATGCTTAACACCTGGGCCTTTCACTTTTGTGCCTTTTTACACTGAATATCCAGAATATTAATAAAGTGATGAAAATGTGTCATTTCTACATGGCAAAGGACATTACCACGTAACATTTCCCTCCATCAACTGGACGAGTGTTTAAAGCAACAAACTGGAAGTGGGGGAACTGGCACGTAGCAGAAGTGTTGGTAATAGCACTGGGGTAGGATAGGTGCTACAGCCATTTTATCACCTCGAGCCGATCGCCACTCTGATCCAATTACTGCTCACGTGGGCCGATTTCTCCTAGTTGTTTGGGCTAGCAGCAGTCAACACTGGAATTCCCACTGCCTCCATAGAGATTGTGAATTGTTGGGTTCTATTAGTCACATGTCCTGAAATGAGCAATACCCCCCCTCCGATATCTGTCAGTTTAGTTTGACTGTTTTCATTTGCACCAGGGCTAATTCATATTTCTATTAAAATGCATTACTTTTCCAGGCAGAGTTTGATATATATATTTTTGCACTATGAACAAGAAGAGCTAATTTATCTGAGTTATGTTTTTTAATCCCACTGTTCTTTCTGGTCATTTCATACTTTTTATTGCCTTCTATAGTTTGCTACAGAAAGGTGAATCCTAGTCACAGTTATAAATATAGGAATCCATTTGAAAATGTATCTTGAACACAGAGTCTGTGTAAATCCTGTGTATAAATCTCTCCCCCAACATCCTTAGATGGGAAAATAGAGTAAAATCACTGGCGTATAAGAACTCAGTTTTCATTCACTGGAAAAGTAAACTCTAGTAAATATTGTTATTGTTCACTTTATTTTAGTATGCTACTTCATATTTTAGAAAATCTCAAAGTGGTTGACATCACAGCAAAAAACAACATTACATAAAATACAAATTCCAAATTCAGTACAGCAGCAGCTGCTACTAATCATCATTATCCACATTTTTAATAATATAATTAAGTAGTAAATGTCTAAACAATATACATAAGTCCATATATTTTTATGCTATAGAAACAGGTGTTCCTTGACTAGTCTAACATGTTACAAGGTTTAGGATTATACTAATGAAACTAATGGGTAAAACCTCAGCACCTAGGACTTGCCGATCGCATGGTCGGCGGTTCGAATCCCTGCGGCGGGGTGAGCTCCCGTCGTTCAGTCCCAGCTCCTGCCCACCTAGCAGTTCGAAAGCACCCTTAAGTGCAAGTAGATAAATAGGTACCGCTTTATAGCGGGAAGGTAAACGGCGTTTCCGTGTGCTGCTCTGGTGCCGGTTCGCCAGAGCAGCTTCGTCACGCTGGCCACGTGACCCGGAAGTGTCTGCGGACAGCGCTGGCTCCCGGCCTCTAGAGTGAGATGAGCGCACAACCCTAGAGTCTGTCAAGACTGGCCCGTACGGGCAGGGGTACCTTTACCTTTACCTTAATGAAAAATAAGATTTATCCCTATTTATTGATGAATAGGTTCTTCATTCTTCCCAGTCTGCCTTTTCAGCTAAATAAGTTAAACAAGAACCATAAATCGGTGTTGTTCTCTGTTTTGGTTATTTGTAGTTTTCAGCTTTGAGGCAGGTAAAATTTTAAAATGCTATGCATTTAATAAATTCATCATAAAATTGTGAATTGTGTGTGTGCTGAGCAACAGAAATCCAGCATTTGATTCCCCTCTTATTTTCATGACAGAGTACAGATTCTTTGTTGCCGTCTGTTGACACCTGCCAGTCTCCAGCTTTTCATGAGAGGAAACAGGTAAAGACCCAGCAAGAAACTGAGCAAATGTTTTCAATGATAGGTGAGAAAACCTCAGGCGTTCCTGTCCTTTAAAAAGATTAGATTAGAACAGGTGAGTTATACTTCTGGTACTCCTACAATTATTCTCCTGGCATTGCAAAACAGTTCAGTAGCTTGCATGGGAACTGTGTTCAAAATACTCCGTTACTCTAACAACAAAAGCACAGTTTTGTGACATATTTGGTACATAGAAAGTACCAGATTATAGTCTGAGTAGCAATTCCCTCTGTCTGCCAGACATTTAAAAAAAAAAATTATTCAAAAACTGTAATTCACTGAGGACTACTGCTTTTGTCAGAATTTCATCTAGAACCTGTTTCTTACATTCTTATTTATTTAGGGCTTCCCGTCTCTAAGAAATTCCACAATTTTATCAGATCAACATTTCCCTCATTTCCCATCAGTTGACATGGCTCCTATAGCAGCACAAGGGAAGGGGGCATCTGAGAGAAGGTTACATACCTTGTTCCCACATTGCCATTTGTGTGCTGCTATTGGAGTATGAATGCATCCATGTGAAATGAAATAGGATGAACTAACAACAATAAATGCTTTAGGGTGTAATCCTGTTGTCTCTAGGAGGGCACCCCAAGAGCCATAGGATTTTGCAGAACTCCCTTTCTGCCAGCAGAGGGAGCTCCAGAGGTGGAACAGGGGGTCCACCACAGGGGGACACCTTGTTGCAGCTACTAAAACCTTAGCAGCTGTCCCTCCTCCACCGCTGGTAGGAGGAAGAAATAAAGCTATTGGGAAGGTGGGGCCTTGGAGTCCACTGGATTCAAAGCCCTCTTCCCAACACATCCTAGGACACGTTGAAAAGTGCACATTCTGCACGCTCTAGCCTGCTCTGTAATTATGATAAATCTTAAATATGATACGGCTTGTGATAGTTTGAATTTTCCCTTGTTCTCATCAGGTAAAGGTAAAGGTACCCCTGCCCGTACGGGCCAGTCATGTCCGACTCTAGGGTTGTGCGCCCATCTCACTTAAGAGGCCGGGGGCCAGCGCTGTCCGGAGACACTTCCGGGTCACGTGGCCAGTGTGACGAAGCTGCTCTGGCAAGCCAGCACCAGCGCAGCACACAGAAACGCCGTTTACCTTCCCGCTGTAAAGCGGTACCTATTTATCTACTTGCACTTAGGGGTGCTTTCGAACTGCTAGGTGGGCAGGAGCTGGGACTGAACGACGGGAGCTCACCCTGCCACGGGGATTCGAACCGCCGACCATGCGATCGGCAAGTCCTAGGCGCTGAGGTTTTACCCACAGCGCCACCCGCGTCCCTCACCCGCGTTCTCATCAGGCTTTGTTTGCAAATATTGTTTAGTAGCCAGTCGGCCCACACATTTCTTTCCTAGTCCTTTTTTGGTAAATTGATGACCTGAGAGGGTGTGAAACTCCATCTTTCCCCGTGTTGTCTGATCGCCTAGAGTCAAGTCCTACTCACCCAAGGTGAGCAGGAAAAGGACTTTGTATACAAGCCTGCATTAGCCATGCAAATATTTCTTTTATGAGCCATAGATTTTAATAGCTCTTGCTAATCCATTGTAATGATTATTGATAACTGTTTTGAACTAACTGCCAGAAGTGGCTCGTTGAATAACATTCCATGCCAAAATAATTTCTTAATAAAGAAGATGTAATTATTTCATTTTATTACATAACTGACCAAAAGAAGGGAGTTATTTTAGTAGCTTAGACTGCATGCGAAACTTAACTTTTTGCACCATTTGGCAGAGAGGTATGAGATTTTGTTTCTCACGAGTCAACATTACCATTTAGCTGCTCAAACAGAGAATAAGATCATTACTTATTCCTAGTGGATGGGTAAATATGGGTAAGTCTGGCAGTCAAGGAGAACTGCCAGAGCAATGACTCATGATAATATTTTCCTCTTTTTTCTGAGAATCCCATTTTCAATATCTCACAGAAAGGAGATGTGGAGCCAACATATAATCTGCCCTGTAGCCTCTCTTGCTTCCCTTCTCTTTGCTGTGTGGTCACAGCCTTGACATTAATGCCATACCTGGTGGAGCCTTTTTTTAGTTTTCATAATTTAGTTGTATACTTTTTTTCAAACATTCAATGGATTATCAAATAGAATATAAAATACAACATTCCATTCCAAGCAAGGCTAGCTGGCACAGAAAATTTATATGCACACCAGTTTTTACTTATTCCCTCTGTCTGAAGCACTGGGTGCCTAGTTTTATTTCCTGCATATATATAGGGAGAGAGAGGGAGAGATACATAAACACACACACACACAAACCCTACTTTTTCTCTTGGGTTTTTTTTTTAAAGACTGTATTCTGAAATAATATGTTCTGGTGATAACACTATTACCAAAACATTTTTAAATCACTGGTTTTTCATTCACTTCAGTGCAGTTCAGAGGAGTGCACACTCAAGATGACAGAGGGTCTATTTTTTTTTTTTTAATTTGCCACTGACTCATAGCACGTAGCAGTTGTGGTAAAATCAGAACTACTTTTCCACTGGGAATTAAATGTGAGCAGTCCGATTCAGCTAAAGCTAATGGTTATTGTGAATCATTGAAAGCCTTCTAAGTTCCTCTGGTTTTAGTGAGACCTTCAGTATAATTCCACACGTTAACTTGGAAATAACTCCCACTATTTTCAGTGGGTCTTACTGCATAGTAAACACGTTACGACTTCATTTAGCCTTAGTCACAACTAACTTTATTTGGATTGTAGGAGGGTTGTGTTAGGTCTTCAGAAGAATAGATTTTTGCCTGCCTCCATCCCTGCTTCCAGCAGAGAGTGAAGCCAACCTAAACAACTTGGAGTTATCATTTGATTTAGACATTTGCAAGGTGAAGTTAACGGGAAAGTAAAAGTCTTCGCTGTTGTGTGACTCCACTTCTATGTCTAATTAGAGTCTCAAAGCATTTTAAAAAGCCATATAAGGTGAATCATCTCAGTAAACAGCCCTTGACGTGAAAAACCAACACCTTTGCGGTGGGGAGGATACCTTTGCAAACAAAGAAAGGTGGCTTTCTGCAGTCAGCCCTTTTCTCTAGCCGCACAGCATGGGGTGACGGAAAAATCATTAACAGGCTCATCCTGCACTTTTCCCTTTTCCACACCTGCATACCACCATCCCCAGTGCTGTAGCTTTATGGGCCATGAGGAGGCAGATTTGCCGCCATGAAACTCTGGAGCAAGCTGACAGCTGCAGAACAGCAGACACTAAAATGTAAAGGAGAGGAAGGGGAGAGATCACCTTTGAAGTCTACCAAAAGAAAAAGGGAAAACAATAGGACTTAGACCATTTCTTTTTTTAATTATCTGTCTCAGGTACATTAAGATATGAGCCACTAGGGCAGGGTTTGTTTTGTTTGGAAAGACGCATGTTACAGTAATGTGTGGGTTCATAAGACCCTTCAAAATTAAAATTAAAATGTGCATTTAAAAATTGCCATAGACTAGTGAGGGAAATGAGCCTTTTGAGCTAAAAACAGGTTGCATCATGGGGTGAAAATAGCAGCTGGGGGATTTTTGACAGGAAACTGGATCAGGAGCAGGGCTCTACAGCTGTATATTCTTCGGAATAAAAGTGAAAGTATTGATCACATTTTAAAAAAAAACACAGGATTAACGCAATGTGTAGCTTGGTCTCTGGAAGTCTGAATATTTTCAACTCCTATCCTGGTGTATAATTAATTTACCTACTTACCTACTTTCCCTCCCACCCCATCACTTTGGAATAAAGTCACAGTAGTAGATTGCAGTTGCAGTGCATTAACCTGAAATTACGAGTCACACACCTCAATAAGAAAAACTGCCTTATCAATGAACTCAAGGTTGGCCAACATTAAGATGTCTTATTTCCATGGATGCCCTCTATTGGTTTACTGCAGAAAAGCATTCACCAATAATTATTAAATAGACGGCTTCAAATATTCTTGAATACTGCCGGAAGTCAGGTGATTTATTGTTTTATTCCGCAAGAGTAATTACTTTTGTGTACTGCCTTGGCTAACAGTTTATCTTTCTTACATCTTCATAGACTTTAATGGCTTTTTAATAATAATAATTTAAAAAAACCGTTGACAGAACCGAAGAGGCAGCTGTGCTAATTTGTCACAGAGCAAAAACAGAAAAGAAAAATGGATCATATGGTTGCCTTTGCAACCTCTTTTTTTGTGGTGGGGGTGGGGTGTGTTTTCCCCTTGCTTACAGGTGGGTTTCTCCCCCAATTTTCCTCCCACAGTTGCTGCTTTCTTGGCTTTCTGAAGTGCAGAAAAGACTTGGAGAGCCATCTAGTCCTCAGCAGGTGGTGAGTTCTTTCCTGTAATCTTTATCAGGCTTGCCCCATCCCACCTCTGTCTTCAGAGGAAGATAGTAGTAACAGTTGTTGTTGTTGTTTTGAGGTGGGGGGGACACAGGTTAGTGGGGGAAGTCCTATTTATTCTCTGTCTGGAGAAGCCAGAGTGTTACAATATGGAGGAGAATTTCCGAAGAGTCAAGCTCAAGCTGAGGCCCAAAGGAGGAGAAAGGGAAGCCTTTATTATGATAATAGCGATGAGCTGGGTAAAAAGAGCTCTCACAATGGGGCTAGGCTACTGTGCCTTCAGCTGCTTCCTGCTAGGAAGATTCACAAGTCTCCTTTACATAGGATGATTAGAGAACTACAAAGTCAAGGGGAGTGGTGGGTTTCACTCTCTTATCTGGAGCTCATCCAACTCAACAGTTCTGACTCTCCAAGATTGCTGCTTTTATCAGCCCAGCCTGTGAGGTTATATTAAATGATAAATGTTTGGTGCTCAATATAGTGCCATTTACTCACCCAACCCCCCTAAAATCATGGGTCTGATACCGAGAAGCAAACAAAGCCCTTTGCACTACAATTGATTTTGGTGGGACTTTATTTAACAGCAGCAAAACTAGGACGCAGGCATTGATACTGTTTAGTTTGCCTAATTGTCCATGCACCCTTCATTGTAAAGAGGGGTGAGGGGAATTAGTTAATTTTGGGGAAGTTTGCTCCTTAACCATGCCAGGGGTGGGTCAACATTGCCTTTCTTTCAAAAGGTTCCCCTCTTGCATTTTCCTCCAGGATACTCAGCCTCCTCCTAAAGGTGTAATCAGGCTTCCTAATCAGTTATGTAGATAGAGAGCAGGTTTGGGGCTGCCTCCCATTTAGGACTATAAATCTCGGCTTACATTGATTACCTTTTCCTGTAGGTCTTTCTTTTGAAACCCTTTTATATTATTACTGTTTCATCATTTAGATGATTTCAGACCGCAATGTTTCCCAAGGAATAAGAATCAAGCATCATATGTTTTGTTATATAAGCATGTGGGTCACAATAATAGATTAATATTGTTCCTGCATATCAGCTCAAAGTATTGCAGAGATTTCTGCATTAATGGATTCATTGGATTTTATGCAGTGAGAGTGAGAGACAACAGTTCTTCCTCTTTAAGTCGTTGAAAAGTATAGCAGATGTTTTGTTTTGGCCAATTTTTCCTGTTGAAATTCAAGTGGACTGACAAAGTGGGCCTTTTAATCATACAAGGACAGAATAAGATTTCTGAAATTTTTTGTAGAGGGTGGAAAACTATTGCATTTTAAAGTAATATACATGTTACATACCTGTCTTTATTATTTTGCTATTCAGGTCAATAAAAATGTGAAGTAGTATGGTAAAATACATTGTCTATCTTGCACACGGTGGGTGCCACTGAATGAATGAAAGTGTTCAATGGAGACGTGAAGTTTTGAAAAGGAACCTACTTCAGCCAAACCCTGTTCTGTTAGTACGCCACTGACATCTTACAGTGCCATCTTAATCACGTCTACTCAGTCCCATTGAATCCAATGTTTCTTGCTCCCAGGTTACTGGGGTTACAACTGCAGCCTTAAATAAGTTTTGAATAGGAAGTTATCTTAGGCCCTTTGTAGTGGTATTGCTTTAACAAGAACATTATTTAGTATAATAATTAAGTAGCACTTGAGAATGTTCAAAACACATCACGTACATTATCTTATCATTCCTTGCAAAACTGCCCTGAGAGGTAGACCAATATTTATAATCACCATATTGCAGATGAGAACCAAGGCTGAAAAATGGTGGTTTACCTTTGGCTTCCTAGTCAGTTGGAATTGGGCCAAAGTTGTGATATGCTTTAAGCATATTCCGGAATCTAGATTTGGACAGTATCTTTGTGGACCAAACTTTGACATTATCCCAAGTGCTTGATCAGGCTAGATGTTAAACAGAGGAATTGGCTGGAGAGGGAGGGGGGCAAGAAACAGAAATGCAATTAAGCACCTCAAAACTTCCCAGCCCCACAATTTACACTGGGGATAAAAGAAAGCACTCTTCATTTTATCCATTTCCATTGCCTCAAGGAGGTGATGTTTATCTGCAGAGTTCCTGGCTAAGGAAAGTTTTGTTCCTGAGAAAAGCTTGCAATACAATTAAGGATGAGATGAAGGACCCAAGCCATGAATGATCTACGAACAATTTATTTTGGAGTAGTCCTGCTGGCATTGGTGGCTTTACTGCACATACGGTTGTAGAGCACATATATTTGTTATATTTGTAGATAAAATTGGACTTTGCCCATGAATGCAGCTGTAAGTTGTATGCCTGCTGCTATGTTCACTTTGGGTTGTGTCAAATGCTGCTGTTCCGCTCATGCAAGAGACTTCCACTTGTGCAATGGGACTTCCCCTTCTTCTCTCCACCCCCAGCCCCACACATGCCCTCAAAATCTTCTCCATAAGGTTGGAGAACCCTCCAGATTTTGGAAGCACACAGGGGGAGGAGAGGAAGGAGAAGTCTTGATGTGTAAGTAGAACTCTGCTGAGGCAGCTCTGCATACAACCCTGTGACTTTCCCCCGCTTTCTTTCTGAAAGCTGCACACACACACCCTCCTCAAAACTTCAAGGTCTCCATACAGGTCATCCCTCCAGGACATAACATCTCAGTAGTACTGAAGCAGGCTGCAACCACAGTGTCACTTTCTGTCGGTGGCCAGTGATAATATTCCCATTCTTGTGGTGCTTTCCAGCATTTGTAAATACTTTTAGCATTCCTCTCCTTTGCTTATCCCTGAGCTGATTGAGATGGAACAGAGCCTTCAAAGCTCATTTACCTAACGCCATTCTACATGTAGCATCAAGTGAACAAGCCCTGAAGGATCAGTGGGCTCACATGCTCTCTTCTTCTCCCTTTGCACACCGCATTTCTCTCCTTCCTTTCCTGGTTTATGTCACACCATAGTTCATAATTCCATTGGAACTGGCAAACTCTGGAAACTGCTTCACAGAGACAGTTCTCATGCATTCCATATTTTATCCATTAAGTAAGGCTGAGGCTCCAAAAAATGAATGTGCAGATTGTCGGGATGTGATTACATGCTAGGAGATGATATATTTATTAGATATTTTCCTTCCTTCCTCATGTTTGTGAGTTCAGCAGAGTGCCATCGCTTTGCAGCTTAAAAGGGAAGCTTAGATAGGCTAGTGTATAAGCTCTAACATGCTTTTTTATTATTACTGACAGAAGAAAACATGCAAACAGAATCGGAAATATGAACAGCAACTTCACTCATTGCACCATATGTATTATTTTTCTCTTCTTAACATGGCATTATCCAGGAGGTGAGTTTGCACAATGTAGAGGCAATTTGTCTAGTATACCACTTTATAAATGGCTTTTATGACTCTCTGCTTAAACTACCACGCTGGCAAAGCCTATTGTAGTATTGCCAAAGCTAAAAGAAGCCATTTAAGGATCACAGTAAAAATCAGTTGTGATTTCATGCAACTAAATCCCATAAGTCATCAAAACTTACTTTGGAAAAAAGCTAGCCAAATTTGAGTTTATTATGGAAAACAATGCTGTCTGTTCAAACAGTTGCTGCATTAAAAGCTTTCAAAAGAGGCTTTAAAAATGTATAGGCAATGAATAACAGAATTTTTAGAGGCTATAAGTCTTTTTTTCAGAAGAGTTAGGGTGAAGCATTAGCAACCGAGTCTAGCAACAATCATCCTAAGGATTCATAATCCGTTTTCCTGAAATGATGGTGAAGACTGTTATGGTCACAGCTTGCAGACTTAATAAATATCTAAAGTAATGTTCATTCAGTGGAAGTAAGCAATGAAATAACAAATTTACAGTAGTTGACCATCTTTGACTGGACTTGGTAGCCAAACCAAAAACCATAGTTCTCTGTACTTGCTCCTTCTGTTGCTGGGGTTTTCTGGCCTCACAGCTGCTGAGGAAGGTCCTGCCTGGGCAGCAAAGAGTTTGCCCATTTGCTTGCTTCTTTGCTAAATAAATAAAGCCCCTCCTCCCTTGCCCTGGACAGGCCTGATACATTCTCATAATAGTAGATCTCTCAAAGAGATTCTTTGGACAGTTTCCTTTTTGAATAGTAGCGGGTGGGATTGTGTATAATACATAGAATGAATGTTTATATGTTTCAATGGATTAGACAAGAATTCAATGCACAACATGTGGGGTCCAGTGAGCTGGGGATCACCTACACTAAAATGAACTTCAGCCTGTTTTATTTTTGTGATGCTCAATGTTTTTAGCAAATATATTTTGCTGACTGGCTGTCTTGGTGAGCTGGCCGCACCCAAGGAGGAGAGCCTCCTTATTGCAAAAATGGTGGTTGGTAGCCAGTGATACATATATTGAAGCCCACCTCAGTTCACAGGAACAAGAAGGTACCGGCAGGCTGTTGTTCAAATTAAAAATGACTCTTCTTGCATTGCATTAGCCACATGTGTACAAAAAAGAGAGAGATGGTGCCAAGAAACATTCTTAGGATCAGTTGTGGAAGGATCAAACTCTAATGAGATCCTTTGCGAGCAAAATGTGTAGCTCTACTGTGCCCCAGAGCAACCATTGGCTTCCTTGCTTTCATGCACACTTAAAAAAACAATAATGCATTGCCACTAAATCAAGTAGATTGTGGGTGGGAATTAAAAGCAGCTAGGACAATACCTACTCTGTTTTTAAGAATCTATAATCCATGTTTGTGTTCTTGATTTGTTTTTTTGTTTGGTGCTATCTAGGCTCCTAGAACAAAACGGACAGTTTACAGATGTCAGAACACAGCAGAGTGTGCATGATCTGGTTAGTAATCACAACAATCAGCTACATATATATGTTGCATTCTATACAGGCAAACATTACTCAATATGCCTTTGATTTGAATTAGGCCCCTTTCTTTGTTTATGCCACTTGATACTTTATGTTGTTTAACCTAAAGGTTATAACACTAAAGTAAACTTGACTTACCTGCGGAGTTTTAAGAAATAATTCCCCAAAGAGTGTTAATGGAATTTAGCACGTAAACGCACCAGCGGATGTTGAACTCAGCACTGAATCGCTGTTCAAAGAGCACACTTCACCCGGGATATAACCACATGGAAACTCTGTATTTAGGAAAATAAGAAACCTACATTCACTGCAGAAAATATGTGCTCGATAGGAAAGATCCTAGTTCTAACCAAGTAAGGTGGAGAATGCCAGGAGCCATGCTTGCTCATGTATTTTAGCAGGAAAGACACAAACAGTGTTTTGCCACCTGAGGCGAAATGGGAAGGTGTTGCTCTGAACGTGCACCACACGCCATCTGCCCCCACTTGCCTCCCACGCCAAAGCCTTGCTTACATGGGCACAGCTGTAGCTTCTGGGTCTGTTTTGCAAGAGCCCTGGAAAATGTCACAGCCATCTTGCCAGAACCTGGATGCTGTTGCAGCTGATTCTCCTTGCCTCTCCAGCAGTAGTGCGGCACATCCCAGAGGCATCCCTTGGATTCTGCCACCTGAGGCAGATGCCTCAGTCTGCCTTATGGATGGGCTGGCGCTGTTTGAGATTGGTCAGCAATTGAAGCAGCGGGGCACAGCTGACAAGAGTAAGAGTTTTCACTACCAGTAGATGAATCTTGGAAGAGAACCAGAAAAAAAATGCCTGAGAGATGGGTGTATTAACCAACCAGTACAAAATGATAATGGGAGCCATCCCGATCCTTCATAACAACCCCCCCACCTGACACTTGGGAGGTTGTGTGTGGTCAACTATATTAAGTTAGAAGTATCCACAGTTCTGCTCTTTTAAGGTTCAAATGGCAATAGGTTTGAGTTTTGAATTTAGTAAGTAGGATTGTTAGATTTCATGTTAGACTCATTTTTAATCATTTTAATTGCTTCAAAATGACATTTTTAAAAGCCTTGCATTATACTAATGTTGTTTTCATTGTCTCAAGATGAATTATTTGTATCCAAATTTCCATCAACGATCTGGAACGAATCAGAGCAACAGGTTAATAGAGGAAAACTTGGTTCCATCTTTAGTTAGTGGAAACCTGCAGGAAATGCATTGCAAGGACTCCACCAAAATATTAAGAATTTCGAACGAAAACAAAAAGATGTTGAAGCAACATAAAGATAGAGGTGTTCTTCAAATGTGAGTACACTTAACCTGTAGACTGAGGCTTGTGTCCATTCAGTCTTTTACCTGGTAGATGGATATCACAACTTAAATGAAGTTGTAATTTCTAATAATGTTATTTTCAGTTTCCCTGATAGAGTTGAAACTCAGAACATCTCTACCTTTGCCCAGCCTGAAATGGTTCCTGTGCCTTTAACTCTGGGAGATGTTGCTCTCTATGCTCAAGTTGTGGTAGGTTCATACTTCTTTCTTCCTTTCCTCTATCGAGTCCATTACTTATTATGATGTCAGCAATTCACAGAACCTGGTTTATCAGGTTCATCTAAAAGAAACCTTATTGGAAAGGAAACAATGGGTCTTTAATGTGAATGGGCATTTTGTAAAATAAAAAAAATGCAGTTTTCATACATCTCTTCTCAATGCTACTATAATTCTGTACAGACCCAATTTGCAGTATCTGCCAGACATTTCAAATTAATCTAATTGTGTGTGTGTGTGTGATTTTTTTGCAATACAAGTCAATTAGGCCTCTTATCTCAGAGGTAAAAAATATTTTTTGTGAAGTACAACATGCTTTTTCCAGCCATTTATTTAGAGGATCAGTACTACAAGTGTTGGCATTGTGAAACAGCTGTTGCTCAACCTTATATTACTGTTCATGCGCATATGCTATTTTCTTGGTTGTTAAATTGATCATACCATATATTTATCAATATACAGCTGAACTGTACATTGTTGCTTTTTAGGAAACCACACCATTAAACACATATTGGACAAATTATGTTGACAATGACTCCATCATCAACAGTGAAAAACAGTAACTACAAGTGGGATCTTTTGAAAATAATCTGCTCTGTAGCTTATTGTGATTAGTGTTGAGATTGGTGTGTATGTAAGTGTTCTCCTACCATCCCTTTCTTTACTTAAAAGTTTGAAAAAGTTATTTTGAAAAGATAACTATATAATTTTTATTAATGCATAGGGTTCTTTTTTTCTTTGTTGAGATATTGGGCATTGTAATGTATTTCCCCAAAAAATGTGATTTATTGTTATGCATTTATTCTCTCTCTCTCTCTCTCTCTCTCTTTCATTACTCCATATGCAAGTCTTGTTTTAATTCCTAAAAAACCCCACAACCCTTTGCATCCTTTCCATTAATTTGCTTAAATCTGTAGGGGCATCAGTTGTGATAAATACTTTTTTTAATAAATAAACAACAACACTTTTAAATTCCAAGTTGTGCAAGATAATACTATCATTCTTTCATTAATTAAGAGGATGAAGAGCACAAATGACTGTTCCTTCCATTCCCTACTCTTAAATACGTTTCTTTGCCAACATCCACATGTACTAAGGACTCTTCCCAGAAACTCTGAGGTTCTTTCTTCCACCACCACACCAGTGCCAGAGGGCACAAGAGACAGACCAGCCTTGCAGGAACACACACTTCAGAAACCGAATGTGGCAACTTTAATTGCGAGATCATCATTTCCAAAGGGACTTGTCTATGATATGTTTACAAGAGTATTTCATCCCCTAATAGGCTTCAGTCAGTGCTGGGCTAACCCTCCAGGTTACCTGCTCTCTTCTCTAGGTCTTGCTCTTCAACCTTAGGGGTCATGTGGGAGTTCCATGAGTGGAAGCCACTAGAGAGCGATTTGAATTGGGGCCATGATGCAGGGGGCAAGGGCAAATCCATTCCAAGACATTCGGCTGCCTGAGGCAAAAGACGATGAGTGGGCACACACAGCCAGTTCTATGTGCAAAGACTGACTGGACTGGTAAATACATCTGACTTGAGCAATGACAACAGTTGTGCATCTTCCAGTGCACATGACCTCCTCCCCCACCCCAAAGCTTTTTTTTAGCTGTGAAGGGAAAGATTTATGAGCTATGCCTGTAAATTTTTCACTGTATGGCTAACAGCAGAGAAGAGAAACTTTCTGAAAGTGTGTAGTAGCTTCCCCAAAACTTACTTGATCTTGGCACTTTGCAAATTTAATCAATTATGTCCTTTAATACCCACTTCAAAAGATTTCTGCCTTTGGGTTTTATACAGCTACAAGTGATCAAATATATAGTCTTAAGGAAACACATAGTGTTCAGAGTGCCTAGTTTCCCAACAATTCTTAACCATCATGTGCTGTGAGGTATTGCAGTTTTGCTTAAATGCCTGCCATTGGTTTGTATGTAGATTAAACTGATTCTCCTGCTCAAATGTATAGCCATGAGGATGGCGATGCCACAATGCCTGCTACCTTTCCTCTGGGGCCACCGATTGCCACAGCTCCTTCCAAGATTTGTCCTTACATTATAGGCCAAGTGAGAGGAGTGGCAGAGGATGGGAGTAGGAGATGCTGGTGAAGCACTAGAGGCCATAGCTCTAGGTGCAGAAGGTGGCCTACCATGCACCCTCTAAACTTACCTGCTGCCCTCAGTGAGGAACACCACTAGGGTTCAAGGAAGATTCATCTGCCAGTCGCATTGGCTTTGTATAGTACATGGAAAGTGGGGCGGGAGCTCTTAGTCTTTCGCCTCAGACAACAAGACACCTTGGGCTGGTTCCTGGCTCCCATTCAAAGTAGCTGCTGCAAGGAAAAAGGAATTATCCCTGGTGAATATACACCAATCTTCTGATACTTCAGCTATGCTTGAAAGACCAAAGCAAGCTGCAAATTTTAGAAAGCAAACCATAAATGATTGATTCAGTTTAAACTATTGCCTGCACAGTTGATCAGTCTCCAGTTTTAGAGCTTGTGAAATTGTTTTGTGGTTGGTTATTTCTCGCTTGGGTTTGGTGTGGGTGGGTGTTTGTATGTGGTGTTGCAGTTTTAATAACAGGCAGTGCACCAGTTTCATCTTATTTGAGCATTCTACGCCACTGCACTGTTTAAAAAAATACATGCTTGCACTGTCTAGCCCAAGTTACAGTGCTGGTTGCCTGCTTCTGTTTGGTCCCTTTGCTTCCATGTTGCATAAAAGACATCACAGCATCTCGAAGCTGTCATATATATGCCCACATGATAGTGCAATCCAGATGTTGTAGATTCTTGGAAAGCAAAATACATTGATCCAACACAAGCAACCTGTGAATAAAAATAGATTCCCTGTGTCCCATAGAAAGTTTAAAGTTCATCAAGAGTCTTTCATATATAATTTCCCACCCATTTTTCTCCTATTCATTTCTTACACACTCTTTAATTTCCATTTCTTTCCTTCAAACAGGCTTCTTTTCATCTGCTTTTTTCTCTCCCTATATCCTTTCGATATCACATTACAACATTCTCTGCAAGTTCACCTAAATCTTCTATACTGAATAGTTGGTTGCCGACATTTTTATTGTGCATTAGTAAGGTGACACACAGAAACCTGTGGGGGGTGTGGGTAATCTCCCCCAAACTGGCCTTTATGAATATTACTTAACCCCTAAATAGTCTTTGAAGGAGAAACCCTTCCCTAGGGCACATCAGAAAGAAGCTACCCCCAGGTCCTAGAAATGTGTGAAGGTTTGGTAGTATATTGCCCCGTGGGTATGTTAAGTACTTTAAAGCATCCTGGCTGTTTCCTGTAATTACAGTCTCACTTTCTCTGTTTTGCTCCCTGGCTCTCCTCTTTCCATGTCACCTACTTCTCTGGGTTGCCAACTGCTCCTTCACCAGCAAACCTACCCCCCATCTCACCCCCACCACAGCAAGAAGCCAAGTTCACTTTTGCTGCCTCTGGATGAGGCAGGGGACCATGGAAATTTCCTGGCAAGCAAGTAATGTTAGAGGATTTCCTTCCCAGATTAAACTGCCACACTTTTTACATGGCAATCTGCTATGCTGTGATACTTCTGGTGCTTGTTGCAGTAAAGAGGTGGTGTAAAAGGCAGACATGTGAAGGTGCCCTGCACTGAGTCAAACCACTGGTCCATCTACACTAGTATCGTCTACTCCAGGGATAGCGAACATGGTGTCTTCTAGGCCTTGTGGACTACAACTCCCATCAGTCCCAACTAGCATGGTCCATGTTCAGGGACGGTTAGAGCTGTAGGCTGGCAACATCTGGATGCAGAACAATGTAGGAAGCACATCTTTGAAACAATGTGGTACTTCCAGTCATGGAGACAAAGGGCCAACACTTTCCTCCAACCTCCATGCATTATTACTTTTTAACCTCCATTAATCGCATTATTAGAACCTACAACAGCAAATAGTAAGTGACCTAACACTGAACCTTATATGACAGTCAGAACAAGAAAGAGACACCAAACATAAGCTTGTGATGGGCACTCCAAAAGTGGCTGGGGAAAACCAGCCAGATGGGTGTGGTATAAATAAATTGTTGTTATTGTTGTTGTTATATAATTGTTTTTATTGAAAGCTGTGCACTCCCCTTCTCCAGCACTGGAGTGTGCCTCTATCCTGATTAAAAACAAAGAACCAGCACACATGAATAGGATTATTCACAGCAGAAAGACTTTTCCCGCTCTCCTGCATCCCATCAGGACAGCACTCCAATGTTTCTGGATTGAGGCTGGTATAAGCAAAAAACAAATAAATGACTTTTCTTAGTTATCCAAGTAAACTCTTCAGACTGTACCACATAGTTATGGCACAATTATTTAGTTGGGCAAGAGACTCTGAGCATATTGTAAGAGAATTCGGCAATTGGCCATTTCCTCTTTGGCATCTCATGCTAATCCAGAACCTTTGATATGAATGGGAAGTTAGTAGTACAACAACTGGCTACAGAAGACCCTGGGTATAATATATGAGGGCTGCAATCCTAATAAGTTTAACTGAAGTTGTCAGATCCTATTTAGGACTGGGATAATAGTACTTAAGTATATATAACGAATACAAAACCTGTCAAATTCAATAGGAATGCTTTGGGGAAAGTGATTAGAGGCTTGCAGCAGCTTTAGCAGATTTTTCTTGTGTCCTAAAATAAAAAACAGAGGGGAGTGTAAATGGTTGCAGTTCAGATATTAAGGAAGTGAGAAGTGATGTGTGACATAGATCAGAGTTAGGATTAAGGTAGTTCACACCCAGCAACAAGGACTTGCAGAAGGGAATATGCGCCTTGCATTTTCGCAAATAATCTGTAACTGGAAGAACTAATACCAAAGAGAAGAGCAAGGAGGGAGTTCAAGGGCAGGGATTCTTAAATGGTCTGCTACCACTTAATAAAAACACTTGAAACATTTGCTGCAGTAACAAAGCAGGCCCATCAGTAGCCTCCTTGAAGCTGCAGAGTATACAGTGAAATGGGTGCCTGCTCAAGTCTTTGAAGCACCAGCTCCTCAGGGCCCAAGAAGATGTGATAGTGATCAATATCTGTGAACATGAACCTGCTGCTATGATGTAAAAGTGGGAATGGCTTACGTTTTTAACAGCAAAATGGGCATTAGGTGTACAGAGTGCATAAATTGCTGCCCCACTTGTGGGATGTATTAATCCTCTCCCACCTTCCTTAACATTCCCACACCACCACACACCTATAGCTTGCAGAGAAAGATTGCAAGGAGAGAAGCAGGAGGGACAATCTATTTTTTCACCATGTGACCCTTTTGCCCTTAAAGTTTCCCCCTTCTTCTCATGTGGCTGGAGCAGTTCCATGTTGCTATCATGCCCAGTTTGGCCTTTAGAAATGACTAAACGAATGCAATAATGCCCCAGTCCTTTGACATGTGATGTGAAAAAATGCGGCAGAATCGCCACTGGAAGGATAATGGAAGGGCACCAAGGGATAGAATCATGTTTATTAATTGAATAGCCAATGGCTAGCCTTACAGGTTTCAGCTGGCATTTTGTTCAGATAACAATCTTAAAAGCATTGGGATGCTTTATAGGAAGGAGTTCATAAATGATATAATGAAATAATGTTATGTTATTAAAGAACAACTTGATTATTGGCCCCTACAGGTATAGACTGACCATTTTCCATTTCTGATTTCCATGAACGCTTCTAGTCTTTTGCAGTAGAAAATAACAACATTTAAGGATCTGGAGTCTCACCAAAACATTTAGCCGCCCCTTCTGCCTTTGTGCCCATCACCTTCCATAAAACTGAATTCCTTTAAAGAAGGTGCCATCCTGTCAGCACATCTGTCTTGAGACAGGCAGGAAGGGCGGAGGATGGCTGTTCATTAATTGCATCATATTAAGCTTTGAGGCAGACAAGTACTTGAGACAGCCAAAAGGTGAGGATTCCGAGGTCCTCCTGAGCCAGCAACCTCCGCCCCCAGAGCCCCTCCTCCCTCTCACAGGCTTTGCAAAACTGTAGGGGCACAAAGTCTTGAGAGAGAAGCACAAAAACAAAAAGCCAGAGAGGTTTGCTAAAATTCATTTTTTCAAGAAGAGAGTTTGCAAAAAAAATAAAAATTGTCTGATCAAAGGGGAGGCAGGGGATGGAAGGGAAATGTTACTGAGCCCAGCAGCTGAAGCCACAAATCAGGAGTATAAACCAAGGTACCTAGATTTAAAACAGTTTAATTTGATTCACTTCAGTGAAATTGAATATCAGTATCTAACACTGGGTAGATTCAGCAGTTTGTTGGCTTTAATTCATACTGGTTTGTGGAGTGCACCCATGGAGCTCAGTCCTAGGCATCTTCATTCAGCAGTCAGCCCCACTACGTTCAGCGTTAGATCTCTGACTGAGCTTGTTTACTGCCTTGTTCTTCTTCTTGTTGTTGTTGTTTTGTCGTTGTCATCAATTTCATTTATGTATCACTTCCCATCAGGCACCCCAAAGCAATTTACAATGCAATAAAGACTTACAATAACAACTGCATATATCAAAACAGGTAAAACATTTGGATGTAAAAAAGTTTTTCAACTACACACACACCACCTATATAAAATTGATTTCCAATCCAATACAGAAAGCAGCTGGGCTAAAAGTCTCCACTCTGAAGACTTGTTGAAAGAGAAATGTCTTCAACATGCACCAAAAGGACAATAGAGGACGACCATGTTCCTTGACATGGTTGATGGAAGAGGGAAGGTTACCTTGTCTAGACAAAGAAACTCAGAACCATAAAGTTACAGGGAAGAGAAACAAGCCACTATCTGATTTCAGATCATTGGTTCTGAACTTGCCTTGCAAGACACTTTAATAATGTATGTTAGTCTTCAAGGTACCACAAGAATCATACTACAGCAGGCACTAAGTAAGGTGAGGGAACCAATTCATAGGACCAAAGTGGAAATGTGAGGATGTGGTCATAGTTTATCTGGGTTGTATGGTGAAGTGGTTATGTGAATGTTTCATGAGGAATAAAATTCAACCTGTGTTTTTGTTGTTGTTGTTTAGTCGTTTAGTCGTGTCCGACTCTTCGTGACCCCATGGACCAGAGCACGCCAGGCACTTCTGTCCTCCACTGCCTCCCGCAGTGTGTTTACTGTGTTTACTACCTGTGTTTACTACATAGTAAATGTGGCTTGGGCTGAGTCAAGTGTAAAAGAAAGCAAACATTATGATCGTATCACTTTCAAATGTTCAACCCAAATTATCACCATGGCAATATGGCTGTGGGAATCAGCTGTTTTATACGTAAACTCTGGTCACAAGTAGATTAGCTGTGAGCTAATGGAGGCAGTTCCTATTGCACACAAGTGGACCATCCAATTGTAAAAGCAAAGACTCCTAAAAGCTTACAGAACTTCTGGCTGATCACAAGAGCCTGGGGGTGAGGGAGCGTCCAGGTCAAGGCTATGATGTGAAAGTACAGCTAATTCCACTGAAATTAATAGGGCTGTTCCCCCTTGACAAGTGTTTAGAGTCTGAGGTGTCTACATAATAGCCTTTGCTATGTGCAACTTTTCAAAGTTAATGTCAGTGACATCCTCATGCTCAGTACAATTCATCTGTGGATTCAAGCCTGTTTAGTCCCAGTGACTTCTGGCAACTTACTTAGACCAGTTTACATGACTATGCAGGAATATAGGTTTTCTGCTCTGAAGTAAGCCCCACTGAGTTCCAGGTATGTGTGTATAGGACTAGCATAGATGGGGCTTACTACAGCCTAACACAGGCTTCCTCAACCTCAGCCCTCCAGATATTTTTGGCCTACAACTTCCATGATCCCTAGCGAGCAGGACCAGTGGTCAGTGATGATGGGAACTGTAGCCTCAAAACATCTGGAGGGCCATGGTTGAGGAAGTCTGGCTAACACAACAAAGAGTCTTGTGACACACTAGACATATTATGGCATTTGGATTTGTAGACTGCAGTCCACTCTAGTAGATGCATTAAGCATTGTCCTCAGATGGCATGTCTCTATACTATATAGCACAGGTCTGTCATTGTGCTCTCTTCATTAGCTCCTTCCCTGCTTCAATCAAAGTTTTCCCACCACTCCCCCTCTCCCAACCTGGGGAACTTCTCCTTGTTCCATTCCTCAGCTGCCTCATGTGGGAGAGATAAAGGATGTGGAGTCCTCAAATATCACATACTACTTTCACACAATTTATTCCACTTCTGGTACCATGTGTTGCCCTCAACACGAAGTTACTGATTCAACGTAGCAATTTAGAAGAGAGATTGTATATAACAAGCAAACACCAAACACCCATCAGCTGAATTTAACCTCTAACTCAACAAACTAACTGAAAGGCTTACTCTTAGGAGTCTATTCCTCTTAAAAGATACAGTAACATACATCATCATAGGGTGTGCGTGCAAAGCGGCTTCAGAATAGGAGAGACAAGGATGCATGGAAATGGGTGTGGTCTGTGTGCAAGGTTTTTGGTTGTTTTTTTAGCAAACTGTAAGCAGGTTGGTTTTCATCCCTGCAACCTCATTTCAGTGAGGTAATAAGCATATCCAGGCAGAGAATGTAGATCAGGGGTCAGCAAACTTTTTCAGCAGGGGGCTGGTCCACTGTCCCTCAGACCTTGCTGGGGGCCGGACTGTATTTTTTTTGGGGGGGGGGAGAACGAATTCCTATGCCCCACAAATAACCCAGAGATGCATTTTAAATAAAAGGACACCTACTCATGTAAAAACACGCTGATTCCCGGACTGTCTGCGGGCCAGATTTAGAAGGGTTAGGGTCTGGCCCCTGGGGCTTAGTTTGCCTACCCATGATGTAGATGAACCATTGGTAGAACTCTGTGGACTGGCTGAGATGATTGGCAGTTTTTCTGTTGTGTGGTTTGTCTTAAGTTCTACAGCCACTTTCTTCCACTTCTCTGTTATTGTGCTGTAGGTCTCCTCACTACCGTTCCTATGCTGTTCTATAACTCCCAGCCAGTCTCATACATGTGCTTTTATATCCATTACATCTAACTTTCACAGATTTCAGAGCTTGAACGACCATCTCCAGTACTGAAGAATATTTGCTTATGAGCACAAAAGCAAATTTGATGTCCTTGAAGCACACAACTGGTATAAAAGTTATTTTGTCTTGGTGTTCCTTGATCGTGCTAATACTGTAGTTTGAGTTCTGAGACAATACTTGTGTACCTTTCTGACTTTTTTAGTTCTCCATGTTTCACATAGCATTGGTATGTTGGGTATTAGGTATTGTCTTTGGATGCTCTCATGGGGGGAAGTTATGATGGCTTTCATAGCATCCTGTATTTTATGCACATCCTATTATTATTAATTAAATTTGTATACTGCCCTATACTAATAGTTCTCAGAGCAGTTCACGACATTACTTTCACTGTTTAGATCATTTACAGTCCCAGGGGATAGGCAGAGGACAAATGATGCCAGAGGATATATTGCCCTGATGAATATGCTTGAACCTCACCATCTTTGCTGCCATGGTTGTACAATCATCATATCCTTGTTCAACTAGCTTATTGACCTTTAGTCCAAAATTGGAACAAGCAGATAAGATTGCATTGGCTGTGTCTAACGCAAGGAATTCCGCATGTACAGGTGCATTCCTTTCAATTTCTTCCACAAATCTTACACCTGGAGACAGCTGTTCTGGGCCAGAAATAGCTGCTGTTTCATCTGCTAAAACAGAGAATCTCATGGAAGCGTTAGCTTTCACAAATGCATCTTCAGTATGTGTCTGGGGCTCCCTAGCAGCCTTCTGCTTTTTGAAATAGTTGCAGATACCCTCAGCTATACAAATACAAGCAGCTCTGCTTCTCTGCTTTCTCTAGCAACCTTATATAGAAAATCTGTGTGCCTTTCTTTTAACCTTCAACCCATCAAAGCAGTAGCATTAAGTTTCTGTCTCCCAGTAAAAGGATGTCTGTTATCCATTTTCCGGCATACCTTGTCAGCACTCTTGGTTTCTCTTCTGTTGGGTTACACTTGGCTTCTATTCGGGGCCACATCCCTGGCTACCTGTCCCTCAAAAAGCAGAGCTGGGTCCAGCAGCACCCCTAAGCTCACCTGGTCACAAAAAAGTCACCACAATGCCTTTGCTGATATTATCATGGCATTTTTAGGATTTCCAAAGCTTGTAAGATTTGCAGAAGCACCATTAGATTGGAACAAGCAGCATTCACCCAAACTGCTTGCTGGCCCAGGAAGGCTCTCTGCCCAAAAAAAGTGAAAAGTTTGAATTTGGCAGCCACTCAGGTCTCACTCTAAATCTCTTGCTGACTAGCTGGGTGGGTGGGTGTGCATTAAAATAAATAAATATAGTTAGGATTCTGAAGGGGGCACGTGCCGGGCCTTACGTGCACACACCTCTGTGGCCACCCATGAAGTCTGCTCAACCCTGCACTAAACTACTTCATGAAAAATTAGATTTATTTTTTTGAAAATGATTATATAGCTACTTTCAGAAGTCCCACTGGTTTCAGCATGACTTTGGAAAGGCAACAGACACTTTTTGCCTATTACCAGAATGGAGCAGTAAACACCCCTCTCCTTCCATGAGAGCCAGTGCAATGTAATGGTTAGAGTGTTGGGACCACTTGGCAGACAAAGCACAATGGGTTCCCTTGGGCCAGTCACCATTTCACAGCCTGACCTACCTCACAGAGTTGTTGTGGGGATGAAATGGGGAGGAAGGGAACCCTGTACAAAGCACCTTGAGCTCCTTTAGAGGGAAAGTTGGCATAGAAATGTGATAGAATAAATTTAATTAAATTCACAGGCATACAGACAAGTCAGGTACTGTAAATCCTTGCACTGGACAAACACCTGTTGACATCAGGAAGGACTTGCTTTCACCCGACAGGGGATGATCAAGGGTTTTTGCGCATTCTAAAGAGCCGGCACCCTCGCCAAGCACCTTTCGGACTGGCTGCATCTGATTCTTCGGAGCGAAAGAGCCTGGTCAGCGGGGAAGGAGGAGGTACCGGAGGAAGCCCGGCACCAAGCCGGGCTGGAGAGAGCGAGCGAGCAGACCGCGTCCCTCGCCTAGCGTAACGAAAGGAGAGCCGCGATCTAAATCGGGAGACTTTACAGCCGTGGGGCTGGAGGAAGTTTTTGGCTATAAACGGTCATGCACGGCAGCTCCTGCTGAAAAGGCTGCGAAGGTGGGGAGCTGCCTTTCTTCCCTGAGAACCAAAGTGCCATTAAGATCACTCAGGGGAAAAGATGGGGAGGAGAAGGGCCAGGGGCGCCTCATCACAAAGGCCGGGGCGGGGCTGAGAGGCGGGGGCATCTTCAGGAACAGACTGGTCAGCTAACCTGATTAGAGCGCGCTGCTGACAATGCCAAGGTCGCGGGTTCGATCCCCGTCCGAGGCAGCTGAATATTCCTGCATTGCAGGGGGTTGGACTAGATGACCCACGGGGTCCCTGCTCTGATTCTGTCATTCTTTCATGGCTCGCTCCTGTGACCAAGTAGCTGCAAAGGTGCAGCAGGGGTGCCAACTAGGATAAAATATGGGGGCGAGCAGATAAGCTCCCCTTAATCGACCACAGGACACGGTGCACGCACACCCTTTGGCAATGCCCATCAGCTTTGGGGGGCCTTGACCTCTCAAATATTTTAGGGGGTGCGAAGTGACCTCGGCCCCTAGGAGTTGGCTCCTATGGCCCCGCGTAAAGCCACGGACGTGGCAATCCTATATGTCACTGGCCTGGGAGGAGGAAGCCCCCTTGAACTTAGCGGGGCTTACTCCTGAGTAGACGTGTGGGAGCCCGCGTCCTAGAAGTAGGCTCCATTGAACCCAACGGGCTTCCTCCTGTACAGTATAGGCAGGCGCAGGATTGCGCAGCAGCAGCTGAACCTCAATAAGATTCGCTCGCGCGCAAACACCGTGTGCGCCGTCTACGGAACGGGGCTAAGGGCTCTTTGGGGAAAAGCTATTGACGGCTCCGCTTAACAAAACAAATATTCCGCAAAGGATCTTTACTAGTGGCAAAATAAAACGTCACCGCCTCGCTTTGCGATGGGCATTAAACAGGAGCGGGGAGGGCGGGGGGGAGAAGACGGAGGGGGATTTGAAAGCCCAATGAGGTCTGAGTACCACGATGTGGGTCCGGCCACCGCCACGAGAACCTTCAAAATTCAAAAGCCCCGGAGCGCATCTCTCTCTGCTCAAAAAGTGCGACGCAAGCTGCTCCACGGAGGAAAACTGAACCGGTGTTTAAGCATTTCCCTCTGAACGCCAACAGATTTACAAATGAGTAGTGTTGCCCGGATCGTGGCCAAACAGATCTCCACTTTGAGCAAGCCATACAATATATTTTTTTAACATTTCAAAGCTATATATTTAATTATTTAAATTAGTATACCGCCCTAGACCTAAGTGCGGTTTACTGCATAAACTCAATACAAATTAGATTGCTCACACGTTAGACTGAATGCTTGCGCCTTCCTCATCAGAAATCCTAGAAGTTCGAAATGACGTCGTATTCAAGTTAATAACTTTCTCAGCATACTGTATTTCTTTCTCACTTATTTGCTGTAACTTGTGGAACTACATCCCGCGTCTAGAAGTGTGCTTGTGTGTTCCGTATCACAGTTATGTATGGGATGCGTGTGTGTTATAAGCGACTTGGTTGTTTTTTCCTTCCTTCTGTATCATCGGTATTGCTGGTTCGATACAAATATCTCTCATAGGTTAAGAGTTATTAATACCACATTTTTATATAGATTGTGAATAAATTCAGCTCAGTGTCCCCAAATTGATTTCCCCCCCCCCAGCAAGAGGATAGCATTTACACGTGCTTACCGGCCAGTCCGTTTTCTCGTCGCTAGGTTGCGATGCTAAGCAAACTTGTTTGGAAACAAATGTTATTGCAATAAGTGGACGTTTACTGCTGTTGCGTGTTGGGTCAAGATGGACGCGTGTTTGTAGGAAGAGGCAACCATTTGAAAAAGCATAAGACAGCCCTTAGCCCACTTGCAAGCGAGTAAGTCCTACTCACCTCAGTGGGACTTAATTCGGAGTTAACCTGTATTTTGAATAAACCTCAATAAGCAATAGTCTGTTAATGCACTCTCTCTCTCTCTCTGAGTATATAGCATGTGTGTACATCTACATATGTATACGTGAAATGTTTATTTCTTATATTATTCTATTTTATATTTAAGCCACTTTGAGTTCCTGTCTGGAGAAAAGGTGGAATGATGATGATAATATATATATATATATACACACAGAGAGAGATTAATGCCTCCCCCTCCTCCCTATAATGTGAGTGTATTAATTTATTATACTAATATACCACACATACATACATTCATTCTATCCTACTCAAGGAATGAGTTTTTAAAAAACGAGGATTTCCTTCAGCCCCTTGACCAGCAACCCTCCGCAGAACTGTGAGTCCCACTGAGTTCGGACTGTTTCCCAGTAAGCCTGGGCATGATGAGCCTGTGCTTTCCACCGACATCAAGTGGGGCTCTCTAGTCCAAGTAATGGTGTCAGGAGCGCCTGGGGTTGCGCTTGTGATCCAAATCCGATGTACTGAGAATTAAGCATCTATCGAATCGCGGTCTTAACGGCAAGGACCGAGCCTAAACTCCTCTGTGGATCGGTCGACTAACTAAGCTGGACTACGCAGCTCCGCTTCCACTGACATTGCTTTACTGAACCAGAGAAAATGGCCGGAATGGGACTGATTCACCCGAGTTGTTTCAGGATCTTCACGTTCCTGGAAGTTGCGTGACTTTTCCCCTGAGTTTTTCCAGGAGAAAAGGACAAGGGGGCTTTATGGGACGCTGGCGCGCCACAAGCCGGTCCTCTCGCCTCTCCGCCAGGACTCTCGTCCCTCCTCTGCCCGCAGGAGCATCAGAAGCCGAAGGGGCTGCGGCTGCTGGTCCACCCGGAACACGGCGGCAGCCCGCTCGGAAGGCTGAGCCACCTGCGAGACTCAGCCGAACTGAACGCTCTTTGCGCGGCTCTTGGTTTCGAGGGGAGATAAAATCACAGAATCATACAACGCCAGAGTTGGAAGGGACCCTGAGGATCATCTAGTCTAACCCCCTGCAAGGCAGCAGTATATTGCCAAATAGGGATTTGAACCTCTGTCTCCTAGCCGGCGCTCTCACCACATCGGGAAAAAGGCTAGACAGGGAAAATCTGCCCACGGATAATTGGTTTATCTTATCATATTTCCATATGCGATCCAATCCCCCTGCTCCATATGGCTATTACTATTATTATTATTGGAAAATACCTCTCCCACCCTGTTGGATAGTATTCTTTTCTTCCTTCGCCCAAATGAGTTAAACTGAATGGAGGGGCCAGAGACTTCTAAGCTTGACTCGGTATGTACTTAATGGGAAGATTGGAAGCTCTTCGGGGCAAGGCAGGGATCTGCCTGCCTATCTGCTCAGGACCAGGAGGTAACGCGAACACCGATCATCTAATGCAATCTACATATGCCCAAAGCTTGAAGCTTTGGGCATATGTAGATTGCATTAGAATAACCGGTGAATGATGGACGGTGATGTCTAAGAAATGCGGTGGCGCTGCCCCTGGCAGAGTTGCGACCTGCTGTCCAGCCTGCCTAAAAGGAACCCCGCGCCGTTATGTGCTGCGTCTTCCGACCAAGGCTTCCCCTTTCCGACGGGCTCTTGCTGCCTTTGCCGTCGGGGTTTTTTCCGCCGTCTGCGAGCACAAAGGGGAACTGCGGCGCGGGCGAGTCCCACGACGGCTCCTTGGCGATCGGGGCTTCCCAGGAAGGGAGACGTTTTATGGCTCTGCTGTGGGAATCTCTGCGGGGAAGGTGGGGCGGGAGCGGGAGGGCACAATGGGCAGGAAATGGGTCGAGGAGCCTCATGGAAAACAAGGAGCCTCTCGCAAAACGGGAGCCGCGCAGCGACCTAAAGTAGGGAGCCCTGCTCGGCCAAAGCGCTGCGCTGGGGGCCACATCTTTCTATGGCACTTCCTCAGGCGCAGGCGTAGTTGGGGGGGGGGGGGGTTAATTCATATTTTCCTCCAAGGGGCTGTACCTGGTGCTGCTCCTGCTCAATGAATCCTTTAATCCCCACAACAACCCTGTGGGGTAGGTTGTGCTGAGAGGCAGTGACTGGCCCAATATCACCCAGGGAGCATCATGACATGGAGGGGACTCGAACCCCAGTCTCCCAGGTCCCAATGCGACATTCTAACCACGATGCCACGCTGGCCCTTTCATCTTAACATTAATTAAATTTGTATACCGCCTTTCATCCGTAAATTTCAGGCGGTTCACAACATAAAATTCATTCTCTCTCTCTCTCTCTCTCTCTCTCTCGGGTTGCAGCCAGGCCTGTTTACTCCAGTGTTAGTCCCAAGGCACAATTCTGCCCCCGGGGATGCAGCAGACCCAGTCCCACCTCCTGCTTTTTACCACCACCATTAATTTGAGGATACGGCCAGGTCCCTGTCTCTCTCCAGCGGTGTCTGAGCTTTCAAAGAACCATCGCCCGCGGAAGTCACCATAATTAGCCTCAGATACTTTGTTTCTGAGTTAAAATAGAACATATAATTCGACCTATCATTGGTAGGAAAGGGTGGGAAATTGTCCACTTCTTCCCTTCCTTGAGTTTACATGGCAGCAGGGGTGCCAGCTTGATTCAGATATGGGGGGGGGGGCAGGTAAGCCCCTCCCCATATAATCAATCACAAGATGCGGCCGCATACAAACTATTTGAATGGCAATCCCCACCAACTGGGGGGGGGGCTCAATTTTGGGCCCCCCCAACTCCGAAGCATGGGCGTAGCCAGGATTTATGTTAAGTGGGGCAGGCTTCATGTTAGGGGGGCAGAAGCTTTTTACTGATTTACTTGATTTAGGGGGGCAGCTGCCCCCGCCCCCTTGGCTACGCCCATGGGGCATAGGGACCTCGGCTCCTAGGAGTTGACTCCTATGCACGTCAGGCATACCGCCCTTCTGGGCATCTACTTCACACACACACACACACACACTCCAGCAGACTGGAACCAATGCCCACCCCAGCCAGTCATGCTACGCCTAAGAGATAGTGGCAGCAAACACGTTCAACTTGCAGCCCAATCCTCTTCGTAGTCCTATATACAACGAGGAAAGGAAACCCAAGAGCAAAACCTGTGAGGCAGGTCGCTGGTTGAGGGTGGCTTCAGTTTTCCAGAAAGAGGCAGAAGAACACCCATCTACTACTAATGAGGAAAGGCCTGAGCTGTAGACTAGCTAAGGTTGCTTGTCATATATCTCAGAGTGAGCTCCGTTAGAAACAATGGCACATATTTCGAGTGAACATGCTTGGGTTTGTCATGGAAATAGGAAAACTCTGCCGACCATAGAGGACGGCATTTGTTATTTCCACCGCCGCCCTGCTCCATTTACTTGCTCTTTGAATCGAATCGTATTGATATGCGTAGAAATGTGGTTTTAACACCGAGCCACTGGGGATGAGAGTTTGAAAAGGGTTCTGAAAGCACGGAAGTCTGAATGTGGGGGCAACGTCTGGCCGCAACTATTCGACCCCAAGCCGTCTTGTTCTTTGCTGGAGGGTCCCGACGCATCTGCCGATGGGTGGGTGGTGCTGCCAAGCCGGGCCAAGGGGATGCTGCTCCCCGGTTATGGCGCTCTTGCTGACATGGCCCATTTCCTCTGGGGCTGCAGCATCCCCAGTCACCGGCGGCTTTGATAGAGGTGCAAACATTTGGGGGCAAATTTACATAAAATACCGCGTTTAATCCCACTGGCTGCAATTAACATCACAGGCTTCCCCCCCGCGCGGGCAGCGTTCTGATATGACCGCAGGGAGCCAATCAGGTGGGCGGGCCGGACACATCAAAGAGACTGTCCTCCAATCAGGTGAGCCCCCTGTCGGCATTGTGATGTCACCAGGAAGCTACTTATAGGGGGCCACGTAATTGCTCCCCGCTTGAGCAGTTTCGAGGAGCGCCTGTCAGAGGTCAAGTGGAATTAACCCCTCCGCACCCAACCTGCGGATCCCTCCTCCCCCTGCAACTTCGTCTATACTCTCCTCCCCATTTGCAACTTGGAGCGGGGTCACCCTGGACAGGTTCTCCAAGGTGGAGAGCGTGGGATCCCGATACCCTGGAGGAGCTAGCTCAGTAAGGAGGCTCTCGGGCAGGGCGGGAAGGAAGGATGACCTCTCCGAGCACGGACAGCTCCGGCAAGAGCCTGCAGTACCGGGTGGATCACCTGCTAAGCGCCGTGGAGAATGAGCTGCAGGCGGGCAGCGAGAAGGGCGACCCCACCGAGAGGGAGCTGCGCGTCACCCTGGAGGAGAGCGAGCTGTGGCTGCGCTTCAAGGAGCTCACCAACGAGATGATCGTCACCAAGAACGGAAGGTAGGAGAAAGGCAGGCAGGTGGAGGTGGACCGTCTCAGGTGGACATGATCCACCCCCTGCTTCCAGTGACTTGCCCCACAGGAGCAAAAACTCATAGCATTTATTCCCAATCCTCCTGTAGCTCAGATCACGGATGGAGGACATGCCTCCCAGGCTGTCGCGTCTCGGTGTCCTCCTGTTGTTGTTTTCCGTGGGGCACACCTCATTGCTGGCTGCCTTTCTCTTCCTCTTGGCCACCTCCCCTTCTGCTACATGTCCTCTCTCTTTTCCATCGCCCTTTCCCGTGTCCTCTAAAGCTTCGTTAATAGTTGCTTCTCGCTACTACTCCGGTGATCTATACAAATTCAGTTTGCAATCCGTTCTGGTGAGCTTTTCAGGGAGGGCCTTTGGTTCTCATTCACCTCATTCTTCAATTACTTGCCCTAGACAGCTCAGCTTCGTTTCTAAGGTAGCGGCTGCTCTTGGAAAGCCTCCTTAGGTGTAGGTAATTATCACTGCAGTGGCGCGCTTTCAAGGTGAATTTTGCACGCACTTTTGGGCGGCCGTCCCTCTCGTTTTGCCCCTGTGCAAAATACACCTTGCGATGAGTCAAACTTCCGTCCATTTGCATCAGAGCGTTTGCTGCAAGGCAGAAAAGGTCCCCACAATTCAGGTGCAAAACCAGGAGGTTTTGCATGGTAAGTTTGGAATGGAAACTTCCTCAACCCGCAGAGAATTCTAGGCAAAACTAAGGATGGTTTTCGGCTAAGTTTTATTCTGAGTAGACTCACTGAAATTAATGAACATGTCTCAATTATGGCTATTAATTTCAGTGGGTCTACCCTGAGCAAAGCCTAGTTAAATATCACCCTAAGCAACTGGTTCCAGACAATCCTTTAAAAAGAGTCTTCAATACTCTTGCTCCAAACATATTTTACATAAAAGCAACACCACATTACATCTTATTGTCTGTAAGATGTTTTACTGATTTCAGATCTTGGGCCCTAGTGCTTTATGACTGTCTTTAAAAACGACTGCCTTCCACCCCTGACTATTTGCTCTGTGATGTTGTCTCCTCCAGTTTATTGATTCTGCGAATTTCCCATCAACCTACACAAAGGTATTGTTTAGTATTTGGTTACTGGGTTGGAGTCTAACTAAGCTACCTGACCTAGGTCCCACCGAAACCACTGTGAAAAGTTAGTCACGATTATGTGAAGCAGGGAACTAAGGTCTGGATCCAACGCTTTACAATCATTTCCAGAGGCTTAGCCTTTGTTAGTCCTTTGCAGCAACAGCAACAAAGGGTCTTGTGGCACCTTAAAGACTACTATTATATGTCACCGTAAGCCCGTTAAAAACCAAATCGGAGAAATAACATAAACAAAAACTTCTCCCGTTTCTTGTTTACAAGCGTGCACATTACTCGCAATTGAATTTCAGTGAAATCAAAGGACCTAGGCAATGAGGAACAAAATGCAAATCGCAAGTCGTTTCAATGGAATTGGCTTCCATATAGTTTGAGGGCAATGGGCTGCTTACACCTCCGTGGTAATTTCCTAAAGACATTTGCACCTCGTCCCTAAAACTGTTTATTCGCCAGGAATTGGACGGATGCCGGCGCTTCCTTTCAAAATCAGGCGGCTTGGGGTCCCTAATGGACGGCGAGCCTGTATGGCAGATTCCGTCCCGTAGATTTCACTAAGCTTTAGTGGAAGCCAGCGGGAGTCGACCAGCCTTACCCCATGCACGTTTACTTGGAAGTAAAACCCAACGGGGCTTCCTTCCAGCCGTGCGTAGGAACGGCAGCCCAACAGCCTAGTCCTGTTGGGGTGAAATCAGACCTATTTGGCTTGAGTGAGGCTTGAGGCCTGAAGAACCTGTGTGAAAGGAAGCCCGAGGGAGGCCTTGTTCTCCGCGAAGCCGGGCGCTCCCTTGGCTCGGGCTTTCCCCGCTCCTCGCTCTCTCTCGGGGCCCCGAGGCCTAGTCGGAGGGCGCGCCTCCTCTGACCGGGCCTCTCCTCGCGTCTCCTTCCCTGCTGCAGGCGGATGTTCCCCGTGCTGAAGGCGAGCGTGTCCGGGCTCGACCCCAACGCCATGTACTCCTTCCTGCTGGACTTCGTGGCCGCCGACAACCACCGCTGGAAGTACGTGAACGGCGAGTGGGTGCCCGGCGGCAAGCCCGAGCCGCAGGCCCCCAGCTGCGTCTACATCCACCCGGACTCGCCCAACTTCGGCGCGCACTGGATGAAGGCGCCCGTTTCCTTCAGCAAGGTCAAACTCACCAATAAGCTCAACGGAGGCGGACAGGTGAGGAAGACCCCTCGGCGGGGAGGCCGGGGGGCGGCGGCCTTCCCTCATGCGGTTGCCCGCCTCAAAAGCGAAATGGGAAATCACGAAATGCAGCACCTTCGCGCGCCCTTTCTAAGCACGTTTTCCCCACCCTGCGGACAGAACGCTGCTGATTTGCTTGGAGTTAACCTCAACTAAGCGTGCTTAAGGCTACAGCCTTATTCTCATTTCCAGTTTACAACACAGTGACGTGCAGACGTCCAGCACTGAGAGGCTGGAGGAGCGTCTCCCCTTCTTCTGCACTATATGAACAGGTTTAGAATTTGGCGGTAGGAGATGCTAGCTACATCACAGAATAGTGGCTACCAGTTTTTCTGAGCCTCCTGAAGAGATTTGTCAGTTTCCAGAAAGAGGATCTGTGTGTGTCTCTCTGTGTCTATATTTTATAGACTAGAACTGTGGGGCTACTGTGTAAGTGTAACACTCCTCACATCAGGGGTCATGGTTTGACCCCTGTTCCCAGGCTGCAGTGTTACTCATTGCTACCCCTTCATTCATTTATTGCTAGCTAGTTTCAGGTGTTCAGTGACCACAGTGTGGGGACATTGGGGTCAGGCCTTCTGCCTGTCCCCTCTTCCAACTTCCACAACTTTGTCTGAAGAGACCCTATGCCTATGCACCTATGTAAGCCCAGTTCAGACCTTTGTAGAAATTTGTGGAAGATGGAAACGTGGGCAACCAGGCATTCTCGTGTTGCTACCCTCCAGACCACCCATGGAAGAAGCACACAGAGAAGGGTTCAGATGACAATTGTAGGGTGCAGGTCTGTTCATGTGGAGACAGGGGATCCTTGAAGTATTGGAGTGATGGGATTTGAAAGTTTTAAAGGTCAAAACTAGCACTTTGAATTGAGCCCAGAAATTAGTTGATAGCCAGTGCAAAGTTAGCCTCTGATCATTCTAGTCTTTGGTCTGCCACTTTGGAATAAGAGTAACCAGTCTTCGTGTGACTTTCAAGTACAAGAAGGATTAACAAATGTAACCTCAAAAAACTCTCTTGAGACTGTAACCCTATGCACGCTTACCTGGCAGTAAGCCTCATTGAATGTAGGGGGGCTTCAGAGTTCACCTGAGTAGGCTTGTGCTGTTTTACTAAGAAAGTAGGTTGTAGCGCATTGTGGGATAGAGAGCTAGCTTGACAACTGACAAATTTTGGAAACTTTAGAATAGATTCCAATAATCAGGAAAACTTAAGATTTCCATTAAAGATAGTTTCATGTGTGTCTTTACTGCCATTTCTCACTTTGTATCCTGGATATTAAACCAACCTAATGCTTAATTCAGATGTTTACTTTCTCCAATATTTTGCCTGTGGCTTCTTGGTTTGATTGCTTAACCCATGAATGGGCTGTATGCACAGGCAAAATATTGGTTAATATCTCATCTTATTAAACTGAGATATGATCATTTGAACTGGGCCATTATTTTAAATAAGGGTAGTGATTGAGACAGTTTGGTTGCATAGGGTTGTTTAAATCAATGTACCGGTACTTAAATTAGTCACATCTATTTATTTCAGTAAGTTTATGCTGGGTGTCACTTAGCTGTATACAAACCTTGGCTGTCTCCCCCCCCCCCCATTTTTATATATTTAAACTAGTCAATTGCTCTTTCTCATCCTTTAAGAAAAACCCACACCATATAGTAGTGTAATATCAAACATTCTCTGCAACTGTGCCTGTGCTGACCACTGTTCTCCTTATATTGACAGATCATGTTGAACTCCTTGCACAAATATGAGCCTAGGATTCATATAGTGAGAGTTGGTGGCCCTCAGCGAATGATCACCAGTCATTCTTTCCCGGAGACCCAGTTTATAGCTGTGACAGCTTACCAAAATGAAGAGGTAGGAACAAAACGAGGATGAGCCCTGCATGGATTTTCCTTCTTTGATGCACCAAAGGACAAATTTGTGGCATTAAGGAAGGAGATGCTAAGGTGGTAGTGGGAAATGTTGATTGTGTACAAAATTTTAAAAGGATGCTGTGAAAGAGATGTAAGAATTGTTCATCTCCACCGAGAACTGGACAAATTAAAAAGCAGCATTGTGTCTGGAAGGTAGGTAAATTGGGAGAAATGTTGTAAGTATAAGAAGACTAAGCCGAGTAAGATTTGTGTATTGTGTATTTCCTTGTTTGAAGGAAAGAGGTTTTGAAGACAAGATTTGAGCAGCTATCAGCCAGAGATATTTAATCATAGTAGGGACAGCTGCATATTCCTGCCTTGGAGGGAATTGAACTAGATGATCCACAAAGTCCCTTGCAACTCTAAGGAAGGGTTGGCTTTATAACATGGAGGTCTGAACAAATAATTCTATATAACTTGTTTATTTCATACTTCTAGTATAAAGTAACCCTTTTGCTGCATTTTCAGTTGAATGTCAAATGAGCTTGTTTAGTTAAAATTATCCTTTTATTCAGACAAAGAAGAGCAACACTGCTGTAGTTTCTGAACTTATGCCTTCACACCACAGCCGCCTTTGTAGAAAATTCTAAATAAATGTTGGACTTTTTTCCAATCCCCCACCCCTGAACTATGTGGAATTTGTTTTTAAAAAAGATGTGTTTAAGACCTTCATCAAATTTAATGTGTTGTGCTGAGCCAATGAATCAGGCTAAAATATAATAAAATGTTCACAGATTTTCAATACATGCAAGATTTTGAGGATATTTATTGCAGAAAATAGTTTCAAGGTGACAGCATAATCAAACATTCTCATTTTGAAAAACTCCCTGTAAACAGATTGTTTGACTCACGAGAACCTAGATTGCATACTGTTAACACCAAACAACTTTTCACAGGCTGTAAATTGAGAGATGATGTAAAAATCCATATTTTACAATGTTTGATTGCATCCCTCCACCCTGTCAGCTGAAAACAGTATTGGAAAATCCCAAACTTGATTACTTAATGTGAGAAAATAACTATTGAAATATCAAGAGTAGCTTCACCATGGACTAATATGTGATATTATTTTATGTTTCTGTATAACTTTAACCTGTACCCTAACGTAAAACCCCACAGTTTCTCATTTAGAGTAGTGTAAAGGAATGTAAATAATGTGATTGCTTAGTTGCCAAAATAGGGTAAAGAGTGTTGCTTGGATATGTTTATATAAATGTTAATCTTGCTTTATATGTGTCCTCTTTCTAAGAATGTAATAAGTAACCACCAGTCTAGCCTGTTGCGTCTGAATCAGTTGCTAAAGTTTAATCTAACTATTATATTTCTAGCTTTCAGTATCCAATTAAACTCAGGAGAACATTCAGGATTTGTTGTCATTACAGTTTCTGGGTCAACTTTTTATGAAAAGTGTTATTTTCATAACTGATACCAAAGTAGTACAACTAATCAAACTGCATGATCAGCAGTAACTCTTAAGTATTATTTCCCAAAAAAGTTGGAAGGCAAGCCCACCAAATGTATTTGCTTATTTAGGAAATTTTAAAAACAAGTTCATAAAAAGCCCTCAAGTGGTGAATATAAAATAATATATATATATTTCCAAAGATGGAAATGTGTATTTGCCTCTAAACACCCCTTTCAGCACAAATAATTTCCAAAACAGTGTGTGCGGGGTGGACATAGATTTCACAATGGTTAAATATCAGTGAGTGATAAGTTTTCAAATACTACATTATGTGAAACACATAATGAGCAATTAAGGAGCCTGAAACCAAATTGTTGACCAGTCTTCTGTTAATTCTGCAAGCAACACTTGCAGTTTCCCACATATGAAATTTTAACTTTTTGTGTTTCCTTGAATAACAACTGATAAAGGTGTGATACAAGTCCTTTGCTGTTATATTATGTATGCTCAATTAATAACTCAAAAGATGTTAACTACTTTGTTTTTAATATGACCGTGATATTCATGATCAAGGTATTTTTCACTGTTGTGTTACCTAGAAACCTGAAACTTTTTATAGCTGTTTTTAGCGTACCCCCCCCTCTTATGCACTTCCTTAACAGGATAATAAAACCAGGCATTTAAATCAGGGAAAGTGGGTGGGGGGAGGTTGTGGTGGAGAGAATGATTTCAAAGCATGCTGTTGCAGTGTGTGAGCTGTTTAGTTGCTGTTTTGTTAATTCCATTCTGAGCCATTTCCCTACTAGAAACCATTGTGAACTACCCTGGGGAGTTGGTAGAAATGTTGTGTGACTACTTCATGAAAAAAATGTGTAAAAATGTCAATTTGAGACATTTGTTTGTGTGTTTTTTTTTAGATAACAGCTTTAAAAATTAAGTACAATCCCTTTGCCAAAGCTTTTCTTGATGCAAAAGAAAGGTGAGATCTGTTGTCTGCTTTCAGTTGCATTTATGAATCATATTTCTGCAAAGAATTTAATCTTTTTTGGCTACAAAATATGATTTCTTTGGCAGAAGTGACCACAAGGACATGATGGATGAAGTGGGAGATGGTCAGCAGTCAGGGTATTCGCAATGTATGTCTAAGCTCTCTTCTGAAAATTAATTTATAGTATGCCTCCAAAATCAGTTCTCCTTTGCTCAGGTACCTTTTTTTGCTATGTATCTAAGGATATTTTAAATAAATATAGTACAAGTCAAAGTGCTGACTTGTAAATGTGCCCTTTCCCAAAACATTGTAGCTACTTTTGTTTCTTTTGCCTATATCTTCTGGTTTTGCATTTTTCTAATTGTGTGCAGTATATTTAATCACAAAGACCAATAGTCTATTTTTAACAGTTCTTATAGTGAGATCCATTAGTGTAATAGTTCTCAATTTTTTATTTTTTATTTTGCCCCTGCTCCTCCTCGAACATTGAGGGAGAAGTAGAATCTGCACCCAGTTTTCCCAAAGCGCACACTGGGGAACAATGGGATTGTGAACAATTAAGTAATATAATATGGGATGTATTTATTCACAACTAAGTTTTACTCTGAGTAGACCCACTGAAATTAATGGACTTAACTTAGTCACATTCATTAATTGCTCTGAGTAAAACTTAATTAAATTCCAACCTACACTAGCAACTACTTTCTTGAGCCAGGATAGAATTTGCACATTTCATAATGCCTTGACCAAAAGTAAATCTATGCCTACAAACAGTCCATATCCCACTGAAGTTGTCACTGAAACTCTTCATTGCTTTTAATGGCAGAGGCCTGTATCTATAATCTTTGTTGTAGGGAAGAAAGCATTCTGTGTGTCTCATGGAAGCATTTATATCCATGGAACTGAAATCCATGGAGCTGGAAATACAGAAGAACAGCCCTAAATGAATAAAGTGCAAACACTAGGCCAAGGATCTCACAAATTCTGAAAGAGGCTCTCTGAAATCCCATTGAAATCTATGAACGCTGGCAGTAGTGTAAAGTTTTTGGGTATTTTAGTGTGATGTTACCCTTGCTGGAAGTGGAATGCACAGTTTGATGACATCACAAGCGAGGCAATTTTTTTAAAAATTATTTATTTATTTATTTATTTATTTAATATATTGTCTTTCTCCCAAGTTGGGATTCAGGGCAGCTTACAGCATTATAAAATACAGAGTCGTAAAAGGAAACTAGTTAAAACCAATAATTGAATGTTTGAAATGCAGCCTGGATGTTGGGGGAGGGAGGAGAACTTATAACAAGGATGCCATTTTTGTAGCTCCTCTGTAAATATAAGGATTTAGTTACTTGGTGCTCTGGGACCTCAATTGCGCACAAAGGCCTCACTGCATCTTGGACAGGTCTTGCTGCTATGTGTTGGTCTAGTGAAATGTCCCCTCTTCTTGCAGTAGGTGGCTGGCTGATTCCTGGAACAGGGACTCTGTGTCCTCCTGCCAATCCTCATCCACAGTTTGGAGCACCTCTGTCCCTCTCCCCTGCTCACAGTTGCGAAAGGTACTCATCCCTGAGGAATCACCGCCCTGCCCCTTATCCGAATCCATACACTCATAGAACCAATTCTCCAAGTAAGTTTTATTTATTATTACTGGCCTCTGGTGGTTTGCTATTGTGGGAAATCAACTGGCTGATCAAATTTCAACATGAACATACAGAATGGACAAAACTGTGTTCATAGTGCACTTGATGACTGTTGTCAAGAAGTAGCAGGCAGTGATTTGATTTATTCTTCACTCTGCCTTATTGCTTATTAATGCTTTGTGTGTGTGTGAGCCAAGTGATTTTTGTTTTACTTCTCATTGACAGCCTATTATTAATATCATTTATTGTTCATTCTCTGTGGGAGTCTAGTATATGCCTATTTCACAGACGTACACCAATGCTGGCACTCAGTTAGAGACTGTCTGTGCCCACTGTCAAGTCCTTTCTTTGGCATCTACCTGCTGAACCAGGTATTTGAATCAAAACACTGGTCTGTGCAAAATTCCATCTATAGTCCACAAACAAAACCAAACAGGGGCGTAGCGTGGGTTGTCAGGACCCGGGGCAAGGCAAGTAATTTGCACCCCCTAACCCATGGATTTGCGCCCCCTAACCCTAACCCCCAGATGTTGCGCCCGGTGCGGCCGGCCCCCCCTGCACCCCCCACGCTATGCCACTGAAACCAAAGGAGGAAAACAAATCACTTTGACTCTCCCACCCACTGCCAGATAAATATTTCTAGAGCATATATTTGCACTGAAAATAGGGGCTGCACTTCTCATACAGATGCTTTCCTTTACAGCAGCATATGGTGATAGTTCTTCAGCCTGCCTTTCTATGCTCCAATCCCATGACAACTGGTCCAGTTTAGGTGTCCCACCCCCAACAAGCATGCTGCCTATGAGTCACAGTACCGGTCCACCAACCAGCTCCAGGTAGGCTGTATTCCCTGAGCAAGGATGCCATCAAATTTCTATAATATGGAATGTGACTTTTTCATTAGGAAAACTGCTGAGAAAGTAACACTGATAGTGGGAGTGGGAAATCTCTGGCCTGAAAGCCTAATAAGGCCCAGCACACATCCCAGTTAGGCCCATTAGGGCATTTTCTCCAAACCACGCCAACCTGCCCCATACTTGATGTAAGTTGCGCCCACAAAAGATTTGGTTTATTGTTTTGAGTCAGTTGACATCATTGTGATGTCAGGTGATTAACAGGTGGGTGTCTCACCCACCTGTCAAAATGGCCTGTGTGTGTTGGGGTATTTGGAATCCAGCCCACTGGCCCGAACATGTTCCCCGCCCCTGACTTGCAAGGAGGCTAAAGGGGTTACAATTAGTTTTTTTAAAGGAGTGGGGGATGCAACTACTTCTCCTTCCTATGGACTTGCCTTAAGGGCCTCTGATGAGGTGGGGCTTTATTTCCCTTTGAAGGATTTCCCAATTCGGCTGAAGACCCTAAAATTCTGCTGTGAGCCTAATCCGCATACTAATTGCCAAAAATGGGGAAAGTATCATTCTAAAAGCTGTCAGATATTTTATGTTCTATGGCTGCCAGCAGGATTCCAGAGGGACTGTGTGCAAGCAAACAAATTATATAACATTTCTCCATTTTGCAGAATGGCCAAATGTGTTGGTAGCATAATATAGAAATTATACACCATCAAGTTGGAGGAAGGGATTCATAATTATCTGATGCTGGAACCCAGTGTGACATCTTCTATCCCCACTTTTGCACCTGGGGCTTGGAGGCTGGAAGAATAAACTGTCCAAGGCTATGCAATGCCCACGTGACTGGAGAGAGTCCAAGGTCAACATTCTGTTCATGAGGCAGTACTGGGGCCCCAAGTCAAGCTTGCATTCTGAAATCTCTTTCTTTCTTTCTTTCTCTTGCAGCCAGTATCCCAACCTGTGGTCTGTCAGCAACAGCACCGTCTCGCCTGTGTCACAGTCAGGTGGGATGCCCAGTGGGATAGGATCCCAGTTTTTACGAAGCTCCACGGCCCACTATCCCACCCTCCCTCATTCTGTCACCACCCCTTCCTCAGGATCTCCATTGTACGACAGTGGGACCCCTACAGACGTTGCCGACAGTCAATACGATGCATCAGTGCATGCTAGACTTTCTTCTACATGGACTCCCGTAACAACCCCTTCTATGTAGGCCTTTCCTTTGGACAAAGGACTTTCTAGCTGCTCTAAACCAGGAATACAGAAGTAACGTTTCAGGAGGGCAGAAGGAAAAGGCACAAAGTATGCTTGCAGTAATTACTTTATGCTCATCTCAGTATTAGAGTGTGATGATAGTGGCACAGACACCTTACGAAAGCGGGTATGAAACTTGTTTGGCAGCACAGGCCATGTTGGGAGTGTTTGCCACCCCTTTTTTTCCTCTTTGCAGTCATGAGGGCGAGAAATGTTGCCAACCCTGAGATACAAGGGCTCTCCCTTTTCAAAATAGGCCTTTTCAGTTTTCAAATTTCACCAGAAGCAAAATGCACCAAAATGGGAATGAGCTGGTCATGGATTATATATATATATTTACTTCCTCTGGGCTGTTTCTATCTATCTATCTATCTATCTATCTATCTATCTATCTATCTATCTATCATCTTTCTATCTCCTTTTTTTACTCTACTGAGGGATAAATTATGCCATGTATCATGTATGTATCTCATTCAATCACTAGTCGCAGAAGAATGAGTGAACAACTTATATTGAGAAGTAAAGTGCATGTTTTCTAGACTCAAGTGCTTGATCTGTGCTGGCTGTTTCACACGTGCAAGCCATCACTTGCATATTCATTGCTTGGTGACAGCAACTTTGTGTGAACTTCCACTAAGTGATGACTTCTCATTTGCTGCTTTTTTATTGTGCTTTATCATTAGACACATTTTTCAGCCCAGTTTGTGCCAGGCCCATAATGAATGGGTTAGGTGACTAGTTCAGCTTGAGTGTAAATTGTACTTTCATACTAAACAACTTGAGGTTTGTTTAGTATCACCTGTTGGACACTGCAGGTGATATTTTAATCTGGACAGGAAAAGAATGGTTTGCCACATGTGGAGTGATGTGAACTGGCCCCAACTGATGAGATTTCTTGTTCGAAATACCTAGATGGAATCAGCATTAAAGGACGATAGATAGCTAGAATAAAAAGTGCACTACTATAATGGACATGCCTTGACCATATTATTTCCCTAATTTGCAGATTTATGCACAACTATATGTTTATTTCTTTGTTACTTTTGAAATGACAATCAAAAAGAGCTCTTTCCTGCATAACAAATGCAGTTTTTGAAGTTTTACAGACCAGTTCTTGTTTTTTAAAGTGCCTCTTTGTATAGTGTGCTTTGTTCTTGTGCAGTGTAATCTTACGTGTTTGCTCAGAAGTAAGACCGTAGTGGGACTTACTGTGAGGCAAGTGTGCCCAGGCTTAATTGCAGTCTTAAAGCTGATTCACTGCAATAGTTCCTGTACAAATACTTGTTTTGCCACATTTACACATTGCATATACTCAGTGAGAAGCCATTGCAATCAAAATAGCAAGAAGCAATCATCTTACCAATATGTGTACAAATGGTGAAACTGCTGTGCATTCATTTGCCACACACAATCATGCAGGCTATCTGTATGTGGTTTTCCTATATGAAGTGATACCTGTTTAGGAAATTGGGCTGTGTCTGTGTATAGCTTACCTTTAAAGAGAGGATTGCAAATGATTTTCATCCTATTTAAAGGGCTGTTGTCTAAGGGCTGTTTGAAGACCTTTAATTTTAATATACTTGAAACCAGGCTCAAAGTAGAAAGTGCACATTTGATAACCTTTTTTTCTAATTTATTTTATTTCAGTATTGTCCGCCGATGAGCAATATTTATTTGTTAGTATAAGCTTTTGTATATGTGTATATGCTTTTTCTGTGTACTTACAGAGATGAGAGTTTGTAGTCCTGATATTGTTGGACTCCCATAAGCCCCAGCCATTATTGCCAGTGACCAAGAGTTAAAGTCCAGCAACTTCTGGAGGGCCACAGACTCCTCATCCTTAGTTTACTGTATCTTAAGACAATCACCTGGGGGACACTTCTCCCAACAACACTTTTTTAATGTGTCAGAATAGTGCTGCTTTTTCAGGTTAGCAAAGCCAAGCCATATTGTTGTCTTGGGTCTTATAATTCCATTCATATTAACAGAATTTTGCATCCTCAGAGGACTGGAGACAAATTCCACCATAGGCCAAGGTGGTGGAGGGCTTTAATTTCATTGCTTACAAACTGCTAGCAACAAGAAAGCCAACACCGTTGTGGCCATTAATTGATGTTATGCCATATGTCAATATACTGTAAATAAGCTCTCATGTTTTATTGTGAAAGCTAATTCTTGTAAATTAAGTCTATGCAATTATTATTTAGTGCCTTCTGTTAGGTGGTTAGCAAAACTGTATGTAATTGTGCTTTTATCATTTTAAATGTATTCAGTTAAACTGCAAAATAAAGTAGTATATTTCCTTAATAAACCAAATGCTTAGCTGCCAGTTGCTGCGAATACGTCACTTGTGTCACACCAGCAAATAGATTACTTTATGGCACAAGAACCTCTAGACTGAAACAACTGGATGATACTTATTATTGTACTACTGCATATGACAGAAGCCAAAGACAGAGACTGTACCCAACCGTAGCCTGCAAGGATGCAACACTACAACCAAGGTGCCCGAGTTTCTGCAACTTGACTGAATTGTTTATTACTTGCATTAATTTGATGGAACGTTTGTTTCATAGCTAGAATGTTAGATTCTGTGGGCAGCAACAATATTTTTTTTAATATGCAGTGTATATGCCCATACTTACCTTTCTTGGTTAAAATGGATGGACTGGGCAACCATCAGATTTTCAACTCTCAGTTCCCAGTGGCATACCTCCTTATTCTCATCGTCCAACAAAATCTCTTTTGAGGATCAGGATGCATCTTAGCAACAAGTGCTAATGGAAATGTTACTATATATTGTTGTTGGCATCTGTTTTGAGAGACAATGGAGTGCGCCTCTGGGGGGTGAAGTCAAACTGCTGCATTAGCAGCACTGAAGTGACCTCCCTGGGGCACAAGTCTGGACAGTGTGTATGGAGGTCCTGGGCTCCCAGACGACAAGACCCTCCTCTTGACCTCGCTGGTGGGGCCCAAAGGAAAGCAGAGCAATGTGTTTCACACCAGCTTGGTTGCAGGAGTTGCCAGAAAGAGATTTACAAGGCACCATCCAACCGCTTTAGGGACTACACTCCAAAGTTGTGCAGGGTTCACTCCTTAGCCTTTTCTTCTCCCAAAATGTCCCACAAAACAGTGGAAGCTTAGGATCAAAGTTTTCTATCTCCTAGATGGGCTACCTTCCCAGGTTGATGAGCCCCATCTGCCCCGCACTTCCTTCTACAGCACATGCAGAGGGAAACTGTCTTCTGGACCGTTGGACCCACCATTGGTCTCATCCCCCAGAGCCTGCCTTCACATGCAGAGGAGGTCCCTAACTCACTGAGGGTTTGAGACCCCTCATCTACCCTCACTTGATTTAGCCAGTCAAAGCTGTTTCAAGGGTGTGGCCACTGTTGCACACTGACAGCTTCTAGGAGCCACAAGTGAGAGATGAGTGCAGGGTGGGGAACAAGGGTGGACAAACTACCCCAGAAGGAGCACAATGTGTCCCCCACCAGAGGTACAACCCATTCTTTAACACCTCAAATACCCCAACTCATTCCATAATGTCATAAAATATAAACTCAACTTTCCAAACTAGATCCATTCAAGACCAGCATTTTTCTGCTAGTTCCTCCATGCTTTTGTTTACCCAGAGAATCTCTCTCTCCCCATGTAGCAAGCAATTTTATCAAAGAAGACTCCATGAAAGAGAGTGTGGCTGTCACAGGCATCCTTTGCTTCCCATCACCCCCTGACTGCTCTGCTAGTGACACGGGTGGTGCTGTGGTCTAAACCACTGAGCCTTTTGGGCTTGCCATTCACCCCATAATGGGGTGAGCTCCCGTTGCTCTCTCCCATCTTCTTCCAACCTAGCAGTTTGAAAGCATGCCAGTGCAGGTAGATAAATAGGTACTGCTGCACCAGGAAGATAAATGGCGTTTCTGTGCACTTTGGTTTCTGTCACGGAGTTCTGTGGGACGTGAAGCGGTTTAGTCATGCTGGCCACATGACCCAGAAAGCTGTCTGTGGACAAACGCTGGCTCCCTCAACCTAAAAGCGAGATGAGCATTGCAACTCCATCGTCTCCTTTGACTGGACTTAACTGTCCAGGGGTTCTTTACCTCTCTTTTTTTAAGAAAACCTTTTCAGTGCTTGCTGAAACTGAAGCTCAAAGGAGTTCTGAGGTCAGCAAACACAGCAAACAGATGAACAAGCTCAAATCCTCCCTTCTGGCTTCTCAGTTTGACTCATGTGGAGGGAATGTCCTCAAAGCTAGGCCTGCACTAACAGTACTCTGCATCAAGCCCAAGCACTTTCTCACCCTGCTTTAAGTAAGAGGGAAAATAAAAGAGCCAGTGTTCTGCTAAATGGGTTGCCAGAATTCATCTTCAATAAAGTGCTTGTGTCTTTACGGGCAGAATGGTGAGACGTTCGTCTGATCTGGGTTCACTGTGAAACGTGGATGTGCTCTTAAGTCCTCTTAAGCTTCCACAGTTCAGGGAGCCTTCTGCTGGAAGACAAGCACACTCTGAGCTAGAGGACTACAAGTCACTGGGTAGTTGCACAACCACCACTCTGTCTCCCAGTAAGAACACCACGGCAAGGGCTACATTTCCCTTTTTGAAGGAAGCCCTTGCTTTGCTCCAAGTTTCCGACCCCAAGTATCAGTCAGAGAAGAGGTCACTGCAGGGAGCTAGCTCTCCACCCGATAGAATGCTCTGCTGCAACCACCAGTGGCCCTGAGATTGCAGAACTGCAGGGAAACATAATCCAGCCCCAGTAATAGGCCAGAGGACTAACGGCTGTTTGCACAGCTGTGCGTGCATAGTTGTGGTTGTTTTTAATTTAGATTTATTTTGAAGATTTCCAAACTGATCAAAGAGCTCTCCAAGCAGCATTGTTGCAAGCACTGTAATGCACAGTAAGCACTGAATATGGTTCTGTTGAAAAGACATATATATATACATCCTCAAAAAAAGAAATACTCCACTCAACTCCTCAAAGAATTTCCCCAGGTCTCACTGAAGCAAGATGAAGTGGATGTTCTTGATATAACAAGTGACTGCCTCTGCTAGCCCTGATAGCTATATGGAAGCTCCCTAGGCAGTCTGCCATTGAAGGCCTGTTGTGACTGAATAGCAAAAGAAGAGGGACCACATGTCTTCCTTGCAGGCTTCCCATTGGCACCTGACTGGTCACTCTGGAAAAGGGGTTGCAGGATTACATGGATCTTTGGTCTGATCTAGCAGGGCTCTCCCTATGTTATCATGTTCCCTCACAACAGTGATCTTCTATGCTGCTTCAGAAACTTTAAAAATCTCCCTGATTCTTAGAAGCAGTGCACTATGCTCTGTGCAGAGCTGTAGTTTGAAAAGTTCAAGTCTATATTAAGTACTGTTGTTGAATTCACAGAACTTTTATTCTTTAACTTCTAAGCATCCTTGTCTCAATGCAATTTTATCGAGGGTTACAACTTCTGCAAGTTTTACAAGTTTAAACAAACCACACCACATAAATATCAGCAGAATGCTCTGCCCTGTGGCAAACATGGTAAATTGCTGATATATAATAAAATCAGAACTGTTTGCACTAATTCCTAATACATTCTGTAAATTATTGATTTGTTTGGTAAGAACCATTTGCTTTTGCTGTACTCAGTAAGATTATTCCATCTTACCAAAAAGCTATTTTTGTTTTTGTTCCCTAAATCTAAGGTAATGTGTTAGTTTACTAATAGTGGGGAGTTCCCATAATTTATCCATCCATTCTATGCTAGATGATGTTTTTGCCAATCTCCATGGCTTTGCAAAAGGTATTCCAGCTGCAGGTAACATATAGGAAACTAGTTCTTTACATTGGCGGCTGAGTAGAACTTTGTCTTGCAATTTTCTGGATTGTAGCTCCTGTGTTGAGCCAAGTTTCACTGAAGTCCAGAGGGCTCCCTTCCATGTTTGGTTTTAGAGCTGGAGTGTAAGCAAACAAACAGGATATTTTCATTCCTTTAAACCCAGCAGAGCTCTCAGTGGAATGTAGTGTACTATTCAGTGGAGGAGGGTGAGGAATTTGGGAGCAAAGAAGCTATAGCTTTAATAGCTTTCTTATTTACAATTGTTGACAAGTCTTTTCACAAAGTTTATATAACTTCTGGAAGCTTCTCAAACTTGCTGTCAGGTAACTTGTTCAGATTACACACACACGTGCTGAAAGAACGTGTACATTTTGTTGTTTTTGCCAGGGCACAAAGCTTAGCCTCACTCCTCACTGCTGATGTAAGGTAAAGGTAAAAAAGGTAAAGGACCCCTGGATGGTTAAGTCCAGTCAAAGGCGACTATGGGGTGTGGCGCTCATCTTGCTTTCAGGCCGAGGTACCCGGCGTTTGTCCACAGACAGCTTTCTGGGTCATGTGGCCAGCAGGACTAAACCGCTACTGGCACACGGAAGACCATGATAAGTGCCAGAGTGCATGGAAATGCTGTTTACCTTCCTGCTGCAGTGGTACCTATTTATCTACTTGCAGTGGTGTGCTTTTGAAGTGCAAGGTTGGCAGGAGCTGGGACAGAGCAACGGGAGCTCACTCTGTCGTGGGGATTCAAACTGCCGACCTTCCAATTGGCAACCCCAATAGGCTCAGTGGTTTAGGCCACAGCACCACCTTTTACCGCTGATGGTCATGTTCTACACATGTATCAGTGTATGCATATAGATCTCTTCTACATGAGGATCCCCTTCGCATATCGGAGTTCTAAGCTCTACACATGTACTGATGTATGCACATAGATCCTGACAGGGATCCCCTACATATAGAGGAGTTCTATGTAGTACACCTGCAAGCATGTAGAGCGCTGTGTGTGTGGCCATTGAAACATCAGCAGCAGGGGCAGGAGTATCTTGCACAAACCCACCACTGTCCACCAGATGTTCTTTTAGAATGGCATATGTGTGAGTGTGTGTGAACCTGCATTGCGACCAAGTTTTGGTTCTGTAATGGAACCTTGGCATTTAGACCAATGCCAATCAGGACACAAATGTTGCGCCCTATACCTTGGGGGCTGTTTCCTTGCTGATCGGTCAATTACAGACGCCAAAAATAGAATGCAGGCAAAGAAAGCCATCCAGGCAGATGCTCTAAGCACACGAGGCAGCGGCTTGGCCAAAGCAGCTGGGCAATCTGATGGTCTGACTTCAGCAATTACTTCTCTATGTATTTTTCCTTATGAGCAAATTCTTCCAGCGTAGGTGAGGAATGGCATTCATCTTTTGACTGCCTACCTCTGGGAACACAAACTGCTCGAGGATGCCAGCAAGTGCCTGACCCTCCTCCATCTTTGGCTGTCAGAAAACAGCTGCAATTAAACACCCTGAGAAAAATGGCCTGTCAGGTGATTAAATGGATGTTTGTCTGCATCCAGTCTTTTGTTGTTGTTTTTTAAGTCATGGGTTCACTTTCATGAGTAGTCTTGTAGGGGGTGAAGGTTAACAGGCCATGAAAAGCAAAGTAGTCTATCCATAAAAGCTAAGAGAATAATTCATAATGGATCACTTGTTGAATGTTACCAATTGTCCTGCTTGTGAGCAGCCTAGGGAATCCTTTTGTGAATTTACTTTTCAGTCATTTGCCGTTCCAGGCATCAGGGTGTGACAATTCTTCCAGTGTGAGGGGATAACTACACATAATCCACACAGCAGAGCCCTGGTGCTGGTTATTTTATTATTATTTGTGGAAGATAAAGCTATCAACGACTGCTAAACATTAGCTCAGTTGGTTGGAGTGTGGTGCTGATAACGCCAAGATCACGGGTTCAATCCTAACCTGCATATTCCTGCACTGCAGGGGGTTGGACTAGATGGTCATCAGGATCCCTTCCAACCAGGGGTGCCAACTTGAATAATTGATCACGCATAATTGATCACATGACATGGTGCACACATGGCAATGGCCATCAACTATGGGGGCCCCCTCAAATATTTTATTGGGAGGGTCAAAGGGACCTTGGCCTCTGGGAGTCAGGGCCTATGCCTTCAGCTCTACAGTTCTGTGATTCTATGATAGCTAGGTTCTACTTCCACTGTCAAAGGCGCTGGTAGTATGCCTCTCTATACCAGTCACTGGGAATCACAGCTGGAGAGAAGGATGCTATGCTCACGTCTAGTTTGCAAGTTTCCCACAGGCATCTGACTGGCCACTGTGAGAACAGGGCTAGATGGGCCTTTGGCCCAATCCAGGCAGGCTCTCCTTACATTCTTGCAGTGCTCAGAATCTCTGACCATTGACCATGCTGAAGGGCTGGGAACTGGAGTCTGCAAGCTGGTTCTGGCCCTACCTACCATTGGTCTCTTTCCCTTCCACCTACCAGTCCCAATGGCCACAGGGCTCTTCCCTACAGTAAGCTGTTCTGAAGAACAACCTTTTGGCAGTGCCCCATTGGCCCTAATGGCCCAGCCTCCACTAGTCCATCATGATTGACTGAGGACACGCCAATTTCTGTGTGTCCTCAATCAGCCTTCCTTCATCTTCCGTCTCACCAGATTTTGGCTCTCTTTCACTAACACACTAGTTTAGATCAGTTTACAGAATGTTCTCTCCCCCCCCCCCCAATTCCTTAATTTGAATGGGACCAGAGAGAACATGATCTGAGCATTGCTAGTACAGCATGTTACCAACATAATTATGAGAGCTAGCAAGCTTTGGACAACGAAGATGGAAATTATGTGAATTACCTAACACTTGTAATACGTGCCTGGAATCAAGGTTGGAAATTTACAAAAATGTTTCCACAGTGCTGATTGAATATCCCATTCATCTCAGAGCCAGATATTGCCACCTGTCATGTATTACACAGGATTGACCTGTATTTCAATGCAAAAGGTTATGTCCTGTATTGATAAAGTTTTGTCCTGTATTTCAGGTCTTCTCCCCCCCTCTCTCCCCCAAGTTAGGGATCTTCTCCAAATGCATGTGTTTGAAACAATGTGTGAAAGGTCATATATTTAAGCTCTGGGTAGCCAAGCAAAGACAGATTTACAAATTAATGTGTATTGTGTGCATGTGTGACAAATTCCAGAGGGGCCATCCTGTTAGGCTGCAATAGATTGTGATGGATTGTTTTGAAATCACTTTAGCTCCAAATGGGGGAAAAATTGCTCCCAAATCGCCCTGTATTCTGCCAGAACAGAAGTGACAACCCTAGATATACCCAGAACCTTGATATTGGATAAAGTAACTCATTTACTGTGGCATTAGCTTCTCTGTTATCAGGTATAGAAGTCTATGAATCAAGGGGAGTTGACAACAAATAATATGCTCTCTCTCTCTGTGTCCTTTCAGGGTTTCAGCCAGCCATACTCTCTTCAAGTCATCCCATTCCACCCCCACCCCAAACTATTTGATTCCGCCCCCCACCAGCAGTCAGCCCTCCATGCCCACTAAGCATATATTTAACCCTTATTTAGTTGTTTGGGTATTTTTTCCCTTCCCTATATACCTTCTGTACTTCTGCAATCTTTTGGGTTCCCCTGAGTCTGCTTGTGCCCACCCTGCTTCTGCATGCATGATGCAATTTGGGTTACACAAGGAGTGACACTTGGAGACTTAAGTTTGCTATTAGCATATATAGTAGATATTGTTTTATGCCAAAAGCAGTGTATTACATATGAAAACTTATAAAGAAACGAGCTGCTATTGATCCATAGGTTTCCTTTTGTTTTTGTAACTGTGGTCTGTGGCTGTTTATCTGGAATCTCTGCCTCAATAGACCCTACCAACCTTATTTGAATTGTAACCTTCTCCTTTATACTTTTCATGTTTTGAAACGCTACTATATGGAGCCAAGGATGAGTGGTGAAATTTCCCTGTTGCCGATGGTTTTGGGGTGGGTTAGGTAGGTAGTTCTTCACATTGTTGCTTGATTCACTGGTCTGTGTGCTCCACCTTGTGGATGTCACATTTCATTTTGTAAGAACAGGCAGAAAGGGAGGTGAGAGCTTGCAACTTCCTGCCTAGCTATTTGATGCTTGGGATGATATGCTACTGTGTTAACAAAACTCTGCTAGGTGTGAGCCCAGTGTGTGCTCCCAGAACAAGGTGCAGAGGATCTGCCCAATGAAAAAGCAATTCCGTGATGTCTAGAGGAGTATTGCAATGCAGATGGGGATACATGCTGTTGAATGCACACCAATCTTTAAGCAGTAAGAAAGCAGTAAGTGAGAGCTGGACCATAAAGAAGGCTGATTGCCGAAGAATTGATGTTTTTGAATTATGGTGCTGGAGGAGACTCTTGAGAGTCCCATGGACTGCAAGAAGATTAAACACATCCATTCTTAAGGAAATCAGCCCTGAGTGGTCACTGGAAGGACAGATCCTGAAGCTGAGGCTCCAATACTTTGGCCACCTCATGAGAAGAGAAGACTCCCTGGAAAAGACCCTGATGTTGGGAAAGATGGAGGGCACAAGGAGAAGGGGACGACAGAGGATGAGATGGTTGGATAGTGTTCTCTAAGCTACAAACATGAGTCTGACCAAACTGCGGGAGGCAGTGGAAGATAGGAGTGCCTGGCGTGCTCTGATCCATGGGGTCACGAAGAGTCGGACACGACTAAACGACTAAACAACAACAAGCACCTATCCAGAGTTCTGTTTCCTTGAAAGATGGGAGTGGTTCCTGTATTATTCAATGGTCATTGGTTTCTGGTCTGTCCTCAGCACAACTCAATGTTTTAGTATTGAAATGGGAGGCTGACTGTTCTTGGGGGGTTTACACTCCTTCTGCATGAGTGGCTACACAGCTTGGGGGTACTTCACTTGGCCTTGGTGGCATGAAGTACAGTGGTACCTCGGGTTAAGAACTTAATTTGTTGTGGAGGTCCGTTCTTAACCTGAAACTGTTCTTAACCTGAGGTACCACTTTAGCTAATGGGGCCTCCCACTGCCGCCGTGCGATTTCTGTTCTCATCCTGAAGCAAAGTTCTTAACCCAAGGTACTATTTCTGGGTTAGCGGAGTCTGTAACCTGAAGCATCTGTAGCCTGAAGCGTCTGTAACCCGACGTACTACTGTACCTTCCACCAGCTTTGGCTGGTGGGCCCCTAACTAGACAGGGATAGCATAAGTTCTGTTGTCTATGTTCTGGTAACCTCTAGGTTAGATTACAGCACTGCATTACACATAGGGCTGCCTCTGAAAACAGTCCAGAAACTTCAACTAGTGCAGAATTTAGAGGCCAGGTTGCTTACTGGGGCAAGATGGTTTGAGCAAATAGCATCAACCCAGGCCTGAGTACACTGGCTGCCAATTAGTTTCCAGGCCCGATTCAAAGTACTGGTTTTGACCTATAAAGCCTCAAATGGCTCAGGACCCCAGTGCCTCAAGGACTACCATTCCCCATATGAACTGACCCAGACCTGCAGTCATCACCTAACATCCTCCTTCATGTGCCACCTCCAGGAGAGGTCCGGAAGGTGGCAACATGAGAATGGGTCTTTTATGTGGTGGCTCCCCATTTGTGGAATGCTCTCCCTAGGGAATCTCCCCTGGTGTTTTCATTACATAACTTTAAGGGCCAAGTGAAAAAGTTCGCCTTTGGCTAAGTAAACAGTCTGTGACCTTTTAAACTGTGTGTGGGTGTTACTGTTTTCTTTGTTATTATGCTATGTATTTTTGTGTTTTTATACTGTAAACCACCCTGTGATTCTCGGACGAAAGGAGGATAAATAAATAAAAATAACTTAAGACACTCAAGATTCAAAGGAAACTGAACCCTAGGTGAGTGCTAACACCCCTAGAGTCTCTTGCCACTCAGATTTTGGAACATGCAACAACAGCAGCAGCAGCAACAACAACAACAATCTGATCCTCTTTGAGTATGCAAGGCATCTCATATATGTGATGCCATTTACAGCAATCCTAAAAGACGGGTCATTATTATTATCCCCGTATTGCAGATGGGAGATTGGAGGTTGGGAGACTTCAATGCAGATGTAGGTTTTGAACTAGAGACTATAGCTTAGAGGTAGAGCCAGTTCCTTGCACAGAGAAGGTCCTAGATTTAGCCTCTGGCATTTATAGTTTTCCTTTTTAAAGAACAGATAGCAGATGATGGCAAGGAATTATCTTGGCCTAACACTCAGGAGAGCTGCTTCTGGAAGCTGTGGGCTGCAATATTATACCCCCATCCTGGGGAGTAAGTCTCGCTGAAATCAATGGGGCTTTTCCTCCTTGAATAGGCATATGTAGAATAGACATATATAGCATTGAGCTGTTAATATACATGGGGAAGTTGCCAGCTGTTCAACTAATAAAAAGTGCATCAGCCACAATGTTAGCTCCTGCACTACAACTGACAACACTGACAAAGGTGTGGTTAGTGTGAATTCCCTTCATTTTGCAGCTTTTGGCTTTGCAGATTAATGTGCACAAGTCGTCCAACTCTTGAGAAAACAGGATATTCTTTAAAATCAATATTTGATTGGAAGTGCTACTCATTTAAAGTGCAGTGGGGAAACGTATCAGCTTCTCCTGGACAACAGTTTCCCTCTGAAATTGCATGCCATCAAATGGGCCTCTAGGTGGCCTTGTGTATTCACCTGAAATCCAGGATCTGATTACCTCCTTTTACATGAGTTATTTCTGGCTGCAGATTAGGAGCTCACCCAGAATGCTCAAATTGTGATAATGCATTAACCACAGGCACAGATCTGGCCACTGGTGAGCAAATGCCATATCATGCAGAATTTGAAAATAGGTTTCAATGCCTTCCAATAGCACTTTCATTTATCTAGTAATAGCAGCACAGGCTCACGGCACAATAAAACAATGCACGGCTTTTAAAAA